TTTTTTTTTATCTAAAACAGCTTATTTTTTAAAAGCTAACTTACCAAGCATTTTGAAATAGTTTTTTCAGTTTAAATTTTTGTATTCATTATTTGCCTTTGAAAATTTATTATGCATTTTGAACAAGTAAATATATTTTTAGATTATTTATTAATTATATTAGAATATTTTATTATGTTATAGTTTTACTTTTATAAATTTAAAATAATTAATTTTTATATATAAATCATTTAATTGTAAAATATATAAATTTATTAAAATCAACACAAAATAGAAAATATAAATATTAATAATTTATTTTTGATAAATGAGATCATATACGAGACTAAAAAAATAGTTTACCAAAACATTTTGTAAAATAAAAAATAAAAAAGTTTCGCGTCTCAACGTGGCAATGACATGTTAGCCACGTCAACACTACGTCAGCAACGGCAGGCCAGCGTGGCGATTCCGGCACCGGAGGACCATTCTAGCGAAAAATTTTTACTTACGAGACTATTTTCAGACAGGGTCCGCTTAAAGTTCTAAAATGATAAATGAGGTCAGATAAAGACGAAAAAAAAAAAAAAAAACAGTTTATCTTATATATATATATATTTGAGATCAAGTTTATGCATTTATTTTTTGTTTTGTGAAATAGTTTAAGGATACATGTATATATATTTATGTAAAATATAGAAAATTATGTAGATAATATAAAAATAATAAATATATGATATATTAATTTTTTAAAAAATATTTTTGTTGTCTTTACAAAAAGAACACACTATAATTATTTATTTAAAAAATATAAAAATATTGGAGAAAATGTTTTAGAATCCTTTTAGTTATTATACTCTCTCCATCATATAAAATTATGCCCAAAAACAAAAAAATAAAAAAATAAAAATCCTTTTATGATAAACAAACAAGTAAAAAATATATATATTTTTTTACTAAAAATTTAAAACGGGAATAAATTTGAATAAAAAAAATATATAAAAATAAAATATGAATAAGTTTGAATGATAAGGAAGTATTATATTTGAATTCTATATTTTTATAAAAGTAGAAAGTAAATATAATATATTATATAAAATTCAACCATTGAAAATAATGTCTTTAAAATATATTATATATTGAAATATATTATTATTATTATTATTGAACAAAGCCAATTTGCCATTTAGTTTGAAAATTCATTGAATGGTAGTGTTTGAAGCCATTCATTAGAGGGAATCAATAATATTTATTGTGTCCATTATTGTTAACCATTTCCTATGTAAAAGGCAATTTAGGAAATCTTGAATAATATATAAGTAATATTTTTATTAATATATAAATATATATATAGAACATATTATATGTGGATGTAAGAAATGGACATCCCAACCAAATCAAACAAAAAATTGAAAATGAAGTTTCACTAGCAAATATTATAGCGTATTTGACAATTAGCTGATAGCCCTTAGTTGATTCGATTAGTTTTTTGTATCAAAATGTTTGGTAAAATAATTGTTTGATATTAACTGTTTACACGTAAAATGACAATTGAGGACATTTCTATTTTATTTTTTTCAAATATATTCAATTGTGTTCTTTTGAGTTAAGAATGTTTGAAATTTTTTGTTATTAGTTATTGAAAATTATAAAAGTGTTATAAAAACAATTTTTTCTATTGAAAATGATGTAAAATATAAAATAATAAAATTTGTGTATATATTTATTATGTTAATTCTCGATCAGTTCATTATATTTATAATTTTCAATAAATTTAATTTAATTAATTTAATTTTAGTATAAAATTTATATAATCTAATTTTATGGACTTTGTCTTAAAAGAGTCCTGCATGTAAAAGATTTTCGTTAAAATAGTCCTCCGACGTGGCATCTACGTGGAGATGACATATTAGCCACGTCAGCGCCACGTCAACAACGGCTGCCAGCGTGGCGACTCCGGCACCGGAGGACCATTTTAGCGAAATTTTTTTACTTAAATGATAAAAAGGTCAAATACGAGACTAAAAAAACAATTTACATATAACCACAAATAAGCACATCCAATATATATATATAATCACAACTATTGTTGTTATTATTATTATTATTATTAATGAGAAATTTCCCGAGATAAAAATCAACTTATAAAATAAGTCCTTGCATCATATCCAAAAGATGATGTGTTTATATTAATATTTTTAATAAAAAAGAATTTTATTTTTATTTTTTCACTGCTATAATTATATTAGTTTTTTTATTAAATTTATACATAATTCATTTATAAAAAATAATTTCATTGAAAAACAAGAGAAAGATATGTAATATTTCTTGTAACAAAAAAATTTTAAAAACAGACAAAGAACACACTAGTTACTTCTTTAAACTTCGCCTAGGTGACGGGATTTTTTTCGGGATCTTCTTCAGCATTATGCAGAGCCGCCTTTGTCGAAGTTTTATGAAAAATATTGAGATGACGACGGTTTAAAGCCTTTCAAACGAAATGAAAAGTTGGAAGAGTAAAAAATGTACGGGTGGGGTATCGTAATTGTTTCTGTCACACTATCAAATACTATATTTGTCCGGCTGTAAAAGTCTCATTTACTTTTTATGTGTTGATCTTTAAATATTAATTATTATATTAAAATATAATACAAATTAAGAAAATATTGCAAAAATACTTCCATTAGTATTTTATAATTGTAATAGAAGGAGATTTGTAAAAAAAAATAATTCTAATATAAAAATATTTTTAATGTTAAATACAATAACGACGCAAAAGAGCGAACAGAAGGAGTATAAATTTAACTTTTTTTACTATTATTATTTATCATTTTTAAAGTGAATATTATATAATTTAAGAAAAAAAAACATTGTTTTGAGGGTATATGAATATATTATAAAAGTACATAATGAATTTTATTTTATACCTAACAATAAATGTGACAAAATTGTAAATATGAATCAATAAACAACCAAATAGCAAAAATAGAAATTGTAAACTAATTTTTTTAAAAAAAAACTAAGAACTGAAATCCAACTCATAAATTCTGATAAATTTATACGGTAAATATATTGAAAATATATTTAAAAAGTATTACATAAAATAATTATAATAATAATAATAATAATAATAATAATAATAATAATAATAATAATAATAAACTGTTGTGTATTATTCCATCCATTTTAATTTATTTTCTATCATTTCTATGTTAAAATATTTCGATTATTTACAATTTTTATTATTTATTTATTGTGTATTTTATCAATGTATTTATAAAATGATTTTAAATAATAATTTTAAAATCATACAAAATAGTTAAAATTACACGATTTCCTGTCAAACATAATGGTTTTTTTTTTTTGATAAATTTTTTTTTACAGATTCTTTAACTTACATATTTTAAATATTATACTTATTTATAGATGATAATTATTTGCATATTTATTTTATCTAAAATTTATTAATATATTTCAAAACATTTTATTTTATAGCATAATTAATCAATATAAGGATTTTTTTTGTTTGAAATTGATTTAAAATAAGATGTTGATTTAAATTTTTATTTAACTAGTTCATCCGTTATCTAATTTTATATTTATTTAACTGAGTTTTAAGAAAAATAGGTAATAATACAAATTTTTACTTTTTAGTGTAAAAGAAAAAAAAAATGGTATTGTTTTACTAAAAAAAATGAGATGGGGATGAATTTGAATGACAGATAAAATAATATTTTGATGCGATATTTTATGAAAAAAATAATGTAGTTTTATTGAAAATTATGCTTAGTGAATAATGTCAATTTTTGTTTAGAGAGCACACCCATAATAGAATATTTCCTATGTCCTGATAATATGTTTATATTAATGAGAATTTAGATAAAGTATAATAAATAAGTAATTAAAAAAATATAATAATAATAATAATTATTATTATTATATAATAAAAATAATTATAGATTAAGATAATTAAATAATTTAATTAAGAATAAAAACTATAAATTCTGAAATTTAAAATGTAATTAAAGTATATAATATATTTCAAAACAAAAAAGACAAATTTTGTGAGACAACAAAATAAAAAATATGGATAAATTATGTGGAATTTGAAGAGTATTAATTGAAACTTATATTGAACTCAAAAATGAAATTTTACTATTAAAAAAAATTATACTCAATTTTGCAACAAGATGGAGTTTGTGTTTTGCTCATAAATTTATTTAATATTAATATTATACTGTATATAGAATAAATCAATACAAATACACCAAATTATTCTATGCATAAAATAAAAAATAATGATATTTGTGTAATATATTGTAAATTAAAAAATATTTATAGTATTTTATCTGTCTTATATACAATAAAATATTTGATTATCGGTATAAAAATTTAAATGAATAGTATTAAATATAATACATTGAGAACTCAACGATGTATTGAGAAAAATCATATATTTATTTTTTTATTTAAGTGATTATATAAAATTTAATTAATTATTTTTTATTTTAGAAATATGAGTCAAAAGATTATTAGTAGATTTTACTATTAAAAAAAATGATAATTTTATATTGAAATAAACAAGAAAAGAAAATGACGATTTTTTTTTTTTTTTTGGATTAAAAAAATATTTAAATAAATAAATATAAATGTAACACGTATTAAAAAAAAGAAGAAGGCGTATTTCATCTTTGATTAATTTTATCCGCAAAGTAACAGTTGAAAACACACGTTTGCGTTGCTCACCGACCGACCGCCCAAGTTTGGAAATCGTAAAAACAAAGGCAATTTGAAAGTCAAAAACGAAGGGTGAGCGTTTTATCTAACCACGCGGGTGACAACTGTCACCTCTCTCCACCAATCACATTCACCATTCGAGAAACCTTCGGTCACCGACTGTCACTTTAAAACCTACACTACACCGTTTTTCGAAGCTTTTTTTTTATATATAAAAATAAAATGAAATAATAATAATAATAATAATTACATTAAATAAAAATCTCAAAATCGGATTTCTACTTGTATATACATATGGCCTACTGGTCCTTTACGTATTCTCTCTCTTGAGATTTCCGACTCCTGACGCCTTTGAATCGCCGAACCCTAATACTGGTCTTTGTGCTCTCCGTTCGTTTGTTTTTGTTGTTTTTTGAATCGGAGATAGTTTAGTGGAGTGATAATTGTGCGGAGGAATTTGTCGGGTGGAGGTTGAGTGGCGGCGGCGCCGTTTGTTGCGGTTCAGGTTGAGGTGCAGTTGTAGCTGTCGTTCGAATCAAATCCGGTTTTTTTGGGTGATTTGATATCGATTTGTGCGGCGGAGGTGGTGCTTTTGTGCGTAGTGTTTGGCTTTAGGACTGTTGATCGTCGATCTGATCGGATCCGGGGAAGAGGTGGACGGTTTTTGGTGAAGGAAAAGGCACGATGCAGGCGCAATATCAGAAGAAGAAGGTTTGTTGATGTTACGCTTGAGTTTGTGTGATTAATAGCGAGATTTACTAATTGTTTCTTATGCATTCGGTAGATAACAAGCGCTTTGTTTTGTTGATGAATCGTCGTTGGATATTTTTGTTGAAATATCATTTCCACCGTGTAGTGTTTTACTACTATTTTTGTTTTTCCCCGGACGAGAGCGATTGCCTGAAATTTTAACTTTTTCTTTAAACGATTTTAAGAAATTTGGGTTTTTGGATGTTTTCATCTTTTCTTTATAAATTTTTTTTTTCGGGTGTGTTTGTTTGGGGTTTTGGATTTTGAATTGAGATCTGAATAGTGAAAATTTTGAATTTAAATAGTTGAATTATATGGTATAAATAGGTGTTGATGTAATGTTTTGAATGTAAAATTGATTTTTAGTATAATATAAAAAATGAAAAATAGTTGTTTGATTTGATGTTTTTGGGGGGAAAAAATTAAATGAATAGTATAATATGCAAAATTTTTTGAAACCATAAGTTTTTCTTGTTCGTTGAATCATGTTTGGGAAATTGGAATAAAGTCTAGGTATCAGAGCTTATTTGATAAGCTTTGTTGATTTCATTCTTTATCTACTTAGCAGAGGTCATTTTTATGGAAATTTCGATACCGGACTATATGTTTCAGTGATACAAAAAAACTCTCAAGTACTGAATGGTTGTACTTCTCTACAGATGCCCAAGGAGACAGAATTTTTCACTGAATATGGAGATGCGAGCAGATACAAAATTGTGGAAATTATTGGAAAGGGTAGCTATGGAGTTGTTTGTGCTGCAATTGATACACACACTGGGGGCAAAGTAGCAATAAAGAAAATAACAAACATATTTGAGCATATGTCTGATGCTATGAGAATATTACGGGAAATTAAGTTGCTCCGGCTCTTACGACACCCTGACATTGTTGAAATTAAACGAATCATGCTGCCACCGTCCAAAAGAGACTTCAAAGATATTTATGTTGTATTTGAGCTTATGGAATCTGACCTTCATCAAGTAATAAAAGCTAATGACGATTTGACACAAGAGCATCACCGGTTCTTTCTCTATCAGATGCTCCGGGCATTGAAATATATGCATACAGGTTGGTTGAATGATTAATGTTGTTGCTATTGTGTGTGAAGAATGCAAAACAGAGATGTTCACATTTTATTCAAAATATGATGATGAGCAAGCTGAAAAGCCTCTTCTCATCATTACTTGTGTTCCTGCATTATTGCTTCTGTAGCCCAGTTTGATATGCGGAACTTGTGACTTCAATGGTCAATTACTAATTCTTGTTTTTATTGGCTGCTCCTTTTATTCCAGCAAATGTATATCATAGGGATCTTAAACCGAAAAATATTCTGGCGAATGCCAACTGCAAGCTCAAAATATGTGATTTTGGACTTGCAAGAGTTGCATTCAATGACACTCCAACAACAGTTTTCTGGACGGTAAGTTACTTACATTGTGGTTATTATAGAGTTAGTGCATTGTTGTTGATGCATTGATGGATTATGCCATTTGATTACGCATTTTGCCAATTTGGTGCATGAATCACAACTTGAAATATTTTAATAATGATGTGTACAGGATTATGTTGCAACACGATGGTATAGAGCCCCAGAGTTGTGTGGCTCTTTCTTCTCCAAGGTAACTAAACATTGCCTGTATTCCCTCTTCATGCTGTTTCGGTTAATTGGTGCCTAGACAATGATATTTAGTTAGTGTTAAGTTTACTGAGGCATTTAGCCTTCATGCACTTTTAAGAACCTTTTTCGCTCTATTATTCTAGTAGCATTCATGCACACTACTAAAGAAACTTGTTGAACCCATTAATGTGGTTATTTAAATATCTTACATCTGTTGTATATCTTTTTGGCTGGAATACCTGTGAACTTTCATGAGAATGACAATAGGTATAACTGGATAGAGTATCTGGCTCATTAAAAAATCTTGCACTTGAAAATGGTTGAGAGTTTATTTTTTAAAGCAATACCAATTTTGAGGTTAATCTTCAGGTATTACTGGGTAGCGCTTGTCAGTTTGTGTCAAAATGCTTGTATTTAAGAGTGCCATGAAATGAGTGGTAATTGTAGATTAAAACAATTCTTGTTCAGGGAGGACTATTGAACTCTCCCGGAAGTTGATATCTCTGTTCTTCAGAGGTAATTGTGTCAGGTTGCATAATTTCCTGCAGGTCTTTTTTTCTTTATCCTCTTGAGTTTATGTAACGTATTTTATATTTTTGTTTGCAGTATACTCCTGCTATTGATATTTGGAGCATAGGCTGTATATTTGCTGAGGTATTGACGGGGAAGCCATTGTTCCCTGGAAAAAGCGTCGTGCATCAGCTGGATCTGATTACTGATCTTCTTGGGACACCTTCTATCGATACCATTACTGGAGTACAGACCATCACCCTATGTTTATAGTGTTGGTATGCTTACCTTTTTTCTAAGATATGGGGTTTAACTGTTGTATCTTTTTTGTAGATACGTAATGAGAAGGCAAAGAAATATCTGATGGGTATGAAAAAGAAGTACCCAATGTCTTTCACACACAAATTTCCAAATTTGGATCCTTTAGCTCTTAAGTTATTGCAGAGGATGTTGGCATTTGATCCGAAGGATCGTCCAAGCGCTGAAGAGGTACTCCATGCCAGAATAATAATTTCCACATCCATTAGTTTGCTGATTCAACCTTTGTATTATTTAAACGTAAGTGCTAGTTTAGGTATATTATTATGGTGTACTTAATTCCTGTTGTTTTGTCATCAGGCGCTGGCCGATCCTTACTTCAAGGGGCTGTCGAAAATTGAGAGGGAGCCATCCTGTCAGCCAATTTCTAAGTTTGAATTTGAGTTTGAGCGACGAAGAGTAACCAAGGAAGATATCAGGGAGTTAATATATCGAGAGATATTGGAGTACCATCCCCAATTATTGAAGGACTACATGGCTGGAAATGGTGGCATAAGCTTTGTGTATCCTAGGTTTGCGGCTGTACCATTGTTGCTTTTTCACACAATTCCTACCTTTAAATAATTGTGACATTGTAACGATCTTTTGTTTTTTTTCTTTTTGTTTCTTTCAGTGCCATCGGTCATCTCAAGAAGCAATTTGCCTATCTCGAGGAAAATGCTGGGAAAAATGGACCAGTTTATCCTCCTGAGCGGAAATATATATCTCTGCCAAGGTTAATACGTTGTTATTTATCTAAGTTGTACTAGTGTTTTTCTATGGTGGTTTTATTTTGAAATTAAAACAAGAAAGAAAGGAGTGACATATATTGATCTGTCTTACATCTACAGGGATTATTGTAAGCAATATGACATTGTTTTATTCTTTGTTGACAGATCGACAGTAAACACTTGTACCATTCCCCCCAAAACACAACCAGTTATTTCTGCATTCACTAACCAGAGAATATCTGGAGAAATCTCCTCGGGCGGCATTTCTGGAAATATATGCAAGGATTCAAAGCCACCAGCACCACCCCGCGTTGGTACTGTTATAGAAGGTACCCCCGGTTCTCTATATATCTCCATATAATAGTAATATAAATGGATGTGTGTGTGGACATTGTGGCTAAATTTAAGCTTGAGTTTGAGCTCAACGTTCGAAAAGATGTTCAAACTCATGACTTCTTTTAATCTTCTACAACATGTAGGAAAAAATATAGAAGTTGATCGTTTTAACTCATGGCTTCTTTTACATGAAAAGATAGGATGGATTTGTGATATCTATCTTGAATACCAAATATTGTAATTATGATATTTACCAAGAATAAAATTTGATATTCAAACTTGACAAGGTTGCGGAATATCTTGGCCCGTCTATTTGATTTTTCTTGTAAATGGTAATGAGCCTGTTTTTCATATTCTTGTTTTAACAATTTCTTCTTTTATGTGAAACCAGGAAGAGTCACAGGCGGACCAGTCTTACCACCGCATCACAATGTCAAGCTTGTAAACGAATCTCCGAATGGCAGGGTATGCATTCAGAATTCCATACACCCGCAGTTGCAGTCGCAGTCGCAGTCAATCTCTCCACAGTGTTTATACAGAATGAATCCGGAGAAGCATACCGAGACAGACTCAGCAAGGGCAGCTCGAGCTGAACAACAATCATACCACCAACACACACCAGAGAAGCCAAAAAATGGCATCATCGCCACTCCACCCCGCCCTGGGATGAGTTTCGACATCAACCCAAATCCATACTACCAGTCGCCTGTTAAGGCAGTGATATTGAACAACCAAATGAGCATCGATGCAAAACTGTTGCAAGCCCAAACTCAACTCGTTGCAGTAGCTGCCCATCGCGAAGTCGGGGCTATACCCCTCGGACTTACTTAAAAGAGGAGCTCGCCGTATCAAGGAAAATAAGTGAGAAATGCTGTAGCAAAAAGATTCGAAAGATATGATTGTCGTCGTCGTGTGAGCGAGAATGGATCGAATCGAGCTGAGCTGAGCTGAGGGTACACCAGGTGAGTCAGTCAGTGTTGAGAGAGATTGTTTGTGTTAGAAGTAGAGATGAGCAGAGCAGAGCAGGCTCTATTGATGAAATCTGTCTTCGATTCTATTTCTATCTTTTTCCTTGTACTTGTGTTAGTTGTATAGTTTCAATTATTTCACCCACTCTTCTTTCTTCAATTTCACTATAATTTGTCCCACTCGCTCTCCCCAATGCATCATTCCTTTAAATTTGATAAAATTATTGTGGAGGCTGCTAACATCAATGTGCAGCACATAAAATATAAATTAATGTCGCAGAAAATACAATACAAAAGTATATGTGGAAGTTGTATAAAAGTGTATTTGACTTCTTTTAAAAAAATAAATAGTACACTAAATGAATGAAAATTAATTATGTAAACAGAGTCTAATATTTGTTAAATTTCTTCTTATGTGCCAACTGATATTCATCCCAATTAGTATTATAATTAACAAAATATATGGTAGTATCTTTTATGGTAAGAAATGCTGTCTTAATTTGGGAGTAAAGGTACAAGTACAATAACCATAGAAAGAAACTGATCAACTTATATGATGGGTCTGAAAGAAAAGAGCAATAAACCAAACTACCCAAAAGGAAAAGGAGGAGGATACACAACACAATATGGAAACCAAAAACCAAAAACTAATCCAAATGTTGTCCTGCCCTAAATGCTCTGAAATCTTTAATTCTCCTTCTCCTCTCTAGCCACAATCTTGAACTTCCCAGTCTGTTCTTGCTGCAATTTTAAAAAAACCCAATTTTCATCAGAACCATCTCATTTCAGCCCCTATATTGTTTATGGTAATACTAGAATTCATTAACTCAAAAAGAAAACAAACACAAGCTTATTTATTTTTGATTGATTGATTACAATCACCACCTACTACCTACCTTGTTCCACAGATGAGTATGGGAGGCACAAAATGCAGCCACTACACCACCACCAGCAGTTTTCTTCTTCCTCTTGGCCTGTGTGTACTGAAGGCAGAGGCCCTCTCTGATCCCACAGGTGACATGAAACCTCAATCCGCAGTTGGGCTCGGAGCAATCGACAAGACAGCCCACATTGCGGACCCCACAAACGCAGCACCTCCCCTTCCATCTCCTGCCCACCACTTGGCTGCAGTCGATCCCTTCCCTCCCCTCCCAATCTCCAAAATAGACTTCCGGCACGTACACCGCGCACACCAGATGCGCCCATTCCGACGACGTCGTCTTCTTCAGCGCCCCGCCGGAGTTGGGGCAGAGACAGCAAGTGCCTTGTTGTTGTTGTTCGGAGGTGCACTTGCACTTGGCGCAGAACCAATCCCCTTGGGGGATCCCCTGGGTTAATGGAGTGCCGTAGCAGGTGGAGTGCACCATTAGATCGCAGCCGTCGCAGAGGACGATGGGGTCCGTTGGATCGCCGTCAGTGCTTCCACACACGGCGCACACAATCCCATCGTCTTCTTCTACTTCTACTTCTTCTTCTTCATCAATTTCATTGTGTTGGATTTGTGGGGGTTGGAGGTTGAGATCCAACTCCAAGGGGTGGAGTGCCCAGATCCTCTTCTTCGCGGGCAAGCACAATGACGAAATGGGATTGGGATTGGGATGAAATGGATCTTCATCCACTTCCTCCTCCATGACTCGTTTTCTCTTCTTGGCAGGAAGGCACGATGTTGATGATGCTTTTGGGAGGGCAACATCAGCAATAGCAGAAGCAGGGAGTGAATTCTGATTTTGATTTTGTTGGTGTTTTCGGGCGAGACTGAATCTTTTGTGAGGAGGTAAGCCTTTGAACTTGAAGCTGGGTTCCATCTCCATGATTCAGTGAGTTAAGTCTCTCTCTCTCTCTATGTGTGTGCCATCGCCATTGATTGATTGAATGGTGAATTTGTAGGGGAATTTCTTCTTTTTAGGGTTTGAAAAGTGGCGGGAGAGAGAGAGAGAGAGGGTCCTTAGCTGGCTTGGTTTGCTTCTTTCAATTCGTCTTCGGCTGTGGCGGGGTTAGCCATTACTGAATCTGAACTTGTATTTGAAATGAAATGAAATTAATTGAATTTGAATTGAATTTCAGTGCAATTTGAGGAGGGAGGGAGGGAGTTTTTAAATTTGGTGGGTTTTTTTTTTTGTTGGTTTCAGAAACAAAACCCACCAAAACCCAAACGGCTAAAATATTTATTTATACATTGGGGTGCCGCGGGAGGGAACCCAAATATTATTTATTTATTTATTTGAAATTTTAAAATCAAATTGAAAAGAAAATGGTAAGTTTGTTCATTTTATATTTTTTGGTTGGACAATATTTTTATAAATATTATTTAAATATATAATACATACATATATTAATACAAATTTCCTTTTTCTCTTGGCATTTATTTTTTATATTTCAATTCAAAATATTATTTTTTATCATTTTTTTCTGTAATTTTTCAAAATATTTTTTTTTATTCTAAAAAAAATAATTCTAACTACATTGGGAATTTGAACCCATGAATCCAACCTCTACTATCACCAGACCATTTTGGTAATTTGATAAGTAAACTAATTATACTTCCAATATATGACTATATGTAACTATATAAATACCATTGTATATTAATTTAATATACGTATACTTACTAGAGTTTTATTCAATATAAATTGAAGTTTAAAACAAAAATTTTAAAAAAATTACTCTCTTCATCCTATTGTTGTATTTTTATTTTTATTATTATTATTATTTTTTACGTAGTTTAGGATATATTAAATTAGATAGTTGATTAGTTTGAATTAATTGAGATAATATGTATAATAAAATATTGTTTTGATCATTTTTTTTTTAATTTGATGAAAAATAAAATAAAAATTAGGATGTTTATTTATTTTTTAATACTTTATCTATTAAAATAAATATAAAAAGAATGATTCAATTCCATATTTTTAAAAAAAAAAAAATGTTTTAATTCACATTTACATTCAATTTCCTTAATAACTCTCTTCAAAAATTTCCTCCTAAATTAATTTTAGCAATTTTCCTCCTTACTTAATTTCTCACTATATCTCTAATATATTGCATTCACAAATACTAGCAGCATTATTTGCTGTCTTTTATTCACAAAGGTGAAATTTGATCACACTTTGAGTAATCAAGATCAAAATAATATGTAAGCAATGACCTGATGGTGTGAGAATTGACTCGTGATCGTGGGATCATGGATTCAAATCCCCGACATCTTCGGTCTTGTCTACTGCACATAGTTCATTTAATGTGATTTTTTATTTGTATTTGTATTTTTTTTGCAAATTATTAGGTTTGACCAAGACTTTTTTAACATTAAGGATCAAATGATCATGACCCAACCACGAGAAAAATGATAGACATACAAATAACAACAATAAGAAAAATTGAAACAACAATAGTACCATAAGTATTTTTATCACATCCATTCTTTAACTTATATAGTACCCTTTAATGTTATATTCATAACTAACTTTTTCGATCTAAACCAATCAAAAATCAATGGTACATTTGTTTTGCTGCTATTTAAAAGCATTGTTAGGATACCATCAATAATTATATTAGACACTAGTATTCAACTAAGAAATTCTATGCAAAAAATGATTAAAAATGCAAGTTGAATTGCTTTCAAAATTATTATTTTGTCAATGCTTCTATAATCATTAATTTTGATCATGCCGGTAATAAAAAATGAAGTTGAAGATCTTCAAAACTTACAATCGTAACTCCATACCTACAATTCACAATAATATTTTGTAACTTATAGAAAATTATTAACAAAAGTATTAAAATTCTAAATATGGTAAATCCAACAATATATAGTCAGTTAAGTAAGATAAGGAAATACATCATCTACAAATTATCTACTGCAATCTTCGTTATGATTTTGGAGTCATCTAACTTAATTTACATATATTTTTCAATCGTTAGTTGTCATCTCATTAGTCCTCTATCTATCTCTAGGAGACGCCATCCATGTATGCTCAATTGCGGGAAAAGTAAATGATTCAAATTTTGGATTGAATTATGTCGTAACAAGTTAAGCTGCTTTGGGTCCCATAAGATAAATACAGTTGCTAAGACCTGATATAGAAGTTGATTTCTTTCTTGAAAATATGGGCTACAAATGGAAGACTAATCTAAGGATCATTCACCAAAATATTTAATTTAGCACAAAAAGTAAAAAAATGAAATGATGTAATCGATTCTTAAATTGAAAGAGGTTGACGGAGATGAAGAAGACGAGGAAGATTAAATTGATTGTAGTGGTTGCTAAAATATATTGGGTGAGTGGTTCTGGTTTGAGGAAGACGAAGATGACGGGATTCGATGATGGGTAAAAATAAATAAGAGAAATGTAAATGATTCGAGGAAAGCCGACTGAATGAATGAATGAAGAGAATAAGACACAAAATTAGAATTGTTTTTTTGAAAAATAAAAATAAAAACAGGGTAGAAGCATTAATATTATAATTAAATGTAATTAAAAGTATGTTTATTTAGTATTTTGATTTAAATTTATTATATATACATGAAATATAAAGAATTGCATCGATTATATAAATAATATTTTAAATAAAAAAAATTGGACAAACAAATTCTAAAATTTTAATTTATTTTATTATTCATCAATCATTACTTTAAATTTGACTAATTTGATGAAATTATTTAAAGACTAAAGGTGTGTTTCTTCATCCTTTGAAAATTTTTACTTTGGAAAATTTTACTATGCAATCACTGTTTGCCAAATTGGGATTGTCCCATTCCGAGCGAACAAACACTGCAGTTGCAGTATTTCTTTTTTTTTTTTAAAAAAAAATAAAATATAATTTAATATTTATAATAATTATAATTTAATAAAATATATACAATATATAAATAAAAAATTTAAAAAAATATATATAAATATGATATAAATTCATAATCAAATCTTACCCTTATTATATATATTTATATTATTATATTTATTATTACCCTTATTATATATATTTATATTATTATATTTATTATTTACTAAATCAATCGTATCAAAACTTTTTAAATTTTAACCAAACTTAAACACAAAAAATAAAAACATCAAAGTTCAAATTTAAATCAAACTCAAACCCAAATTTTTTCAAAAAAGAATATTAAACATTGTTATTTATTACTTTCATTTATTTTTTTTAATAAATTAAAAAATAATTATATTTTATTAGTCAATAAAAATATATAAAATAATTTTAATAGTATTTTTGAATATCTATTGTGAGCCAAGGTGCACAATTACCATTCTCATGTTGGATAATTGTTGACGTGGCCAAGCACACCTTACCAGTGTTCTAAGCACACGCCATATTTATTTGTAATTGAACACGGCCGTGTTTATTTGTAACCTAATTGTAAACCCAACCATCTAATTTGATTCTTCCAGAAAATTAAAATTTTCAGGCAACACACACACTACAATGATGTAAAAAAATCTTTAGACAAAAAACAACACACAAGAAGGGGAGAAACCAAGTTACCACCGAGACACTTTTAGGCAGGGGATTGCTGTTGCTGGTCAGTCTTCCTTATGCTCCGGCGATATATTTCCGGTGGTTTCGCCAGGGATGATGCTCCGCCTCCAGAATCCGGCCAAGGTGCTCCCAAAGATCGAGTGGCATACACTCGAAACCGCACACGGCACTGCCGTCAATGGATTCCCAAAGTGCTGTGTCGCCAGGACAACACCAAGCACCGAGTTCTGAAACGAAACACAAAACCGATAAACAACCAAAGCTTCGAATCTCAAATATAGCACAGCACATAGTTTTATGCACGACTAATGATATAATCCCATATATCACATGCCATCATTGATCGCAGCACATCAAATATATTCATACAGCACACCTACAAATAAATACTGAATAAAAGCATGTGCTACGAGTTTTATATCTATTACTGATATGCCCCCGTCAGTATAGTAACCATATCAACAAAAGCACATAGAATACCGGACATGCGCACGATTTAAGTTTCAACAATTATTCGATCATCATCATTTTTTACAAATTAATTCCAATAAACACATATATAACTTGCATACAAATATATGGCTCCTTCATTTTGTCATCCGATTAGTATGTGCAATTGTATAATCAAATGTGTTTGCGTGTATACACACCTAATCATTTAGCATTTATAGCACAATGTATTATTCGAGCGCAAAACTATAAAATCAAAACGCATGCAATGAAACGAGTCGTATTAGAGTTTCAATGGTTTTTCACAGGGGAGAGTCAGGCGTACCTGCATACCAACTTCAATAGATATTGTTCTGGAAGAGGACACATCAATCCCGAGCATTCTTGCAAGTACATAGCCGAAGAAGAAACCAGATGCGTGAAGAAGAGCAACTGCAAGAACCACCTGATGACCGGACATGAGGATCGAAGAGGAGCTCTGAGCAATTGCATTTCCACAAAGAACTGCAACGATTGCCACCGCAGTAGGTGGCATTATTGGCGCGACAATTTTGACAAGACCTTGGAAGTACTGGTTCAAAAATGCACCGGCTAAAACAGGAAGAAGCACAACCTGAAATATGGAGGATAAACAGCGAGTGCAATATACGGAAATCAGTTGCTAGCTGTTAAATGGAACTGGCAAAAAAATGAACCTGTAAAGTTGACATGAAGAGGCCGATTGCATCAACCGCAACGAATTGCCCAGCAAGCTTTGCTGTGAGAAAAGGGGTCATAAACTGCATGCGGAAACAACACCAATGTTAACAGAAAGGGCAGTCTGATAATTTAATCGATTCATGAATTATGTAAAAGTAGCTCAAGCATGGGCTTGGAAAAGTCGGGGAAGAGTCAGACATATGTTTAGTCGCACAGTTACAGAGTCATTTTTACCTTACTTTCATAATATAACAATTGCAATAATAAGACCATATATATAATTTAAAGAACTATTGAAAATATACAATGCCATCAAAAGGATTCATCCCATACATGATTTTCATATCAATCCTACCAGCCAAAGAATTACTGTCCTAAAATGACCAAAATATAGCTTATGATTGTCATAAATTTCATATTGTAGGACTAATATCAAATTTCACCACATCACGAATTCATGACATAAAACACATACTCCTCCGCAATATTGCTAAGAAAACACGAGATACTAACCACAGCAGCGATGGTACTTGCAGCAGTCATCAACACTGAAAGAGCCACATTTCCACTGCAGCACAAAATTCATTACGACTTCTCATTAACTCATTCAATGGATTTACGACAAGAAGGAGACATACCGTGCAATGTATGTCACGATGTTACTGGCCGTCCCTGAAACAAACACGAGAAAAGCAAACACAAAAAAACAATAAGGTAAAATGATATATCATCATGACAAGGGTGAAGTAAATTCCCTACGACAGAACACACCTCCGGGGCAGCATCCCACCAAGATCAAGCCGGCTGCATAGTGGGACGGCAAATTCAAGAGCCTGCTCACAAAATATCCAGACAATGGCATCACCTACAACCCTCAAAAGAACAAAAAAAAACACACCACTAAGCGTGTATAATAAAGAAAAGAGATTCACATCCATGTAAACATCTAAAGATTTGAATAATTGCACTGAATCAAGTTTCTAGTTCAATTTGATTACCTTTTTTTGCAGGAGTGGAACACATGAAAACAATGGAAATATTAGGTTACCCCAATATTGACAACACAGCAAACATTTTGTAATCATTTGAGTTTCAATTAAGAACTTAGGACTCTTCCAACATATTCAGTAAGTATACTGTGAATTTGGCAGAAGAAAAAGAAGAACAACTCCAGGAAAACCAAGGAACAGACAATTACAGACATTAACAAAGATAAAATAAACGCCAAATAGGAACTAATTAAACACATGAAGAAATCTGTATAAAAGATGTATTGAGAGAATTAAAATCAAAAGTACCGAATACTGCAGAACGAAACCGCTGAACAACTCCTTGGGCATGGCGAAGGCGCCGCGAAGATCATCGAACGTCAACGTCATGCCCATTCCGAGCATCGTGAGAGTGATGCCCAAAACAGTCCACTTCGGCTGGACCCAATCGTACGAGCTCGGCTTCACGAGGCCAAGCAAGCATCCTAGCGCCACCCACACAGGGAAAGCAGTGGAAATAGCTTCTCCAACAGTTTCGATCCAGCTCTTCTTTTCTGCAGTCAAGGCGTTCGACGAATTTCCGCAGCGGAGAGGCTTCAACCTGCAGTTCGGAGCCGGAAAAATCGCGGGTAAAATCGTTGCAATTGGCTTCGCCAGGTGCGATTGAACTTGGAAATTCGTAAATTTCAGCCTTGGAAATGCGATTTGGGATTGGCGTGGTCTCCGGGGCTGGAGCTGTGGGGACGCCATTGAAATCGGAGCTCCGCATGGTGCAGGGAGATGACTCGGCTTTGTAATGCAAGCTTGCATTTTCCGGGATATAGTGAAGAACGCGGTTAGCTTTGGTAGGACGGCGGCAAGCGGCGGCGGTCGGAGATCAGCAGCCAAATGAGTTCTCTTCTTCGCTGGAAAGCACGTGTCGACTTATTTATATAGAATTGAGCTTGAATCCTAACCGTTGAAATAATACTTTTAACGGTTGGCGATTTCGATTTGAAATAATTTTTTTACGGTTCCAATTCTGTCGTTAGCTAAATTTTTATCGGTGGTCTTTTTATCGTGCCTTGGCCTAAACAAGTTTTATTTTATTGTGATTTGAAAGTAATTTAAATAATATTTTTATGATATTTTATTTAAAAAATAATATATTTCTGTTGGCTAATATATGAAGTATTTAATCATGAAATTTTTATTTGAAATACAAAATAAACATATACAAAAATTGAAGAATAATAATAAAATAATAAAAATTACAAAATAGTAATAACAAATAAAATTGGAGAAGAAAAAAAAATGTAATGAGAACTAATTTTTTTACCCAGTAAAAGAATTAGCTGAGAAACTTAATGTAAAATTTCGAATAAAATACAATTTTGTTTATGTATTATTTTACAATGATTACTTTAATTCATTTTATTAATTTTTTCAATTTTATTCTTTTTAAATTTTAAATCATAATTTTGATTATTTATCAATTAATATAATTTAAATTTAATCATTAATTATCATTTTCTTAACAAATTAATACATATACATTATCATCCAAACACACTGTATCTCTTTAAAAAAAAAGCTCAATTTATAGTACATATCAACAAAAAGATATATATAGATATATATTATTAAATTTATTATCATTCTTTTATAATAAAAGAAAAAATTATTATGTTTTCTTCTGTCATCAATTTAATTAAAATAAACAATTAATAACAATAATCAGTATCAATTTTTTTTCACTATAAAAATATTTAATTTTTGATAGTACTTCTCCCATCCCAAAAGTATAGTCATAAATGACTTTTTTTTGTCATTGTGCGTATATTAATGTAAAAAGTAGTGTCAATTATGTAATAATAATAAAAAAGTAGATATAGTTTTATGGTGATATGGTTATTTATAAAAATGAGACTATTATTTTGAGACGAACAAAAATGGTAAATAAAACTGTTGCATTGGGAGGTATGAAGTATTAATTAATTAGTAGGTGATCACTAAGCTAAGTATCTATCATAACTAAAGATATGTATGCCAAAGTCAACTAGCAGCAAAAGATAATAATAAATTTATACTAGAGCAACATTTACACGTACGAAGTCAACTATAGAACACGTTCGGTAAGGGATGGCCTAGTGGTGTATGGGTTAGAGTTGTAAAGACCATGAGGTCCAAAGTGTTCATGTTTTGAAGGTTGCAAAAAATGTTCAAATTTTTTTCATAAGTTAAAAATATAACAAATCCAAAACACACCGGATAGAGCTTGTTACATATGCAGAGCCGGCTCTTACCAGAAGCAACTTGAGCAATTGCTCAGGGCATCTGTTTCCAAATGGTCTATATTTTTTAATTTTATCTCACTATTATTAAATATAGTATAATTTAATTTAGATTTTTTTCGACCATTACACAATCTAATTTTCATTCTAAAATTAAATTATAATAAAAAAATATCTAAAATTAATTATATATATATTTTTTACCTTTAGAATTGGTAAATATTTTTAAAGCCCTTAATTATTATTAGATATATTAAATTTAAATTTAAATTTTATCTCATATTTTTCTCTACAATTATCCAATCTAATTCTAATTCTAATAAATTCTAATTAGAATTTTTTTAAAATTAATCTCAAATCCATTATAATTATAATAAATTCTAACTAGATTTTTTAAAAAAATTAATCATATGTTCTTTGCTTGTAGAATTTGTAGTTATTATTATTGAGTTATTGATTTTAATAGTCAAGATATTGTATCCCAAACTAGGCCTGACAATCAACTCCACACCGACGATAAAAAAAATAAATTATTTGTTTATAAGATCTATTATTTATTTTTTGTTCAGGGCCTTAAAAATATTTGAAACGGCCCTGTACTTATGTATGTATCGTTTCTTGTACCTTATATTAGCTTGAAATAGTGTTTATTACAGATGAACTAAGACATGTAATGAGACCGGAGATGAAAAACAACAGGACTTGCAAATACAGACAACAGATTAAATTTTTTTTTATCAACAATGGATTAGAGAGATTAAAGAGGTTGGATGGGACACTCTATATGCAAGGGCGATAATCGCGATAATCACACCAGTATTGTTATCTGAATGTTCTTGTCAACATCCCCAACTCTTCTTTATTAATTAATGCGATTCATCGACAAAACATACAATAATCCCATTTGGAGTTTGATTGAATTCAAGCTTAAATGATTTTAAGATGTTCTATTTACAAAACTTTTCAAGCTTCAATTCATATTGTCATAATCATCATGGCTCTGTTTAGTGGGTTTCGCTATTGCTGTTTTGGTTGATGTTCGCAGATGGTCCGATCAATATATGAATTCCGGTAAAAAGTTGCGGCCCATTCAACATGGAGCAAGTGATTCATTCAGTTGCGGTTCAAATCGGTCAGACCGACGCATCTCCAAAATGAACATCGATTCTAAAATATATGTTATAATGGATAGACAAATTTTAGGAGATTTACTTGAGATAAAATATGGAAGTCAAACTAAGGATTTATTGAGAATGATTTTTTTTTTTATTTAACAATTTTACCATGTTGAGAATGTTGAAGTTAGAATAGTAATCATAGCGCATAGGGAAAAGAGAACAGGGGTGTAAAAGGATGAGTTAATAGCGAGAGGGAACAAGAACTTGAATGGGTAGAGGTTTTCGGTACAAATGGTTGTGCTAAAAAATTATGTGTTAGCAATAGAGCGAGATTTTCCGAGGGCCATGATTCACACAATAATTTTGTAAGCTTGATCCATTCATTTTTTAGTATTAACCTTCCTATGTTGGTACTCCAGACGTATGCTTTAAATGATCGAATTGGGTTAACAATTGTTTTATATTTTATGTTCTTGTAGTCACCATCACGTGTATTCACAGTCTGATCATTCAGCAAACAACGAGTTTGTGTTGAGTTTTTTTTTTTTATTATTCGATTTTGTTTTTCGAAGTGAATTGTTAACGCTGTTAGGGCCATATTTTTTGTTCAGTGACACGCCAAAATACTTGGCACGGGCTCGGATCTAAAACAGATACCATAGATACATTACATGGCAAGTCTTTGTTGATTGACTACATGTAAGAATTAGATTTGTAAAAAATAAGGTGATCTAATTACTCCTGGCAACAACTCAGTAGTTATTTGTACAAGTGATATAAATCGACATGCAATTGAAACCCCGACTTTCTTGCCTATATAACTAAATAAAAAGGTCTATGAAACGGGAAGATGATAAGACCTCATGTGTGTTAAAATATATATAGGCAACCTAAAACAGACTCGATAGACTCAAATATAAGTAACGTAATCTAATGGATATGACCAAATCTAAATCTAACAAATCTAAAGCTAAATATAAAAAATATCTCGACAATGTGTTCTTCTAGTTTCTAATCGCCATTCGACCAAGGCACAACTGCCACCGGCAAGTATTTCTATTACCATGTACTAAACAAAGATCGATTCATATTTAAACTAGATGCCCGACGCATCAATGCAATAAGATGTAAGAAAATCAGTCGAAAAGTTAGAATAGGTTAGCCAAGATTCAACACAGTAATACGACGTTTAAAGATGAGAAATCAAAATATAGTACTATAAGAACATGCAAGAAACAAGAGTAAGAGAAATGTGTTAGTTTAATTAATTAATTAATTAATTATATTTAAATTTTGATCATTTTTTTGGATTATCTTATATCATTAGACTAACCCTAAAGTATACGTGAGAAGTGACAGAAAAATCATCCATGACGATTTTTCTTTTTAATTATAAATACTCTCACGTACGGGTTACTAAATCTACTATCAGAAATTTAGAATACACTATCGCTATTTGGAAGCAAAGGTTTCGCAACATCTTCCTAGGGTTCCAAGGCTTGACAACATCCTCCCAGGATTCCAACTACTAATTACTTGAACAAGTAGATTTCAATGACAGATTTAAATTTGAGCAATTGGCGGATGTTTGTTAATTATTATATTCGCTTCCCTAATGTGATTTAAGAATTATTTCTTACAAAATGGCTATGAGCTTCAATTAAAGTTCTCTAGATCATTACCTGATTTTAGTTATAATAAAAATGCAGTTATCTTCTAACCATAAATTTGAATTTATCTCACTCTAAAAAGTATATTTTCTATATATTATTCCTTTATATTATTTTATATAATTTTTTATATTTATTAATTACACTTCAACTTTAATTTATTTTTATATTTATCACTCCAACATATATAATTTATATTTTATCTAAAAATTATATATATGAAAATTAACATTTATAATTAATAATTATTACAAATAAAATAATTTTAAATAAATACTTAAATGCTATCAAGACAAATGTGATATAATTTTAACATAACTAAATAGTTTAATTAAGATTAAAAAAAAATTAAATTTTAAATTTTAAAATATGATTAAAGTGTATAATTAATTTTCCAAAAAAAAGAAAGAATAAATTATGTGGGACGGACGAAAATAGAAAATATGGACAAATTATATGGTAGGAAGAGAGTACAAAACATCACAAAAACTTCACTCCAAAAATGGAGTAAAGCTACACTTAGAAGTAACAGTGGATGACTACAAAATTGAGGGAGGATTTGGGGTGGGATTGGAGGAGGGAATAATAATTTTATTATAAGAAACATAATTAATACTCCCTATGTTACCGTAGACAAGAGAATATGATAAAGATAATTAGTAAATAAAAAAATATATTAATAAAAATAATTATTATATACTACTTTTGTCTGACTTCAAGGTCTTATTTACTTTTTGTGTTGATATTTGAATATTAATTATTATATTAAAACTTATGACAAATTAAGAAAGAATTATAAAAATATTTTCATTAGTATCTTGTAATACTAATGAAAAAAAAAAAATTGTAGATAAAATGTAATCTCAGAGACCAACGGATAGAGTATTATAAATAATTATAGATTGAGATAAAAATATATAATTAGTTTAATTAAAATTTTTAAAAATTATAAATTAAAAAATTTAAAATAAAATTAATATATAATTATTTTTGAAAAAAAAATAATAACACAGAAATATAGAACGGAGAAAAACCACAGTATACACAGGGTAGATGAGATAACTGTTAATAAATAGAGTGGGCATGAGTAAATGGTAGAATTCCGTGCAGGTAATTCCATCCATTGTTCCCGTGACCCCTCAAAATGACATATTAATAAACTAACGGCACCTCATTAAATTCCAATTCCTCCAACGGCTAATTAATTAATTCATCCATTCTTTCATTAATTTTATCAAACACCACTCCAATCTCATCGGTGATCTCACTTTTCCATTCTTACACAACAACCTCGAATTCTTTTAATTTCCCAATTAGGTTACCCCTACCCAATCCAAATCCAAATCCAAATCCAATCATTGTTCCATGGAAGAAGCTCTGTGGAGTTTCGAAGACCGCCTGAACCTCTCCACAGGCGAGGCCGCGGCGGCGCTGCTAATATCCGCCGCCTGCGTCCTCTGCATTGCCGCCTGCCTGTTGAGAAGAAGAGGTCAAAGTAGAGGGTGCAGTGTTCATCAGGCGCCGCCTACGCCTCCGCCGCCGTCGAGGCTGGCGGCAACGGGGCGGTGGAGCGGAGCTAATAAGTGGGACGGCCATGACGCTTTGTTGTTGGAGGAGAATGATGGCGGCGGCAGCCAAGGAAGGAGCCATAGCTCGAGCTCGGCCGTGTGGCAACGGCCGATACTTATGGGCGAGAAGTGCGAGTTGCCGAGGTTTAGTGGCCTCATTTTATACGATCCCACGGGATCGCCCATCCTAGATGAACTGCATTGCGATGCTCAGGTATCTATTACCCGTGATTATTAGGTTTCATTTTGTTAATTTAATTTTAGTTTTTTTACTACTTCATTCGTCTCATTATATATGAATTTTTATTTTTTTTTCATCCGCTCGATAAAAGATAATCACTTTTTATGTTTAGTAAATTTATCAATTTTAAACGCACTTAATAAATATAAATCAATTGAATTAAATTAGATCCACTCAAAATCTCTTTGTTTTTATCTCTCTTTACTTAACAAATTATATATATTTTTATTAAAATATAATATTAAAAATATATACACATATTTTAAATTTCTTTTGATCATTAAATAACTAATCTCCATTATATGAATAATTAGTTTAATTTCTCGTGCCCAAAGAAAAAATTTCGTATCGGTGTCGGGATGGAGGGAATATTTACCCTTTATATATTTTTATAAAAAATTACTACTTTTTTTGTATATAAATAATTAAATTAAAATATGCGCAAAAAGATTATTCGTTCAAAATTAATAATTAATTGTAGGCGCTCACACCTATTATACCTGTTTTATATAAATAAAAAAGTAAAATATTTTGATTAGTGTTTTTTAATAAAATAAATATATAGTTTATCAAACACTCATTTAATAATTTTTCGAGAAAAACTGTCATATAATTTTTACAAAAAAAAAAAACCATAAAATTAAAGATTGATCAATCATTTATTATTTAAATAAAACTATTTAAGATATTTGATCTATTTTATTTGTAAAAGGTTTGCATAATTATGTGCGTGTTTACAAATATTAGTTTTGAATGAAAATAGTATTTTGTACATACTTTGATTTAATACAAAAAAATTTCACATAATAAATAAAATATGTACTTATATATTTTTACTAAAACACAATAATATTAAGTTCTTTATTATTATTCAAACTCGATGTTTAATTTGGATGATATTGTATCGTATATATAATGCAGGAGCCATCGTCACCTCCAATAGGGAAAACTACACTCAAGGACCTCTTGCTATGATCATCCATTAATATTTTATAGATATATAATGTAATAAGTAAATGTTCATTTTATTATTGACAATAAAGTAAAAATAATGTAAAAAAATAAAAAAATAAAAAAATTTGATATTTAAAGTAAAAATAATGTAAAAAAATAAAAAATTTTGATATTTAAACGAGAGTTTCTTTTTCTAAAAATAAAATGTAAAATTTTGATTTAGATATACTAAAGTGATAACATAAAATTTTTTATTATTGAATGGAAAAAGTATTATTTTGTAATTTAATAGAGTATTATTTTGTAATTTAATTTTAATTTCTTTTTATGTAACCATCACAATTTTTAATAAAAATATATTTTTTTATCTTATAAAATATTACATTCAAAGGATTATTCAAATTCAAAAATAAATTGAAAGGCCAAAATAATACACTTGGTTGAATTGAGACATGGACTAAATCACATTGTTTTTTTGTCATAATATTATGATGTCCATGATCGTTTAATCTAAATTGTTAATTAATTCATTTTTATAATTCAATAGGGAACTAAGAAGTACATTTTTTTAGAGTTTTATTTTGTTTAAATATAATTTAAATATGACATTGGTTAAAAAAATAATTTATTTTTATAGAAAAAAAAAAAAAAAAAAAACCTACCCAAATAACACATGATTTAAACTTCTATAGTGATGAAAATAACATCATAGCCATTAATAACTAATTTTATTATTTTAAAATCTACTCCCTCCATCCCATGTAATATGGGTTTATTATTGTAGACAAGAGAATTTAAAATTTAGGTAAAGTATAATTAGTAAGCAATCAATAAATATATTAGTAAAAATAATTATAGATTAAGATTAAGATAACTAAATAGTTTAATTAAGATTAAAAAAAATTAAATTTTAAATTTTAAAATATGATTAAAGTGTATAATTAATTTTTTGAAAAAAAGGAAAGAACAAATTATGTGGGATGAACGAAAACAAAAAATAGAGACAAATTATGTGGGACGAATGGAGTAATTCTGAAGAGGTAGTATACCATTAATTTTAGAAGTATTTATTGGACAATATAAAAATTAATTGACCCACACACATGAAATCTGTTAAATAATGCCAAGTTAATTTATATTTTTTTAAATATAACAACACTATTTCTAAAAAATAATACTTCCTCCCGTCCCAAAACTATAGTTTGGGTTGAGTTTGTCACGTGATTTAAGAAATATTGATATTATATTGATAGTGAGTAAAAAGTACGGATAAAATTTTTTTTTTTTCCTTGTGAGTGTATTAGTGTAAAAAATAGTGGTAATTGTGTAATAATAAAAAGTAAAGGTAATTTTATAATGATATGATTATTTATAGAAATGAGACTATTGTTTTGAGATGGAGAAAAATGGTAAACATGACTATTGTATTAGGACGGAGGAAGTATCATAATTTATTATTAATAACTTACAAATATACACTATACAAATTCTCGTGATCATTATAAATAGATCATCTTACCCAGGACGGGGGAGTATTATTTAAAATATACTCTTATATCATCAAATATTTATTGAATCTCACAAAATATTACATCAAATAATTGATATTTTATTATTTTCAAAATAAATCCTTACTCTTATTTTTATACAAAATATTTTATATACCAACTACTTAATTAAAGAAAAATCCGAACAAAAACAAATGCACTTGTTATTTATTATTATTATATATTTATTTCATATCTCAATTTATTTTTAAAAATTGCCAAAATTATTTATAATTCACCGGTGGTGATTTAAAAATTTTGCACCATTATCTAAGAATGGTGATTCAGGCCGACCCAGCCTAATCATATTGGGCTGAGCACATTTTGATTCCAAATCGAGTCTGTAAAATTAAGCTCGATCACAATCTATTTTAAAATTGGACGTTGACACGTTTTTTTAAAAAAATTATTTTTTTCTTTTTTTTAAATTTTAAATTAAATAATTATATAAAAAAAGTTATCATTTGATAGAATCAAAAATTGAACCACTAATCAACTACATATTTAATCAAGATATGTCTTGATTTTCGTCTTTATTTCATTATTCATTATATATAGGATTTAAACAAAAGTTACCATTTTAGGATAATGCATGTTTCAGTAGAAATTTCAAATCAGATCAGGTGCTGAAATTAATATATGTAGTTATATTAATTATATTATTAATAAATTAAATTATTATAATTAAATTATCAATGTACACTCAGCACCTCATGTGATAAAAATCTTATGAAAATTTCAAGTAAAATATCAAGTTCATTATAATCAGTTAACTAAATCAATTATACAGAGATTTATTTTTCAATTTGATGAGTCCGGACATGGCCCGGTTAATTGCTGTTCCGGACTAGGCATGATTCGAAAATTTTTTGACCTACTTTTTTAGGCCCAAATACAATTTTTTTGTAATGAGTTTGGATTGAATTTCCAGCACCTATTTTTACCAACTTTACCATTATCATCGTGATATAAAAGATTTATAAGACTCCATCGTGTTTTCATATTACACAAAAATTCTCTCACATTTTTTAAAAATATTTTATATAATCTTTTAAAAAGAAGATTCTATACAATATTTTCATAAAAATACAAAAAGTTTCACAATTTTTAAATCATGAAAAAAAAATCGTACAAACTTTTTAAATCACAAATGAATTGTAAATAATTTTGTCTTAAAAATTTCACATAAAAGGTTTATTTTATATACAAACCATTACATCTAGCATGTGGTGGTCAAGTTGATATAGTACATAAATATCGATATGAGTTCAAACTTCATCGATATTTTTTTATAGTTGAGATTATACAGCATCTACTCGAAGAGTAGTGGAAATAATAATATTAAAATTATTTAATAACTTCAAAAAAATTATTATTATCTATATATATATATATAAAAGAGATCAATGTGGAGTCCATTTCACCAAAATTTTTTTGTCAAATTTTTGATTTTTTAATAAAATAAATATGTATTAAATGCTATTAAGTATATCATAATTAATAAATTTATAATAAATACATTTTTAAAGATAATAAAATTATAATAAAATTATATTAAATATCCATAATTAATATACCATAACTAACCTATTTAACAAACTATAATTAACACAATAAATAAATATTTAAAAGTTGATAAAATTATTAAAAATATGATACTATGACGTATATATAGAACAGCATACTTATCTATTCAATTTAAAATTAAATAATAATTTTGAATTTTAAAAATAAATTTGCTATTATACACACACATATATATATTAATTACATAACTACTGATTACATCAATTTTAATTTTTAATTTTTTTAAAAAAATAATGGATATGTTCTTTTAATAAAAATTTAACAGAGACAAAAAAATATATATAAAAATATTTGATGTACAAAAAAATAAAATATAAAAAATGCCGTGCACCGCACAGATTTTCCGCTAGTTATTATTTAAAGGAAACGAATCCTCACGCTTTTACCTTGATTGTGTGCAAAAGTCGAAAGCACAAAAACGCCTGATTCGAGAAATGAGAGTGCAAAACCATGTGGATGTTGATGATAATTAAGATGTAAAAAGTTATTTTCTGGGGGGCCAAAAGTAAATATTGTGCAACTAATTCATAAAAGTAGCATGACCAAATTGTAACATTTGGCATGAAGCCTAGCTCACATTATTAATTCAACGACCGTTACACATGCCACCTATATTTATATTAAATATATTTATTAAAATATTTTAAATATTCCGTATAATTTATTCTTATTTTTTATTTTTATCTGTCCTACATAATAATTTGTTCTTTTATTTTTTAGAAAATTGATTATATATTTTTAATCATATTTTAAAATTTAAAATTTATATTTTTTTTAATTTTAATTAAACTATTGTTATCTTAATCTTAATATATATTTATTTTTAATATATAATAATTTTTAGTAATTATATTTTACTTAAATTCACGTATTTATAGTCATACGCTCGTATTATTTTGGACAGAGGTAGTATAATAAAATAATTTTATAAAAAAATATAATATTATGAATATATTTAAAATAATAGTATGATGTATTCTCTTTAATTATTCTTATGTTTAGTTTTATTAAGTATAAACTTCAATAAAAATATATTATTATTATTTTTAATAAAATATCAAATCAAAATAATGTTTTAATAAAAATTGAAAAATATATTTGTCTAAGAGTTTACATTTGAATTTAAATATTTATTTAATATGATATAATTAGGTATTTGTGTGATATATTGAATGTAAATTTAATTTTAATATAATATGACAAATAAAAAAATAATTTTTTAATTTTATAGTTTTGAAAAAATATATATATATTTTATAAATATAAAAAATGAAGATAAAAAAAAGTACTCTATAATCACATCCCAAATATGACGAGAACACACCCACCCTGTTTGGTTAGTCGTCGTCGTCGTCGTCTTCTTCTTCTTCTTCTTCTTTTTTTTTTTTTTTTTAAATAACACATCCACAAATAAGGAAAAGAGAGTGACTATGGTCCGTAAAGGATCACCTAGTGGTGTAGAGTTTGGACTTGTGACCGTGAGGTCATAGGGTCAAACCACCGACGTCTTAGGTCACCTGTCACGTATGGTTCGCCTAATGTGATTTTTCCGTCGAGAGTTTACTCATTGCGTACTGACTGTGGTTTCCTACGTCATTAAAACAAAATAATTAAATTTAATAATTTTAGTTAAATTACATAAAAGCTAAATTAATAGATGTGATTGGATTCATCAATGCTGAATTTGTAGCATTTACAAATTTAATATGTTATGCTATCTAATGGATAAGAAAATCAAACTTAAGGCACAACTTATTTGACTAAAACAAAAGTCAAAGGTTGACTCTTTACCTATATTTTAAGTGCTACCAAACTTGTCACTAAAATGCAAAAAGGGAACAACATGTGAGTATGTAATTAAAATCATATCACCTAATTACCACTTACCAACCCACCCAACACACAGCTCAAATATACACACTTTGTTTGGATACATTTTTTTTTTTAAGTTTTGAAAAAAAATTGAAATAATAAAATAATACATCTGTCCGGCTCTAAGTGTCTCATTTATTTTTTGCATGTTGATATTTAAATATTAATTATTATATCAAAACGTAGTACAAATTAAGAAAAAATTATAAAAATACTTTCATTGGTGTCTTATAATACCAATAGAATGACATTTGTATAAAAAATTATATAAATATATGAATAGTTTTAATATTAAGTATACAAAACGTAAATGTGATCTTAGTGACGGACGGAGGGAGTATTAATCATTTAATTTAATTATTTTGTAAAAAACTATTATTGATAATTAGTGATAAAACTTGCAAATATATATATTGAATCATATATATATATATTTAACTTGAATATTTTTTTAATTATTTTTTGATTTAATAATACTCTATATTTTCTTTTCTTTTTTTTTTTTTTTTAAAATAAATTTTCATTGTTTCCACACTTCTGCTTTTATCGTCAAAATAATTTTTAGTAACTTTTGAAAGTAGTTGACAACATTTTTCTCTAAACTATTTTATATACAATCTTATAAGTAGTATATTGAGTTTTTATTGGTTTGAATTCGAGGGGATTTTTTAATTTATAATTATGATTTAAATAATATTTTTAATATATTATTTTATAAATAAAAAATAACATATTTTTATTGAGACTTATGTCATTGAATAGTGTTTTCTATTTTTAGTGTTAGAATTTATTTTAGAGTATTTTGATCTTAATACAAAATTCAAGAAAAGTTAGGTCTGATAGCATATTAATATTTTAAAACAATATCTATGAATATTATTTGGTTGTAATCTAAAATAATTTATAATAGATTGTTAATTTGAATTTTTGATAGTATTTTAATATGATGTTTTACTGGCAAAATCGGGAGACATCAGGGGTCTGAATAACGACTGTTACACCACCAGATCATCTCGGAACAAAAAAAAAAATGTTATTGTTTATAGGCTTGAGAATTGAATTTTAAATTGTGAATTGATTTTTTTTAATATGATATAAATAAAATTAATATAATATAAAATTAATAAATAAATATTTGATTTTATGCTTTTTGCTAAAAATTTTTTATGAGTATTTGGATCAAAATCCTCAACCACAACCAAATAATTTGGTTGTACTCCAAACTATTTGTTTTATAAATAGTTTTAAGGGATATATATATATATATATTTATTTATATGAAATATAAGAAATTATATAGATAATAGAAAAATAATAAGTGTGTGTAGTTTTTTTTTGAAAAAAAAATGTGTTAGGTTTGTTTTCACATAACAAACAAATATATACACAATTTTCAATTAAAATATACTCCTGTCCGAGTCATATGTATTCATTTGATTTTTACATGTAAATTTAAGTATATTAGTATTTAATATTTAATATTACAATAGAAAGACAAAAAATAATCTTGCCCTTATAAAACCTCATTTGTATTGACTTTTGTCGGGGCTTTTGGTTTCTACTTAAAAAAAAATATATTTATACTCTATCCGTCTCATAAAATTGTACTCAGAATTTTTTTGTCTTTTATAGTAAAATAAATATTACAAATGGTATAATATTTTATTAAATAAGGAAGGAGAACATGTTTAAGAGACAAAGAATAATAAAATTGGGCACATTTTTAGGAGAAAGAAGGAGTACATATTGACTTCGGTCCGAAAACATAATCAGCTTTTGAAGCTCAAACTCTAAAATAAACATAAACAATTTTTAGTTAAAATTATTATTTTATTTTTATAAAAAGTAATAACTTTATATTTTAATTAAAATTCCAAAATTTAATTCTATTTTGATTTTAATTTTATATATTATACTGAAAATAAAATTTAAAATTATAGTTTAAATACCAAATTTAAAAATGTAAATTCTTAATTATACTAAAAACTAAAAATGATTAAATACTATAATTTATAAAATATAATAAGTTATAAAAATAAATTAATCAATATTGAATTATAATTATATTTTTAATTTACATATTTCTTTAAATGAAAATCTTAAAATACTATAAGTTACCAAAATTAAAAATTATTTTTTATACTAGTATAAAAACTTTTTATATATAATTAATACAATTCAAAATAAATTATAAAGAATTTTTTTATAAAAAATACAATTATATTAATGCGATATTCTTTTGAGTAATTTTAAAGTTCAAAGTATTTTTAATTTTATTATATTTAAATATATTTTTTTTTAAAAAAATATTTTTATATATTTATTAAATCGTTTCTACTTTTAATTTTTACTTTTACTTATTTTTTAAAACTAATTCAAATTGAACCTTATTATTATTATTATTATTGTATTATTTGTAATATTGTTTAAAATGTTAAAAAAAAATTTATTAAAATAAAAAGTAATTGAAATATATTTTATTAAATTAAAAATACTTTTACTAAAATTCAAAATAGATATATTTGAGTTAGGCATATAAAAATAACAAAATAGTCATATATGACTCAAACAAAGAAATATTATACTCCTTCCGTCTCATAACTAAATATCAATTTGCTTTTTGCACGTGGTTTTAGAAATATTAATATTATATTTAGATATAGTAGGAATAAAGTAAAAATAATTAAAATAACCTTATTAGTACGTGTGATATAAAAGTAATGATATTTTTGTAATATATTGAAAGTTGTAAGGGTATTTGTAACGTTAAGTAGATAGTACAATTACTAAAAAAAATAGATACTTTATTATAACACGAACTAAAATGAAAAAATGGATATTTTGTTATAGGATAGGAGTATTATTTTATAAAATATTATACTGTCTCAATATTATTTATTAAAAAATAAGAAATTAAAATTCACACAAATCAAACAAACTCAATCAAAGATTATTAACTATATTTAGAATTTAAACAAAAGTTACCGTTTTAGGATAATGTATATTCAGTATAAGTTTTATGAAGATTTTAAGTTTTCTAAGTTCATTATATCAGTTATACACTGAAATTTGTTTTTTACTTTTATAAATTTTATTCTCAACTAATTAGACAAATTTCAGTGCAATTCTTTTATATTATTGATTCGAAATCAATACTTTTGAAATTTTTATCATTTTTCATTAATAATATTTTTTTTAAAAAATAAAATAAAATTTACCGCATCAAATACATATACTCCCTTTCGTCCCATTGAAATGTTACTATTTTTTATTTTCGTCCCTCCTAAAATAAGGTTACAATTTCCTAATTCAGTAAATGTACTACCTACTTAACATAATAAATACTCTTTCAACTTACAATATATTACACAAAATATCATTACTTTTATATTATACCATACTAATAGGGGTATTTTTGTGTTTTTTTACTAGAATCCAATATAATACTAATATTAAAAAATCTACGTGCAAAAAGCAAATGTCACCCTTTCAACGGGACAGATGGATTATATTTTTTTACAAAATATCAAATTAAAGATTTACTGGTCTCAATCTTTATTAAGAAAAAGTTCAAAACTTAAAAATTTTATATCTAAGAGAAATCAATTTACCAAAACAAATGTATATTTTTAAAAAATTATGATATTAACCTGAATATACACTATTTATTATAAATATTTTTTTCGTTCCACTTAATTTGTCCTATCTTTATATTTTTGTTTATCCCATATAATTTATTTATTTTAAATATAATTATACACTTTAATCACATTTTAAAATTTATAATTTATATATATTTTTTTAATTTTAATTAAATTATTTAATCATCTTAATTTATAATTATTTTTAATAATATATTTCTTAGTACCTAGATAATACCTAAAAACTTATGACATACAAACCAATAAAGAAACAGGCTAAATGCACAAATAAATTACCCAAATCTGTCGCAACAATTAAGTGAAACTAAATTTAAATAATTGTCAATTAGATTATTTTCGATGCATAAAAAGTCCTCACCTACCCTTCAGTTACCTCAGCTCACCAAACTAATTTCGCCCAAACAACTCTTGGAACATCTTCCCGTCAAAGGGTATTTTTGTCATTTCATAATTCCGCGGCCATTTCCATACTCTTTGCCAAAATTAACGAGAAAACGCGGAAAGTGAAAATTCCATGAGGAGAGTGGGGTGGGGGGTGCCGGGAGGTGGGGAAGGGGGGGGGGGGGGGGGGGGGGGGAAGAGGGAGGGTCGGGTATATATATAGATGGCGGAGACGTTGCTTCATACTGCATTACTGCGCTTGTCGGTCTAATTTATTTCCGCGTCCTTCTTCGGATTTCAATTTGGATTCCTCAGTTTTGCTGGAGTAAGTAATTGGAATCCTTGCGCGCTGAATTGCTGCTCGGGTGATCCTGATCTGACTTCGCGGCGAAAAAATGTGAGTTTTCTAGAGATCCTGATTCGTTTGCCCATGATTGATTTTTCTGCAGGAGTTTCGTTTCGGTGCGATCTGAGTTGTGCGCGAATGTGGTAGATCTGTATGCTAATTTGGTGTAAAATTGATGTCGTTGATGCGGTTTTTTCAGATCTGTTCGTTTGTGTAAGGTTGTGTGAGTTTGCCATCGCCTTGGTGTGCGCGGCGGCGAACTTCGTGTTTGTAGTTGAAGTTGAAGATTTGTTGATCAGTAACGGAAAAGCTTAATTCTTTTGCACACGTAATTGAATCGTTAGGCAATTTAGTTGATCTCTTGGTGGTTTGAGTATCGTCATCTTCTAGTTACTTCGCTGATGCAAATTTGCCATTTCGACGGTTATTTGTTTAAATGTGGAATTTGTACAGTGATTTGAACTGATTTCGTGTTGCAATCACTTTCTACTTGACTATAAAATACTTGGAAGATCTGAACAGAGTTTTAAACGGATTTCATATCTTCGATGTAACTATTAGTTAATTTGAAATTATTATCCAATACCACGGATATGGATGTGAATTTGCTTTTGTTCTTCAAAATCAGTTGATTGCTTAGGGTTTTAGTCGATGGCTGATTGTTGTTGCTGATCTTAGTGCTTTGAACATTCCTGGGATCTAACATGACTTGAGTCAATGGTAATGTTGTTAAACTTGACTGTGTGTTCTATTGCAGAGATCAAACAAAAATGGCGCTGTTTACACCGAAAAATATCCTCATTACCGGGGCAGCTGGATTCATTGCTTCTCATGTTGCTAATCGGCTTGTTCGAAACTACCCTGACTACAAGATTGTTGTGCTCGACAAGCTTGATTACTGTTCAAATCTCAAAAATCTTCTTCCCTCGGACTCTTCAGCCAACTTCAAGTTTGTCAAGGGCGACATTGCCAGCGCCGATCTTGTGAACTACCTTCTCATTACTGAGAACATCGATACGATCATGCACTTTGCAGCCCAAACTCATGTCGACAATTCTTTTGGCAACAGTTTCGAGTTCACCAAGAACAATATTTACGGCACTCATGTCCTTCTGGAGGCTTGCAAAGTTACCGGCCAGATCAGAAGGTTCATTCATGTCAGCACAGATGAAGTCTACGGGGAGACCGACGAGGATGCTGTTGTGGGAAACCACGAAGCTTCGCAGCTCCTTCCGACTAACCCCTACTCAGCTACAAAGGCAGGGGCTGAAATGCTTGTTATGGCGTATGGGAGATCTTACGGATTGCCGGTGATCACTACGAGAGGAAACAACGTTTACGGTCCTAATCAGTTCCCCGAGAAGTTGATCCCCAAGTTCATCCTTTTGGCGATGAGAGGAAAAACTCTTCCAATTCATGGCGATGGTTCTAACGTGCGGAGTTACCTTTACTGCGAGGATGTTGCCGAAGCATTTGAAGTGATTCTTCACAAGGGAGAAGTCGGTCACGTGTACAACATTGGGACGAAGAAGGAGCGAAGGGTCATTGATGTTGCCAAGGACATTTGCAAGCTTTTCAACATGGATTCCGACAAGTGCATCCAGTTCGTTGAGAACCGGCCCTTCAATGATCAGAGATACTTTCTCGATGATCAGAAGCTGAAAAATTTGGGTTGGTTCGAAAGGACCACGTGGGAGGAGGGATTGAAGAAGACGATGGAGTGGTACACGAGCAATCCGGATTGGTGGGGCGATGTGTCGGGCGCTCTTATTCCTCATCCTAGAATGTTGATGATGCCCGGAGGAATCGAGAGGCATTCGGATGGAGCTGAAAAGTCTGCCACCGAAGGGTCCGTTGGGAATTCTAATCCGCCGAAAATGTTGGTTCCTGCTACCAGAAACAGCCCTTCGTCTCAGAAATCATCGTCACCCTTCAAGTTCTTGATCTACGGGAGATCAGGGTGGATCGGCGGTTTACTGGGGAAATTGTGCGAGAAACAGGGGATTCCGTACGAATATGGAAAGGGTCGGCTCGAGAACCGATCATCATTGGTGGATGATATCCTCGCTGTTAAGCCGACGCACGTTTTCAACGCTGCCGGTGTAACAGGCAGACCCAATGTCGACTGGTGTGAATCTCACAAGACCGAGACGATTCGCACCAACGTTGCCGGCACATTGACCCTGGCAGACGTGTGCCGAGAGCACGGTCTTCTGATGATCAACTACGCCACCGGGTGTATATTTGAATACAACGCGACGCACCCGGAAGGTTCTGGAATCGGGTTCAAGGAGGAAGACACGCCGAATTTCATCGGTTCATTCTACTCGAAGACCAAAGCTATGGTAAAATCTCGAAATCTCGTAAGCTCAATTTCAAGGATCAAGAAACTGATGGATGGTTGATTTTTTTTCTCTCAGGTTGAGGAGCTTCTGAAAGAATTTGACAACGTGTGCACGCTCCGTGTCCGGATGCCAATCTCGTCGGACCTCAACAACCCGCGCAACTTCATCACGAAGATCTCCCGTTACAACAAGGTCGTGAACATCCCCAACAGCATGACCATTTTGGACGAGCTGCTCCCCATTTCGATTGAGATGGCGAAGCGCAACCTGAGGGGGATATGGAACTTCACGAACCCGGGAGTCGTCAGCCACAATGAGATCTTGGAGATGTACAAGGATTACATTGACCCGGAATTCAAATGGGCCAACTTCACACTGGAAGAGCAGGCGAAGGTCATCGTTGCGCCCCGAAGCAACAACGAAATGGACGCGTCGAAGCTGAAGAAAGAGTTCCCGGAGTTGCTATCGATCAAGGAGTCGCTGATCAAGTACGTCTTCGAGCCCAACAGCCGGAAAACTGCTGCTGCTGCATAAGGTATCTCAACATGCTGATCTGATCTTTTAAGTTTTGGCTGTGGTTCTTATGATTTATGATTTATGATTTATGATTTATGGAATGCAATAATTTGTGATCTGAAATTGCTTGTCTCATTAGCATATATTGAATTTGATTCTTGAAATATTTGTTGGAATTGATCTGATCTGATCGATTAGCTGTTTGAAGTGATGATGATCTCATCTGATCTGATCTTTAGGAAGTGAAAAACATTTGTTATTGTGTAAACATTGACGATGAGTTAGTTAACTAGAGTTTTGTTAAATGATTGCTAGAAATTTATATATATATATATTCACAATACATCAAGTATAAGTCAGACCGTACAATTTATTAGGATATATTTTTATTAGTTTTAGTAATTACAAACTATTTATTTTTTATTTTTAATATGTATGGCCTTACCGTATATTTTAAATACTTTTATATTTATATTTATTTGTATCCATATCCATACATTGACTCTATATATAAATTGTTTTTTTTAGCGGGTGTCTGTTTTAGAATTCTAAATGGATCATTTTTTAAAATAGTATCGTAACTAAATTTTTTTTTGCTAAAATGGTCATTTGGTGCCGGATTCGTCACATTAACATGTCATCGCCACGTAGATGGTACGTCAACGACACTTGGAATTTTTTTTTTATTTTATAAAATGGTCCACTATTATCAATTTTAAATACACTTACAAATTATAAATCAATTTAATTAAATTTTTAATATTGGTCACTCAATTTTTTTTATTTATATCCCCTCTTTAATTAATAAATATTTTTTATTTAGCTTTAAAATTTTTATTTTTTTATAAAACTAATTTATAGTAATAATAAATAAATAAATATATTTTTATTTATTTGTATTATATAAAATTTTACTTTATACAAAATAATACACATATTATATATATATTTTGTTGAGATATAATATTAATATATTTTAAATTCTTCTTAATCATTAAATAACTTACATCTATCTAAATGACTAATCGGATACTATCTAAATTCTCGTACTCAAACAAAAGGTACCGTCTTTTTGTGAACGAAGGAAGTAACGAAGTATATGTTTACATAATACAAATCCAATATATATATATACACATACATAGATAGATCGTACAATATACTCCATCCATCTCATATTTATATGTCCATTTGCTTTTTGCATGGAGTTTTAAAAATATTAGTATTATATTGGGATAAAGTAAAAATAAAGATAAAAAGACTAATTTAACATGATATTAAAGGTAATGATATTTGTGTAATATATTGTAAATTGGAAGGGTATTTGTAATATTAGGTAAATAATATAATTTGTGAAAAAAAAAATGATATTTTTTATGGACAGATTAAAAAAAAAAGAAAGATATAGATTATTAAGGGTAGAGTATATATTAAAATTGATTAACCTACAAAAATGTATATATAAACTAGGCAATCTATACTATAGTTGTATACACATGGCATGTCAATGGTTTGTCCCTTCAAATGATTCCAATTTTCTTTTTCTTTTTTCATTTTTATATTTTTTAAAACATTAATATAGAATTCACTAAAATTTATTTTAAGTTTTATAAATAAATAAATATATATTCAGATCTTTATTAAAATAATTTACTTCATTCATCTCACGTACCTTGGGTGTGTTACTGTAGACACGAGAATTTAGGTAAAGTATAGTTAATAAGTAATTAAAAAATATATTAGTAAAAATAATTATTGTATATTAAAAATAATTGTATATTAAGATTAAGATAACTAAATAGTTTAATTAAGATTAAAAAAATTATAAAATTTAAAATGTGATTAAAGTGTATAATTATTTTCAAAAAAAAAGAAAAGATAAGTTATGTGAAATGGACGAAAATAGAAAATATGAACAAATTATATGAGCGGAGGAAGTGTATTTTTGTGTGTCAAACTTATGTAATTTTGTTTTGTTTGAACATTTCAAATAATAATATCTTAATATAAAAACTAAAAAGTAAGATGTAGTGTTATAAAAAATTTATATAAAAATTGATAAAAATATTGTGCGAGAAGAAAAAATAATAAATTAATTATTTGTTTATAATAATAATAATAATAATAATAATAAAATTATGGACTTATTAAACGTACAAAAAACAATAACTATAAGTTTGGTGGGAGAAAGCATTAATAATATAGAAATGTATTTTGTTAACTAATAATTATATCAAATATATTTTATTAATATATAAATTTTAAAATATTTAAATATTATGTTAATTAAATTTATATGACATTATTAAGCAATTTATACTATTTTATTTCAATCAAAACTTTCAATTATAATGTATTTATTTGTAAGATTTACAATAATTTTACTATTTTAATTTTTATTTTTTTTTATCGAAAATATGAAATCAAACACATAGGCTCCGTTTAAATGGGGTTTTATGTGAAACTTTTAGAATTTTGAAAATTTTTAAAAAAATAAAAAAATTAGTATTTGATTGATATTTTTTAGAAAAAAAAAATATTTGATACAGTATTTTTTTAAAATGAATAGTGCCAAATAAGTTAAAATTTGTTAAATAAGCAAAGCCTATTTTGGTAATGTAGATTAGCAAATTATAATTTTAACACTAAAAAAAAGCTATTTCAATTCAAAACTTTAATATTCAAAAATAAAAAATCAAAATGTTAGTACAACACAACTTTGTACAGATATTTTAACACTGTTAAATAAAAAATACAAAAAATTATACAAAATACTAATAAAATCGATGACACAGAAAAGATGAGATTGAAAGACTTTTATGAGAGTTCCAAAATATCTCTCCTTTTATATGTACTTTGATTTTATAAAATTATTAAATACTAATAAAATTTTCAACAATTATAACGTTAATAATATTTTTTATTTCATAAGATATTGTATTAGTTATTTATCACTCATTAAAAAAAAAACATAAAAAACTCTATCTAAATAAATTTAAGTAGAAAAAAATTAAAAAATTAAAAAATATGCGAGGAGAGAAGTTCTATGAATACATTAAAAACTTTAAATTTGATGACACAGGAAAGAGATAAAATTTATACATATGGGATTTCTAAAGGACTTTTACTATTTATTACTTATTTTTTCTCTAAAAATATTAAATAAAATTATATTATATTAAAAGTAATTTTATATATCAATATACATATTACATTCATGATTAAAAAATTATTCAAATTCAAATTTTTATTTTTCAAAACCTAAACTCAGCTACTCTCCAAACCCCAGATAAACATATTATGCGTTTTGAATTTGAAATATTTTTTATATTATATAAAAAAAATATTTTCTCAAATTTCGCGTTGTCAAAAGAATATTTCCAATATATATATTCATTTTCGTTCTATTAAAAATTATTTATTTTTAATTATAATAAAGTAATTACACTAGTATTAAATGTTAAAATCATTTTACATAATTATTTTTTAATATATACAAAAAACTAAAGGAGTACACTCGTGAAAATATTTATTTTTGGATTCAATCACGAGCCCTCAATATGGACCCATCTAAGCCTATTTATAAAATGCAGCCAAGGTCCAAACAACTTTAACTTGGCTAAAAATATTTTTGGTCTTATTCAATATCATAATTATTTATTTTGATTCAATTATCTGGAACTGAAGTTCAATGGAGAAAGCATTGATAGGATTTGAACTCATAAAGTTCATCTACCACGTCAACTTGACCACCTCTTTCATGGCGGTCATATGCTAAATTCGACACTAGCTGGCATCAGTGGTTAGAGTTGCAAATTCTAGTTTGGATTGAACTAGAGATAACCAAGTAGAGGTTACTCTTCGACCCATGCAACAAGATCTAGTAAATCACACTAAATAAAATCGGCCTAAAATTGTACATCACACAAGCTAGTGAGTGAATTCTGAGTATAATTCCTTAGGAAGATTATTCATGAACATCACAATCATCAATGAGTTCATTGCCTAGACTTACATCTCTCACAACCATCATAAATCACATTCTCCCTTAACTTCAAACATCATCCATTACTATTTTCACACTTTCACAACAAATATACTAATATCTACCAATAACCTTACAAGAATTATTATATATATTTAACCTAAGTACAAAACCTATTTCGAACTCTCTAAACATCTATAAGCTTGATGAAAATATAAAGCACTTTATTTTGAATATCTGTAGCTTGTCCATTTTTCTTTATAATGTCCATTAAGTAACCAAGCATGTACACTTTTCTTCCTATATATGCAAATGACCAAAAATAAAAAAACATACTGATGATGGATCAGGGGAAAGCAAAGCAAGGGTTGATATAATACCTGAGACCGAGAGTCCGAGAGGATGATACTATTGAAGAGCTGCTGCCATCTCCTTCAGAAGGTGAGCCACATCGTCTGAGGAATTGAGCATATATCGAGCTTTTGTGCAAGTTCGTCCCACAGTGCAAGAAAAATAGTTCTCCGCCTTCAGGTCCAACACTTTTAAAGAAGGTTTTTCAGTGGATTTCGTAACCGAGGGCGAGTATTGCTTTGGAGTTTCGCACAGTGAATGAAGACGCTTGATTGCATCTGGTGTTTTGGATCTACCGGCACTCCCGGGCTCTGGTTCAAAATATGTGTAGATGTCCTCGTCCTAAACCATCCAAAAGAGTGTTTAGTCGATGAGTTGAATTTGTGCATGCACACCAGCACTAGTGGTGATGGATACAATCTACCTTTGATAAGAAATGACCCAAGCACAAGACATAATCTATTGGGGTGGAGGTAGTCTGGCAATGGTGGATCTCGCTTATTATAGAGCATATAGCTACTCCCTGATGAAAAGCAACAAGAATATACTAAGTAATGCTCAAACAAAAGCAGGATTCGACAAACTTGAAATGTTGCACATAGGCTTAGCTACTACCTTTGTGATACCTAAAGCTCGAACCTCAACAGAGCGGCTTCCTTGGATGACATCGACATTGGAATTAGATATTGGGCCAGTCCAGAGATGTTCCAGCAGGACTCTAGCTTGAAGCCTCCCAAATTCTGTATCTGAAATCATTGATGAAAGATCGATGGGGGAAGAAAAGGAAATGGGAAATTAGGGTGTGATGATATTTCCAAGATTGAATTCAACTCCCTACTAGAGTATTTAAAGTTCCAGATGAGGGAATATTCGCGCAGCTCAAAACATGATCTTGGAGTTCTTTCGGTGAAGTACGCAAAGACGTGCTGTGGAAGTAGTGAAAAGTATTAGGCGAATTTAGAGTTAGAAATCGACAAGATTATATTGAGGCAGGACATGGCTGCTCAATATGCATACCTTAGCACCATCCATCCAATCTGTATTTGGCTCTGCCACTGTAATCATCCAGTCTCCTTTTGTTGATCTTAGATATATTCCATTCTCAGCCGCCAACCACACATCATACGCCCCGAATTTCTACCAAACCAGTGGGAGGTGTTGGTAAGGTAAATGGATCAATTAATGAAAATAGATGATGTACATACATTATCCAGGACCTTTCTGTCACTTCCACTGAGAATCAAAATAGTTGTGTTCGGATCACTGCTGAGGATTCTCAGAGGTTCTTTCACATCAGGATGCAGTGTAAGCTCCATTTCTTTAATCTGATCTCCTCTTTTTCCAGGAGACTCGATTGTTTCAGTTAACGCAGCATTAAAGCCCTGGAACAGAAAAGTTATCATGTTGATCACAACAGTGAAAGTTAAGCATGCAGATCACAACAGAATCGTAAATCACTACAATTGTTTCTATCAATCTGTGCTAATCCATGAAGTCCAAAATGCATAGATTATATTACATGATCTGTTAATTGTGTGCATGGTGTCAAGCACAGACTCTGCAAAATCACAAACAGACCTATGCAGATACTGATATTATTTTCTGTTTGTTAACTGGTAAAGTATTAGGACAATATCTTTCATCTCTGTTTTTTTCCCCTCTAAATGGAAAGAATATAAGTTCTTACATACAAAAAGATATTGCATCCCCAAATAATTCATATGTGATAAATCCTTATATATAGAACAATTTCTAAGAATTCATCATTACATTTACTATCACAAATTATAGCCTCGTACACAAATACACACAAAACATACAAGGACTAACAATGTTTCCTCTCTATAATCCAAATCATTTGATCATCAAATAACATCATATATAGAAACACACAATCAAACAAAAACTGCGGAGTATGGATAAGAATTCAAACAGAAATGCACGCAAAAGACACACCCAGCAATTTTCAGAAGCTATGGAGTTGCAATAAATGAAACAAAAAATCACTTAAAATTCTTACCAATCAAAGACACACAAGCCAATATATATTCCGACAAATAAAGGAAGATTGACTTTTGAATGCCAGTGCCTGATAACAGTGAGAATAATTTTACCAAATGCACATAAAGTGAGCTTATTTAAACACATAAAGCTTAACCCATAAGATGCGACAAAGATAAGTTCTCTGCTCTGCAGCCGATTATACATTGCATCGAGAACATTGTTTAATCTTGAAAGGCAAACTTGTCAAGTTGGTTATTCACAGGAATAGCAAAATGAGGGTCAGAGACGACTACAATCAAAGAGCCCCACTTAGACTCATAACTAAAACTCAAAAAATAATCTATACCTAAGAATTTAGTTGTGCTATGATAGACATAAGGTCCCACATTATATATGTGTATATATATATATATATATTAAGTTTTCATGTCTTTTAATGTGAAATACTTGGTAAGGAGCATACCAGAATAATTAGTCTATTCTTGGACTGCATGTAACGCTCAATGGCATCACTGATAACAAGCGGAGGTGCTGCTTGTCTTATTCTCCTCTGAGCTTCGAGGATAGTACGGGTGAGTTCGCTGCAAACATCAACCACGAAAACATTAGGTTTCAGGTTAAGCACAGACATCAGATTTCCAATTTCCATATCCTATGAACAAAATGAGGCAATAATTATTTTGGTCTGCTAGTTCTAATTGTGCTGCAATACATCTTTGATACCGACAAATAATGAGAAGATAAGACAGATGACTTAAAATCAACTTGGTAAGCCGGTTGCTAGTGGGGCCATCATCCATCAATGTCAGTGATGATGCAATTTTGGCATGACTCATAAGAAGAACTAGCATGAACAAACGGCGTAATGCGCTCAGCCATTCATCATGATAAAATAGAAATGGAAACATCAGTAATGCTTATAAGACATGCTGGTGCTTGCATGAATAATTTGCTCATGACAAATATTCAAGTTCTCAACCATTTTCTTTCAAATTAACAGTTGTGACAATGTTTCTGATTCATTGTTCTGCCAAGATCATTATTAGTGCATTAATAAACACATTTAACCATTATTAGCCAATGTAAAAATAGCATGCATGGAGTGGCATCAGTTAAGCATTTGTCGATTTAATCATCTTGTATAATATATAAAAAGAAGTAAACAAAAACATAAACCAAATAAGTAGCAGCATGACTCAAGTTTACATCACATATTACTCTCATAAAATAGTGAAATGCACTCACAAATGACTCAAAACACTAAAGCAATAAACACAAACATAGTTCTAATGGGCCGAGGAAGATATGATCACAGGTATGCTTCTTTTAACAAGGTTATTATAAATTATAGTGTTCATTTAAAATTACTATTAAAAATTTGGATATTATTATAGGCTATTATATCTATTACAAAACACTAAAGCAAAAAAAAATGAAAATGCAAACATGGTTCTAATGGGCAGAGGGAGACATGGCTGCTTCCTTTCATCCGGTTATGATAAAATGAAGATTTAATTTAAAGTTACCATTAAAAAAATAGGGTGTTAGTATAGGTTACTATATCTATTACTTACTAAATATCTTTCTCTCTAATAAAATTTATGAAATATGCATCGATAACCACCCGTTTGGCAAAAATAAAGCACTCAATGTGGCTTAGCTTAAAACAAGAGAGAAAAATGTACAGAGTGAGTAAGATGTTTGTGCAGATTATTTTTCCTAGTTCACTCTCATTAATACCTGCCATACATAAAGAAGTTTTACATGCTACAATGAAAAAAACACAAACTGTATTCATATGCTCAGTGAGATGCTATAGTGATTGAGAAATTGTGTGCTTATGAGTTATTCTCTAAACAACATGGAAGACACTTGATAGATTACAAAAGTGCGTAGTGAAGTACTTTTATGCAAGATCTTTTATTAGCCTTAAAAGTATGCTATGTAGAGTTTAGCTCTTTATAAAGTGTAATACATCCATAACTTAGAAGTTTCCCCATTGTATATTTTAATACAATAATGTGCTTACTCATTCAATACTACCGATGTTCTATGTTTCTAATCATATCCAAACTAATATTTCAAAGTTTATAAGGTGGTAATTTATCCAAATGCATTGCCACCTGATTTTTAAAATAAGATCTAATAGCTCACAAGCTTTGACATTTTATAAACTATAAACGCATATGGAATCTAACAAAGCAGCTTATACACTTCATAATAGTTCTCACTTATTCTCATAACAAACTTAATCTTGTAGATGAAGTTGTAATACACATTATCACTAACCACAAATAAAGAAAGCCCATTATGACCTAATCGTGTAAAATGTGATCTCGTGTCACTTATTAATTAGATATAATATATCTAATTAATAGTTTAAATATAATAAAAGTAATAATAACATTATTATTATTATTAAGTGGGACTTGGTCTAGTCATATTAAAAATAGTTTGAAACCACTTTATCATTATTTAACGTTGATAGAATATGGTTTAATTTTTAACGTTAGGAATCTGGTTCTTCATCGGCCTATAAAAGGGCCAAAATAAATTCATTCTATCACTCAAGATAACTAACTTATGTATTCTGACGTTGAGGCTAAGAGGGAGAAACCAAAAGATCCAACTCATCGTCCTAACCAAACCGTCTTGTTCACGTTCTATCAACATGGGATAATGATAAATGGTTTTAAACAACTTTTAATTTGACTAGACCAAGTTTCACTTAATCATAATAATATTGTTATTATTAAATTTATTATTAATTTCATTATATTTAAACCATTAATTAGATATATAAGTGATACGAGGTCACATCTTACGCAGCGAACTGTCGGTAGCCACCAACTTAGGTTTGTCCATGTTGGGTGTGGACTAGCAGAAATCTGTTGAAAAAAATGCACTTTCTGTTTGCAGAAATAGGGGAAATTCAACAAAACATACAATTCCTGTCCATTTTTAACCAGCTAGGTGCCGCTCCATCAAAACATCTAAAAAACTTATTATAGTTTTCATTTTATGAAATTATCCAAGTTTCCACAGTTCAAATTAACAGAAAAAAAACTCCGATTATACAAGTCTCTACACAAAAAAGACTCAAAAGGAGATTGATCATCTTAAAATAATACAAAATATGAGGGTGTGCAGGTTAATTATTTATCTCAGAGATTGAATTTGAGAATAAACACAAGATTGTGTCACACAACTACATCAAAAAACATATGGACTGTTTTCTGTGCGGTCATGCTCGTTGTCCAAATGGGCTTAGACAGAGTTCAGGTAAGGAATGCAATCTCTTTTACAAGAAGTGCAAATGAAATTCAATTTCAAATGCACAGTGTTATCAAGCTAAGCACAGGTAGCGACAGATATTAGGTACAAATATGTAAGAAAATCTATGTAATACTTGAATTGAGGAGAGGTAAGTGTAACTTGTTAGAATATAAAATTGAAATTCTCTCTGTCAATTATTAGAATTCGTACATATTTATAATAACGTACAAATCATAATACCATAAATATAATATATATTTTCTAAATATATTTTAACACTCCTCAAACTGAAGAGATGATCGAACAAACTAAGTTTGTCAGAAGTGACCCACAAAAATATAGCCGAAATCTTCCACGAACGAACTTGAATTTTCAAAAATTGATCGAAAGTGGTATAGCCGTCCACTGGGTCAAAGTTAGAATCAGAACTCAACACCATTAGAGTTGGAAACAGAAACCGCTCGTTCACAATGAAACTAAAGTCGAAAACAGGATTCGCTTACTCTTAATAGAGCTAGAGTCGAAAGCAGAACTCGTTTGCTCACAACAGAGTTAGAGTCGGAACAGGACTCTCAACGACGTTAGAGTTTAAAGTAGAACTTTATCAGTGGAGATCGAATTAGTAGAGACGGAGATGGCATAAAAATGACAGTATGATCGTAGATAGAAACAAATACATCAATAAAAATATAAAATTATATACGAGATATAATAGATCGGAGAGAATTTGGCTTTGACACCATTTAGAAATTTTGGGGGAAGATAATGAAATTGTAAATAATATAATCTATGGATAAGACCAAATTTAAATATAAATCTATTAAATCTAAAACCGAATATCTAAAATATCTCAATATCCCCTTCAAACTCAAGCGGTATAATAGAAATCAATTTGAGTTTGATAAAAAAATTGAATATAAATGCAAATAAAAATAACAGTTGACTTTTCACCAGCTACCGGAGCAAACCTCGAACGCCTAGTGACTTGCCTGGTGGTGTGGGGTTGGGCATGTGATCGTGAGGTCATGGATTCAAACCTCGAACGCCTCAGGTCACCTGTTACACATAGTTCACCTAGTGTAACTTGCCTGTCGGGGCTAGTTTGCAGAGTATTAGGTTCGGCCGAGGGTTTACCCAGTGTGCACTTTCGGATAGCGGCTACGGGTTCCCACGTTATCAAAAAAATAAAATAAAAAATAATACGACTCTCTACCGGAGTCGAAAACGACATGACTCTCCACCAGAACCGAAAACGATATCGATATGACTCGCTACCGGAGTCGAAAATAGTTGACTCTCCACCGGAGCAAAAAATAACACGACTCTCTACCAAAATTGAAAACGACATGACTTTTTACCGGAACAAAAAACGACAGGACTCTAAGTGGAATCAGAGTCAAACGCAGACAAATAGCACACAAAATAGATCGCAGGTATCGGATAGATTGTAGATCGCAGATATCCGATAAATTGTAAATCGCAAACATCGGACATATCACAAAACATATCGCAAACAACAGACATATCACATTGCAAAAATCGGAGAGATCATACAACAGATTGCAAACACCAGACAAGTCATAGAACAGATCGCAGAACAAATGCAAATATAATTCAGATCGCAGAACAAATGCAAGCAACGGACAAACAACTGACAGATAGCAGATAGATTTCAGATTGCACACAAACAACGGACAGATGACAGATAGCAGACCGATTTACAAAAAGACAGACTTGCAAAGGCATGATCTCAAAATCACAAGACCTCCGGATACAATCCAGGTTGAATGTACCCGGAGAAACGGGGGTTGGTAAGCTATAGAAAAATAATCTCTAATACCATATTAGAATATGAAACTGAAATTCTCTTTTTCAATCATAAGAATTCGTACATATTTATAATGACGTACAAATCTGAATAATGCAAAAATCCTACAAATCTCTTAAATAAAATAACTACCATAAATATAATATATTTTCTAAATATATTTTAACACAACTCAATGCAATAAATGACTTGAATGTTTAAGATGGTCCAAAAAATCCTCCAAGGCTGTGATGTAGTAGAACTAAAATGTTTTTGAATTTTGTCCTACATTGTAAAATTGTGGGAAATTCCCTTTAGATATAAGGGTAAATGACTACTCCACTTAGTACCAATTGATTTTAAATTAGTACCCGAATTTCTTCTTAACGTGGTATCAGAGCCATGGTGCCCGTATTAGCTATTGATTCCGATTAAGATTTTCGAGATTATCATATTGAATATTGTCCCATATTGGGAAATTGTGGGAACTCCCCTTTGGATAGAAGGGTGAAAGGTACTCCACTTAACACAAATTGATTTTAAGTTGAAACCACAAACCCTTCTTAACAAATATTCGAACACTGTTGTTTCCGGTGCAATTGTTATATAATCAGAAATTGTATTTACTGTGTGGAGAATGACAATTGATTTATGTACTTATTTATTTTTAATTCAAGCAGTTTTAAAGCTGCAGACATTTCTTTTTTTTTTTTTGTATTAGTATTGACTATTTATGAAGCAAAAGAACTGAGGTACCATTATGATCTGAATTCTAAGCAGAGGACAATGGTAAAACTTCTGGACCTTTATCCAAATAACTGAGGATTTGTTCTTTCTACAATTTTTTTTCACACGTTTTTCCAAAAATATTAATTCATTATACACATTCATTATTTTTATATTTTCTACACAGTTCCCTATACTTCACATAATTTTTTTTTCCAACAATCTCACTAAACAAACACACCCTTTTCTTATATACACATTACTCCCACCATTTATCAGGTATATTCAAACTATGTCATTATTAACACACCTTACGAAGAAATCAGCCCACATTTGAGCAGTATGAGTTGTCACATGATTGAAGTTAATCCGGTGCCGTTTCTCTCTTTCTTCTGCCGGCATATTCAAAGCTTGCTCTATTGCAGAAGCAACATCTGTGATGTTCCAAGGATTTACAAGAAGTGCTCCGGCACCAAGAGATTGTGCTGCTCCAGCAAACTGAGTAGAGGATAAACAAACATCAAAATGCGAAACGAAAGCATAATTGAACAAACATACTTGACATACATGTAAAATGGGAAATCTTACCTGAAAAAGGTTTACAAGTAATGCCAAAGCTTATGGATTCAATACAGTAATACCAAGGCTGATGAATATTTTATCAACCATACTACTGAGACATAACTGATTCATGCAACTTTGAAAAGAACCAAGAAATATGTGCCTGCATCTTTGCATTTGCAAGAAAGTGTGTGCCATATACAGATGCTGAGCATGTGCAGATAAAAAAAGATTCTGCATCTCTTCTTGAAACAATTGATAATTTTCTATTGTTATATTGAACAATATATATATATATATATATTCAGCTCAATCAAAGTAGATATATAATCATAAAGTATCAGAGTGGGATAATAACTTCACTGAGTATGAGAACCCCTTTATTGGAATTTTGACATGCCACAAACTCATAGCTGACAAGGTTCATTCCATCCCGCAAGGAAGTGACAAGTGCGACATCTATGAATCAATGAAACCAGGACACAAGTCATCAGAAAGGTTCTGTGCTTCATCAAATAGAGTAAGTAGCCAAGCATGATAAAATGAGATGTCATAAATCCTAGTTAAGGTATCCTCTTATAATTTAAACTAGAAAGAAAGACTAAGATTTGAGTCCCCCAGAATTGGCATATTGCAAAGTAGCTGTTCTATATTGTATAAGAGAAGATCAAAAACAGAACCAGTCAAAAAGGATATGAATAACTTAAGTACAGCAAAACATAGAATTGAGCCTTTTTTCTTGTTTTTTAAAATATAGAAATTCACAGGGAGGTTTTAGTGTTATTATGCACTATGAATTCTACTTGGTCCACCATAATAGCATAGTGCATTCCTTATTTCTTACAATTCTAAAATAGAAACAAAAATCATGGAGTACAAATAAAGGGAAACAATTAGTAGGACTATTTGAACTATTAGCACATGACATTGTCTAAGGAGCAATTTGAAGCAAAAGGAGAAATGCAATACAAGATATTTAAGAACAAAAAGATTTGGACATATAAATGATGAGTTTTCTCATTTAGTATCTCACCTAAAATATGGAGTTTTAAACCACTCTAAGCACTGCCACACACAATCAAAAGGTGATGTACATAAATTTGAATTGTAACTGGCCATTCTGAGGGTGTGTTTGGTTTATCACCTCAATTCCGGTTGGCAGTATGCTAACTTTTTTTTTTTCAAAATATTATATCATATGGAATCCACTCAAAATCTTTTATTTCTATCTCTCTTCAATAAAAAATATATATTTATATACATTTAAAACTCCCTATTTTTTTCTAAAATTAATATATGTTAATTATAAAAAAAAATTATACTTTTTTATTATTTGAAAATATATGTTAAATTTTGTTAATCGTATTACATCATATAGCAACGTTGATTCACTCCCAATTCAACTTCAACTTAAAACTCAACCATTACAGTTGACAATCAACAGGGATGCTACAGTTGCATATAAGCTGCACATGTAGCTGGGGCATTGCAGCCAAAACTACAAAACACAGAAGTTTTACTTTGTATACGAACAGGAGGAAATTTAAAAATTCAGATTTCAGTAGCAGCTAATATTACCAGTGACAGCATACACCGCACACAATTCAAGGAAGTTGATAGAACGGTCCTGCAATAAAAAATAAAAAATCAGGGGCATTAAAATAATAAGGAAAATTGCTTAGTAGTCACATTTTTATAATCAAAGCATGTATGCGTTGGAAATCAATCTTACTGGTCCTATTGGAGGGCTAAATGTAGCATAAGAAAAAAAAAAAAAAAAAAAAAAAAAAAAAAAAAAAAAAACCTTTCTGTTAATCAATTTTTGCACCTGAGAAAAACAGACAATAGTAAGATAACTTTCATTCATTCAAATTCTGCTGTATTCAATTTAAAGGGAAAAAAAAATAAAAATATATCAATATTATTTGGAAGGGGACCGACCAATCAACGAAGATGAAGTAAAGTCTTAGGTTCTAGAAGACAAACTTTATTGAGTTGCGCTTATTATTGATGCAATGTGCTAAATTTCAGGGATAGGCTAAGTGGAGTATTCAAAGTTGATAGATCATGTTATAGAATGGGCAAAGTAGACCTAATTATTTGGAATTTGCCTTTTAAATATTGCTAGGCATGTACATTGTTAATAACCATCATAAAGAGTATAAGATGCTGAGTATAATTTTCTAACCAGATGATGTATGGGAACGGTAGTCAAGGTTCCAAATCTTCCATTTATCCGCCCAACAATTTCATGAACCTCACTTGCAAGTTTTTGATCTGCAGATGACAATCACAGACAAAATTCCAGAACAATAGAGTACACAAATATCACCAGAAGCTAAATACTGGTTTGGGGGATGAATGCGAATCTGGAGAAGCCATCCTAAAACTTTACATTTAGGAACGTCTGTTCTTGTTGGCACAGCAATTTGCATCAAAACCACCTTTTCACGCCATTCTGGATTTTCTTCAAGAAACTTTTCAAAGGCAAGTAACTTTTGAGGAATTCCTTTGATCATATCAAGGCGATCCACGCCAAGCATTACCTGCCAGAATTCAAATTTAGTTGACAAAATGAAGTAAACTATGTGAAGGATGGAAAACTTGACACGGGAGGAACCTTTCTTCCAGCAAATCTTCTTTTCAAGTCTTTGATAATGTCCTGAACTTTTGGCTTCTCAAGAGAATGCGTGAACCTCTCGGGATTTATTCCAATTGGGAACTGCATTCAAAGAACATTGGAGACATCTGAGATTACTCACAGATCTACTTCTAGACCATAGGCAAATAGCAGCACTGGGAGCAAATTACAAGGAACAGGGCTCCAATAAAAGTTGTGGGATCATACAGCAGACACACGAGTTATTCTCCCTTGATAATCTACTCCGTCGGGAGTGCCTTCGAGTCCGAGAATCCGAGTGCATGCACTTAAAAAATGCCTGGTATAGTCATAAGTGTGGAAACTGGAAATAAAGCCATGTGTAATAGATTAGCATTCAACAAGATCCATGCAAGATAACAAAACAAAGTGCCCCAAAAGGACCAGATAGAAACAAATCACATAGCATGACAGAATTCTGCTGTGGAATCCCAAATTTAAGGGGAAGTTCAAAGGAAGGACCTTTAGGGTAAACAAAATATGTCAAGCCAGAAGTTAAAAACGATAAAGCATATCTTTAGGTCTTCACTATAACTGGCAGAATAACACGAGATATTGTTCAAATTATTGAATTCAATCTATGGCTTTCCACATAGATTATGCTGCATAAATGTTTTATTTCAAATAGCATATCCTTCTTAAGAAAGAGCAAATGGCAGATTATGTTATAAACTGTTAGAGCAACAGCATATTACCCAATCAAATCAGCAGCTAGAACAGCAAGGAGTACTTCTGAACGAGACGGCAGGGTCCGGTGGATCTCAGAAGATGGGAAAGGAGTATGTAGAAACCACCCAACTCTTATCCCACTGTTAGATTCCTTCAGGTACTTAGGCAGGAACATGAGATGGTAATCATGACACCAAATAATATCACCTTCTTTGTAGTGTTCTAAAACCACAGCAGCAAACAATTGATTTGCCCTCTTATAAGCATCAAACTGTGTCTGGAAAGACCTGGTGGTGTCCAGTCGATCTTCCTTGGGAAGGCCAAGATAATGGAAAAGAGGCCATAAAATGTTGTTGCAGTATCCATTGTAATACTGATGAAAGGTATCTCCGTCCAGGAAAACAGGGATGGACCTCTGCAGAGTGAACAAAAAGAACAATTCAATGGCAATATCTTGATGAAAACTCCATGAAATTTAAGATGTATAAAACCAATATCCCAAAACCATCCAACCTTCTCAGCCAGAGCTTTCGTAAGAGCCTTGCGCCCAACCTCGTCCGGCACGTTTACACCGGGCCAACCAATCCACCGTATATCAAAACCATTCACACCTATATCAAGACACAAACATTAACCCAAATGAACGAAGCATTCGAGACACAAAGATCCAGACATTTAGTGCCATAATTAAATTACGGGTCAAACTCAAAGGCATGGTGATGGAGCAGAAACAAGGAATTTCAATGCAGTGCAGTAAATGCTTGCTCACCCATAAGAGCGCTCACTAGACCTCCTGCACTTGTTTCCAGTGCCCAAGAGTCTTCACCTTTTCTTATTGCAGAGATTTGAAGCCTATTAGCAACCACCAACAATCTTGGCCCGACAGGCTTTGAGTCGCCATTTTCCGACTCTTGGCCGACGGCTCCCGGCCCTGCTCCTTCCGAGCCGTTTTCTACAGCGAGAATCTCTGAGATAGCATGTCCAGGGCTCTTAATCTCGTTGTCCCCACCATTGCTCTCTTCTGTAGAAGAAGAACTGCCATTTATCTTCAGCGCTCTTTTTTTCACAAGTATTTCGAGTCGGGTGACGGGGATTTGTGAATCGTTGCTATACGTGCCGACCACCATTTTTTATGACACGACTTCCGAAATGCTGCAAAGTTCACGTACGCCGCGAAGCAGTTGCCCTGCATTTTGATTAGCACGACAAATTGAGAAGCAGGCGTTGGCACAGTTTCTCCCCAGTATGAAATGAGGGGTAATTAATTGCATAATTGTTTCGCGGAAACAGAAATTTTTTTGCAGATTTTCAGTGAAATCAGTTTTGCTTTCTCAAATGGAAGTCGACGCTGAAAGGCACTTGCCAAAATTTATCCGTTCGAGAGAGAAAGACGTGGGAAGGAAGATATAGTGCACACAGAAAGAGATTCAGAGAATGGGATCCACAGCGGTTTCAGAAATATGGGCCCAAAAACCAACACAGTACCCAAAATTCATCGAACTGTGAATTATGTGTGTAGACAAACAAGAACAACGAACACTGGTGCAGTATGGATGAATGTGTGGACTCTGTAATCGCAGAGATACATACAGACATGAATATATACAAGACTTGAAGCAAAGAAAGAAGAAATTCGGTTCCACTGTCGAAACGAGAACGCGTTGCATGCAGAAAAATCAGAGTTCTAAATCAGCTTCAAGACACACACACAGCTCAAATTGAAGAAGAAGAAAGGAAAGATCAAATTCAATAACGTGCGTCGCGAAATTCACACAGTAGCTCTAACCTGATCACCAAACTAATTCGAATAAACAACGAGTAATGCTGCAAGGAAAAAGAAAATGAAATTCAACTATTCTCACCGCTTTGATGATCGCAAACCTAACAACAGCAACAACAACAATCACTCCAAAACTGGAAGAGCGTTCGCAGAGTAGTCTGAAAATCAAAATGAAGAGAGAGAGAGAGAGAGATAGGGCTGTGAAGAGCAACTCCATGCAGGCAGCAGTGAGAGTATATATATATATATAACAAACAATGAGCTCTCCCTCCATTAAAGAATGAGCGATCGCACATTACAACTATAAACTGCCTGTAACTAACCTGTAGCATGCATTATCACTCCAAATTCGATAATTATCTCAGCTCAGCTCAGCTCAGCTCATGCACAGTAGAGACCGAGGGCAGAGAAAGAGACAAAAGTGTTGTTTAGAGTTGAGAGAGAGAAAGAAGAAGGAAGGGGTACACTGCACTGCAGTAGCCACGGACGAGCCATGGAGATGAAACCAAACCTTTTCAGTTACGCTACCATTCATTGCTGACGTATAAACACGTGTGTATATATATATCTAGAGAGAGATAGAGAGAGATTATTTAAAAAGAAAACTCTGCTGGTCTGTGGTACTTGCGCCGTAGAGCTGGAAAATTAAATGGGAGTAGTATTTACCATAGTGATTTTTATTTTTATCATTTAATTTAAATATGGGAGTGTTTGTTTTGGATATTGGATTTTAAATATATTATTTATTTTATTTTATTTTTTTAAAAAAATATCAAATCAAACACCTATTTTTTATTTTCTATATTATACTCTCTTCGTTCCACATAATTTATCCATATTTTCTATTTTCGTCTGTCCCACGTAACTTGTCCTTTCTATTTTTGAAAATATAATTATGCACTTTAATCGTATTTTAAATTTTATAATTTTCTTAATTTTAATTAAAATATTTACTTATCTTAATCTTAATCTATAATTATTTTTACTAATATACTTCTTAATTATTTACTAATTATATTTTAACTAAATTCTCGTATTTACAGTAATACACTCATATTATATGGCACGGAGGGAGTACTAAAAATTAATTTTACATTCAAAATATCGTATCAACACCTATTTATATCACATCATACAACTATTCAAATCAAAATTTTTACTATTCAAATAAAATTTTTTACTATTCATCAATTTTGTTTTATTCCAAAAGTATCAAATCAAACAATTATTTTTTATTTTTTATATTTTATTAAAAAATTAATTTTATATTCAAAACATCAAGGTAACACATATTTATACCATATTATACAATTATTCTAATTAAAAATTTTATTATTCAAATCACAACTCAAAATCTGAACACCCAAATAAACACCCCCAGTATTTTAAGACAATATAAATATCAACACAATATATATAATAATATATTTTATACATTCACAAAATATTATTTTTATATTATTAACACTTTTTCTCATACTAAATATATATTTTTATATAAAGAATAACTTGATGTGGGAAAAAAAAAAATACTCACTCAATTCAAAAAAAAAATTATTATATTAATTAGTAGAAGTGTATAAAAGTTTTGATATTTTTACCATTTTAATTTATGTATAAATAATTGTACGTGTAATATTATATTTGTAATTTAAGTAAAAGATGAGTATTTTGATACTCTTATCTGTCATTCATATTTATTTTCACTTTTTTTTTTCATCCAAAGTTATTATTGTTTCTCTTTTAATTAAAAATATATCATTTTTTTATTTTTTTTTACTATAAAAAGAATAAATTTTTATTTTTAATTATTTTTCTTAAAATTCGTGCTCGATCAAATGAGCATAAATTTACACAACCGAGAGAGTATTAATATATAATTACTTTTTTAAAAAATAGGAAAAAAATATTTTAAAATAAAATAGAATAAAATAATAAAAATGATACTTTGAATTAAATTGAAAAAAATATAATTTTATCCTATAATTATATAAACTAAATAATATTGATTTGTATTTAAAAAATAAAACACACCCAAATTCTAACTCTTCAACTAAAAAAAATCAAAAGAAAATAAAACAAATTAAACAAAATCAAGGGAATTTGGGTTTACTATTAAATTGCAATATATTTCATTTTATTATTATTATTATTATTTTTTTTTTCATATTTTGTTGTGTGTTTGGTTGTGTTTTGCATGTGAGGTTTGGATCGAGTATAGATTGTAAATATTAAAATTTTGAATTGAAACAATATAAATATATAATGAGTTAATATTTTAAATATAAAATATATTTTAAGTATAATATAAAAATTATTATTATTATTATTATTTTGTCATACTTAAAGTATTTTTTTTTTAGAAAAATTAATAATACACTAATATTAAAATTCTCTTTAATTTTTACTTAAATTACTATAATTATTTTATATATAAAGTTAAAAGGCAAAAATATTAAAATCTCGCACTTCTACTAACTAATAAAATATTATTATTTTTTAATTTATTATAAAATTTCTAAAAGTCTTTTTGAATTTAAACGAAAAGATTAGTTTTTTTAAAAGATTACATTTTTATATAAATAAGAAAAATATACTACATAAGAAATTATATAACCAAAAGCTGTCATTGTATTTTAAATATAAAAAATATATTTAATTTGACAATATTAAAAAAAAAAAATAAGTAATTAATTTATATTAAATTCAATTCAACTCACCTAAACATCATCCTTAACATGGTTTCGCCTTCACGGGCAATGTTCGGCCCTCTTGGCCCGTCGAGCATACTTTTCTACCCTAGGAGTACTCCCTCTCTCATTACAAAAAGAATACTATATTTGTAACGGAATTCCGTCCCTAAAGTTCACATAGCTAACATAATTTCATCCTTAATTCCGTCTCTAATGTCATTAGTAACGGAAACGTATATTTAAGGACGGAAAAGTAAGATTTTCTTGTAGTGTATGGAATGTCAATCCTTAACGTGCCAACGGGCATGCTCCGTTACTGAGCAATGTCCCACTCTGTTGCTTCTTCGCCACTAGCGTCAAGGTCCGCTCTGAGATTATATGTAACGTGTCAGAATGCTGACACGTCCGGCGCGTAGGCCACGCATGTGTTGAGGCCCAAACCAGTTGTCTTTTATGCGCAACACGCTGGGATATACCATACAGTATGGAAGAATTATGCGGAACACGTACCTGCACCAAGATATACGCCGTCAATCATCCGTACAAGATAGGGACTCGCACACATGAGACGGACTATGGCTGAGAACTTGGGGCAAAAATGTCAACCTGTCACAATACTCCCCCACTTTAAGTCGCAGACGTCCTCGTGCGACGCTATTTAAGTGCATTGATATTGTTTCTTGCACTCTCGGTCTCCAGCGTCAGTTCGTCGACCCTTATCTGTGTACCTACAGTTTTTGTGTTCACCAACAACCAGTGAGGTTTTTCCATTCGGTCCCACTTAATTTGTTTATTTTTTCTATTTTTATTCGTCTCACGTAATTTGTCATTTCATTTTTTGGAATTATAATTATACAATCACATTTTAAATTTCATAATTTATAATTTTTTTTATATTTTAATTAAACTATTTAGTTATCTTAATCTATATTTATTTTTATTAAATTATAATTTTTTAACTAAGATACTTTTAAATTATTTACTAATTATCCAATACCTAAAAATCTAAACTAAATGGAACAATTTAAGTGAGACGGAGAGAGTATATATATAAAGAAAGTTATCATAAGTTAACTTATACTCCCTCCGTCCACTTACAATGTATACATTTACTTTTGACACAGTGTTTAATAACTAATAGTATATTAATTATAGTTGATAGTTAAAAGTAGTGTAATGACATTTTTGTCGGTAATGATGTGATGTAAAGTAAGGGTATTTGTGAAAAAAAATAAAGTATTTAATGAAATGTTTACTTAGTAATTGGACGTCCTAAAATAGAAATATGTATACTTTTTAGTTGGACGGAGAGAGTAGTAATTATTTATAATAATATTGTATAAGATATTTTTTTTATATTTTTAGCCTTTAATTTTATATATAAATAATTGCATATATAATAATATATTTATAATATAAATAAAAATTCACTAAAAATTCACTATATTTTAATATTAGTTTTGGTAGCCTTGCTTTTCTACTATTTTGCCAACCCGTATAGAACATTCAGTCTTCATCAAATGAATTTTTCCAATGTATTAAACATTTACAAATACATATACTATATTTATTTATATTTTTTATTATTATTATATTTCAAATATATAAAAAAAAGGAACAATTCTAGGCAGTATCATATTCGATTAATATATAAATATATAATGCAGAATTCTTCACTGCTAAGATATTTTCCGAATTTTGAAAAAATAATAAAAAATATATATATATTCTATGCAAATTACAGCTCAGCGCCTCTTAACACTCACAGACGGACACGTTCCTAACCGCCTTACCTTAAAACCATTTTTATTTTTTATTTTTTAATATATATATTATTATATTTAGATATAATTAATTAATGACTTTTCCCAAATATGATACTATTATTTATTTTAAAAATTGGAAAATAATCTGGCCTTGCTTCCTTACTTCCTTCATTCGCTTCCCTACTAGACGTAGCCGACGGCTGCCATTAAATCACCACCAAGCTCAGTACGCATCCTACTGAATCTGGACGCATTTCTGAAGGCTGAGGCCCAGCCTCGGGTGCTCGTGCTTTGTTCCTTGAAGTTTCTCTATTTTTGTCCAAATTCAGTGAAGGATCGGGGCGGTGTTGCTGCTTAATTTCGAGCTGGAGTTGTTGTTATATAGGAGCGATGAAAATTCAGTGCAACGTGTGTGAGGCGGCGGAGGCGAACGTCCTCTGCTGCGCCGACGAGGCGGCGCTGTGTTGGGGGTGCGATCAGAAAGTGCACGCGGCGAACAAGCTCGCGAGCAAGCACCAGAGGGTTCCGCTGTCGAGCTCGTCTGCACAGATGCCGAAGTGTGATATTTGCCAGGTTTTTGGATGATCTTCTTCTCCATTACTTTTTTTTTTTGGGAATTAGATTATGAGTATAATAGATAACAGTAATTTCAGTGATTATTTTAATGTTGATGAGTATCTTGGCGCGTATTTGTTGAACTTGCTTGTGATGCATTATCGAGGACTGATTTTTTTGTTTCTGTGAATTTTTTGATTTGATTATAGTGATTTTGTCTTCATTCTAATGCTTGTTGATGTTCTTGAGGCTGAGCTGCTTTGACATTACACTCAATTCATTTCACATCTGTTTTTAAATTCTTCTGTTGTGTTCAGTCAACTGTGATGCTGATAGATGCTAAAAATCCCAATTCCCACTTGGATTTTGAACAGGAAGAAAGATGAGAACAAGAAATAAGTAGATAACAGAGGATTGATCTATATATCAATTAATTAGATCCAAGTGTTTTGTATTGCTGATATGTTTTTGTCAAATAGTAATCAAATCAAGTTTTTGAGGGCCTGCATTAAGGCCAAGGGCATAATTTTTGGAATGTTCGTAATGTATGTTATGGTTAGTTAACAACCGCGGCCCACTGCTCGGTTTCGAGTCTTGAGTACACGATTATTAAATTCCGTACTAACCTACTTCAATTTAAAGGTTTGTGGTCTTGGGATGGGAGGTGGTGTATAGGATCGATCAAAATTTTGTGCCATGCATTTCAATCAGCATATTGGGACCGTCGATGATGCATTTTGTCTTTCTCAAGTGGGTCGATTGGGGAGCAAAACCATGTGCTATCATGACTAGACATTTTAGGTTGCCATGCTTGTGCCCCATGCTGTTATCATACAAAGCATATGCATCGTGTCCCTTTAGCTCTAACACCACGTTTAATGGCCACTTTAAAAGTTTTAGGTTTATAGGGTCATGTATCTGTTTATATTATTGCCCTTTTTTCTATGTTTATGTTCAACTAATCTTGAGGGGCCCTTCTGCAAATGTTTGTGAAGATTATGCTCGATATATATTTGAGAGGAACTCTAGTCATGATTAATAATGTGTGGATTAACTGATACCGGATGTTTCTGGTTGTTACGCTGCATACTAATGATGCATTATACTTTGATTTGCTATGTACAAACAGCATCAAAGTAAATATCCTTTCTTTGGTTGCCAGGATCGGATTCACTGGCATTTTGTTACTATAAACTGATACGTAGTGGGTGACAACATACCTGTTGTTTTATGTTTATTGATTCGGTAGGGTATAATGCTCGTGTTGTAATCTTTCCCAGGAAACAGTTGGCTATTTCTTTTGCCTGGAGGACCGAGCGTTACTTTGTAGAAAATGTGATGTTGCTATACACACAGCGAATTCTCTGGTTTCAGCTCACCAGAGGTTCTTGCTCACCGGCGTTAAAGTAGGCCTTGAAGCTGCAGAGCCTGGTACACCTTCATCATCCTCGGGGAAATTGCATTCTCAGTCTAATGAGAAAAATGTAGGGCCGGACCCTCGCTCTCAGCCGAAGAACGGTTCGGTTTCACAAACTGGTCAATGTGGTAAAAGTCTCCCTGTTGAAGCTACTGTACCAGGCGATTATTCATCATCAAAGATGCCTTTTAATGGAGGATCTGTGACCGGAAGCGTTTCACAGTGGCATCTGGATGACTTTCTTGCACTTAGTGATTACAATCCGAATTATAATTTCATGGACGGTGGCTCTTCTAAGGTATTATTAGGATTAATTTTTATCGGTTATGTTTTCTCTTATTTTGTGATGATCGATCTTAAGTGCTAAGAAATTTCAATTTTTCGAAAAAATTTAATCAGGCTGACAGCGGGAAGCTCGGAAGTGACTCCGACTTCTCCCCAGTACTCCGGGCAGCTGATGCAGAATTAGATGGCAGCGATGAGTTTTTGGGGCAGGCCCCGGATTCATTCTGGGCAGTACCACAGATGCCGTCTCCACCAACAGCATCGGGGCTTCACTGGCCTAGAAGTTACAACGAGAATATATCTTACTCCACGGCATATGTGCCTGATATAAGTTCCTCTCCCCGGCAGAGCTTCCAATATCGTAACTCCAATGCTCGTTCTTCTAAGCGAAGAAGACATTCGTGATGATTCCCGACTGCCTGAGGGAACTATCTGTCAGGTGTGCTCTCTATTTAATATATTGAATAGGATTGTTTCATAGCTCCCGAAAATTTGAAAAATAAAAAATAATACGAGTCCAAGAGTGCATTTTCATTGATTTGCTTTAGTTTGTGTGATTTCCATGCTCTAGAAACTATCGTCGCAGGATTGAAATCGATCTGACAGGTTGAAAACACCGGCCGATGATGGGATGGGAAAGGCTTATTTTAGTGGTAGTGTGTGCTTGATAGTTGATCCTCCATAGTTGTGTTATGGCTACATTTATAGGTAAGACTTAATGTGCAAAAGTGAGAGAGGATATTTCTTCTTTAGAGTTTGTGTGTTGTATTATGTGGATGGAAGCATTCTTTTGATGCTTTTTTTATTTAAATTTTGTTTGGTGTAATGTTGGGAGATAGTTTTGATTAGAGTGTTAGATTCATGTCTTTGTATCTTCATTCACATACATGATTGTATGAATTAAAAAAATACTAAGAAAAAAAAGGGTCATTTTGTGTCTTTGTTATCTTTGTGGAAATGCCCGTCTAAATCCATAACTTTACGATGACAAGTTTATCCTAAGACATAATGCTACCAATTTTCCATTGTTTATAATAGTTTAAATATATGTCTTCTAAATAAACAAATGTATACATATACATATATATATATATATATATATATGAATTCTCATATTTTTAATAACTAATATATGCTAGTTATGTATTTCTACATCTATGATATATATTCATTTTGTAGTAAATCTGATAAACAATGATAAATTTATTCAGTGGCGATTTTGATTATGACGATTATTTCTGTCAAAATTTTACAGGTGAAAAATTAAACATATACAACTTTCAATTATCACTAAAATAATAAGAGATCAAATACATGATTTTAAAATTTAATACATTAATAATTATAAAACTACTTATTTATATATGTGTATATTTAACGAATGAGATAAAATTGTTGTGTTACTTTGGTAATTATCATTGAAGAAATTGTCATTCTTATTACGACCGTGGTGATTCGTTGTAACTTGTTTTATTTGCGTCGTCTAAATTTATTTTCATTTATTTTTATTATTGTTATTAAACTTATTCTCGATTTTTTTTTAAATAAAAAAAATCATATTTTTTACTCTTTTTTTTACCATAAAAGTAATTTTTTTTTTTATATCCATTTTAAAAATATGTAACAGGTCAAATGAACCCACAATTAGATGATAAATAGAATTTTGTTTATGAAGCATTGTAGCTTGTGTGCAAAAGGATTAAATATTAAGACTGGCTTTAATTACAGTCAAAAAAATATTTTGAAAATTCAAAAATAGTAAAAAATTTAAATATAAATAATTATTTGGTGTAAATAAGTATAAGATGCAATATTTTGTATACCATTTGAAATAAAAAATAAATATTTAATATGTTATATTTTTTAAAAGTAATTTTTCATCGATAAAAGGATCCTTAAGTAAAAAAAATAATACCCCCTTCGTCATCAAATTGTATGCTCATTTGACTGGACATAAATTTTAAGAAAATAGATAAAATAGAAACTAATACATTTTTGGATAAAGAGAAAATAGAAAAAAAAATAGTTTTTTACTTAAAAAAATTAGAATAAATTTGGATAACAATAAAAATAAAAAATAAATAAAAAAACCTAAGAATAGATTTAGATAACAATAAAAAAAAAATGAAAATATATTTGGATGAAAATGGAGCATATTATTTGCCCAAATTTATTTTCCAATACACACGTTAGGACTTTATGACTTTATGCTGGTAACTAATATGCTATATAACAAGTGGTTCCACGTATCGGGGACACCGGCGAGGCACCAATGGCTACAATCGTTGCCCTTTTGGCCTCCCAATCCATACGCCGACGGGTGTCCATCTTTTCGCAATGCCGAAAGTTCTGTTATATCGAGAAGGCGTACAATCCCCACCTTCGTCATGTTATTTATCACTCCCTTGACCACCTCGACTGCCGGCAAATTGCCTCCGGACGCCGGCCCGATGATCGGTAGGGTTTCTCCGAGGCATGTTGTCCCTTTTGTAGATGCATTCCACTCGGCACCACTGTTAATTAATAATTTTGACAAGGCTTTAAACTTTTGTTTACAGAGATATTTTTTAAAAAATTTGTTATTTATCAATAGTAATTTTTTTTAAAAAAAATAAAAAATAAAAACAACACATCAAGTATATTCTTTTATCTTATAAAATATCACATCAAATATTAAATTTTTATTATTTTTGAAACTTTTCAAATCTCAAAAAAAGTTTATTATTATTATTATTATTATTATTATTATGAATTAAAATATTTATTGAATGTAATACTTTATATGAATATAGATGTGAAATGTATAATAATATTGTTGGAGAGAAAATAAATTGCATGATTAAAAGAGAACTTTAAGAGAAACTAACTCTAAGTATTCTTTCTATATTTTTTAAGACATATTTTTTCAAAAAAATTAATATACTATAGTTGTTTTTATATTTACTACACAATTTCTTATACTTCGCAATTTTATTTTATTTTTTTCATTTCCAATCATTTCACAAAACAAACAAAATTAGTGTGTTACTCGTGATTTGCATTACAAATTTTTACTTGTTGATCTTCCTCATAAAACACTATATATTATATTAAATACTAATTTTTATTTATCATATCACATTCAATATATATATATAAACATAAATATATATATATATAAGAAAATCACAACTAAACACACTAAAAAATATATTACACGGATATGTATATATATAGTTCACAAAATATTAAATTTAAACTACTATTTAAAAAAAAAAAAAAAAAAAACTAAATTGTACTTTACAAAGAAAGATAGAAAGGAAAGAATATTACTTGTAGTGAGTGGGAGAGATGCCCTGAAAATAAACTTTGGTAATAGAAGGATCTATGTTAGAATCAATCCATTTTGACCATGTCTTTAGTCCCTCCTTAAATGCTACCAATCTGTCCATGTCTTCATATACTTTACCACCAAACTCTATGTAGTCCCATCTGCATATATATATATATATATATATAATCAATAAAAAAATATATTTATAATTGTAACAAAATGAATATTTGGTTGATCAAACATGTAATTTTCGCTACAAAAAAAAATAATATATTTGTAATAAAATTTCGTCCATAAAGTTCACGTAGCTAACGTAATTCTATTCCTAATTCTGTCTCTAACGTCATTGGTAACATAAAAAAAATAGATTTAGAAATAAAAAAGTTCCGTTACAAAAATGATTTTTTCTTATAGTATTTGTTATATGCTTTATGTAATAAATAGTTAGGTCCGTACGCTTTTTGTTTCCCCTTGTGGAGCCACCAATGCCATGTGTTGAATACGAGCATATCGAAACCTTTCCACGTTTCTCCGTTACGGATAGACTCGAGCTTCAAAATTCTACTCTTATTGACGATGTCTAGATCGACTAGAAAAGCATTTCGAGATAGCATCAGTGATATGTTGTAGTCCTGCAAATAATTTTTTAAATGAATAATTATCGTTGTTTGAAAGAAAAAAAAAAAGTTCATGTATATTAAAATAGTAGATATATCAAACCGGGATATAAAATGTCGAGACATCTCCAACTTTGGCAAGGGTGAAATTTGATTTGGGAAGAGATGTATGAAGCATACATGTAAGAGATTGCCACTGATTGAGGCTAAGTGAGTCCCCTACAAACATAATTCTCTTCCCTCGAAACCTTGTCACGAAATCTTGCCCGCTAAATCTGTATATCAAATACAGTTTGCAAAAATAAACATGATTCGAAAATTTGATTATAGCATATGAAAATAAATATTTGGATTTATAAATTAGAGTTCGAAAGATTTTCGAATCAGACCAATTACATATTTGTAAAACCAAGTTGTTTTTTGGATTTATGCAAATTGGACCGTGTCTAACCCCGACCCGATTTATCAAAACAGTTTAAGTATAAGTAAAAAAACAACTTAATATAACTGAATATAAGTCAAGAAAAATATTATTTTATTATAAATTGTATTTATTTAGATTGATATAATTTATTTTTTAATAAAAAAAAATTACATAAAATATAACTAAAATTACTTTTCTTTTTAAAAAAATTGAACTGAAAATCAGGTTGTGTCTAGATCTAGATTTTTAGGCTTAATCCAAAACCGAGTCATCACGAAATGAGTTAAATCAACTTCGAATTGTCATATTTAAAATCAAATACTTTCAAATAAAGATCTTATAACGACAACTGAATAAATTATTACATAAACACAATATAATAATTCTACGCCTACTTGGGAAGTTGGCATCCGTCGGGCTTCCATCTATAGTTGAGGTAGGCTTTATCGGGCCTTCCGTTGCCTATACAATCAAATTGATCTTCAATAAACGAACATTGTGAGGCTTTATAGGAAGGATACGAATCATCGTAAATCCATTGGCCCCGGTAGAAGTCACACCCCGGATCAATGCATGAAGAATGTCGAGAATATAAGAGGGTTGATAGCATAAAAAAGTAAATATAAGTGAAGAAAATGAAGAACTTATCAAACCCCATTATTTAGCTATAAGAAAACATTGAAAACAATAAAATGAACACTTATATATGAATTAGTTAGGAAGTGTTGGTTGATGTTTGGTACTTACACTATATCTATATATATATTAACTTGGAGGGAAAGACAATTTTCTCTAACAAACTTACAAAAGGAAGATATATATATATATAGAAGTAGCACATTTGGTGTTAAAAATAATACTGATTTTTAATCAAAATATAATATAAATGCGTTAAAAATAATACTGATTTTTAATTAAAATATAATATATTATTACTACGTAGAAAAAAGTCATTGGTTGTATATTATAGAATATATATATATAAAAGATAATTCATTTTTTCTCCTAAATTGCATTGATTTATTCTAAAGATTTCATTTCAATTGGAATTTGGTTATTCACAATGTACGAGGATCTCCGCTAAGTATCCATAGCTGAATGTGATAAAAAATTAAAAGGAAATGATATTGCAGTCTATTTATATATAGAAAAAAAAAAGAGATAAATATATATTTGATTTGATATATCTTCATTTCATTTAATGTAATAGATATATAGTTCGAAAAAATATGTTAATTTAATAATTATAATATATGAAAATTTATTGAAAATATATACTGGATCCATTCTATTTTGGTAGAGTTTTTTTTTTATACTAGGTATAAAGAAGTATTTATGTAATATATATATAATATATTTTATATTTAATAATAATAATAATAATAATAATTATTTTACAACATTAATAGGAAAGTATATCCAATGACATTTAACAACAGGAAATTATTTAACATATTTTCATATATTTGTACTAGTTATTTAAACAATAAAATAAATTTGATTTGAATTTTTATTTAAATTATATTTTAATATGATATTTTATAAGAATTGATAATATATTTTTATTAAAATTTATATAAAATAAATAGTAATAATTTGAAATTCAAATCACAACCAAATAAACCTATTATTTGCCAATCCTTTTTACTATAATTAACTTTAAAATAAATGAAATCTAATAATTCATTTATTATGTACAATTGACTATTTTTATACTTTCTTTGAAGTTTCTCATAGTACATTTTGAGAGGCCGTAAAATTTTAATAATTTTCTCTTATTTTTGTAATTTTGATTTTACAAAATTATATTTAAAATAATAAAAAAAGAAAATTTTTCATGTATATATATATATATATATTGTAAAATTGTTGGAACATCTTAATTTAAAAATAATAGTAAAACTTTGGGATGGATAAAATATTTAATACTATTCATTTTATAGAAGTAATAACTTTCTAATCTAAAAGGTCATGATTAAGGGTGTGTTCTTTTTATATTTTGTACTCGTCCGCCTCTAAGAATTATATTTACCTTTTGTGTAATTGTATTTAATATTAAAAAAAATTATATTTGTATAATTTCTAGTACAAATATCCTTCTATTAGTATTATAAGACACCAATGAAAATATTTTTGCAATTTTTTTTTTTAAATTTGTACTACGTTTTAATATAATAATTAATATTCAAATATAAAGTAAATTAGACCCTTAGAGCCAGACGACGGAGGTAGTATATTTTAATTTTTAACCTACAGTCATATAAAAAAACAAATCCAATATTTGTTATACACTTACTAAATGGAATATATCATATGAAAAATGTATATATTTTTATTGCATACGAATAAAATGTATAATAAAAATAAATAAAAAATGTAATCTACTTTATCACATCAAATACACATAGAGCTAATAAATTGTTTTTAGTTACGAACTAAAAATATAATTTTTTTCTATAATGTATAATATATATATATATATAATTCGAGCCATATTTGAATTTTAAATCTTATGAGATGAGTTTGAGCTTGAATTTGAATCTAACGAACTAAGATCAAGCATTAATTTAGTTTGAATTCTTAATAAGCTAAGTCGCATCGAATCTATATTGCTAACAAACTCGGATCGAGTTCAAACAACCGATATCCGAGCTCTAATTATACTCACATGTATATTTATATGATTAGTGTTATATATACTCCCTCCGTCCCATAACAAAGTATCTATTTTTTCATTTTAGTCTGTCTCATAACAAAGTATTCATTTCATTTTTTAGTAACTGTACTATTTACCTAACATTACAAATACTTTTACAATTTACAATATATTACACAAATGTCATTACCTTTATATCACACATACTAATAAGGTTATTTTAGTCATTTCTATTTTATTTATACTATATCCTAATATAATATTAATATTTCTAAAACTATGTGCAAAAATCAAATGGATATTTTTTTATGGGACGGAAAGAGTATATCTTTGCCTCATTTGTTAAATTGATGATTAGTAAGTAGGAGTCCACTGCTCATTTTCATTCTTCTAAGACAAGCATTGCATTCTTTATATGTAATCTTACAATCATAGAAATATATTAGTTTGTATGTTATTGTTGTACTAATTTACCAATTTTCAATATAATTTAAATATTGGGTTTGTTTAATTAGGTTTAATAAGTATTTTGAGATTTTAGATGATTTTATAAATATTAAAAATTTGAATGAAAATATATATTGCATATCATCTAAATAAGTGTAATAAGTAACATTTTGAATAAACTATATTCAAATCAACATTATTTATTACGTATATATTTCAATAAAATATATTATTTTCGATCATAAAATATTACATCAAAATAATATTTAAATAAATATTAAAATTAATATTTCATATAAAATTAATAACGAGTGTGTTTGTTTGTGAGTTTGAATTTTTTGGTTTCGATTTTTAATACTAAAAAATTGAATTTGAATAGTTATTTGATGTGATATAAATATATATTAATGTGATGTTTTGAATATAAAATAAATTTATAGTATAATATAAAAAAAAAGGAAAATTAATTATTTGATATGATATTTTTAGAAAAAAAAAATCCGAATAGTAAAAATCTGTTTTAAAACCCACAAAAGAATACAACCTACATGTTGGATATAATGTTTTAGTATAATTTAAAAAAAAAAAAAAATAAGACGTAAATAAAATTAAAAATATAGGTAAACAAAGATAGCCTTTGGATACGAATTTATGAATCATAGTCAACAACTCTAATAAAAACAACGAAGCCAGTGCGCACTTTCGGATAACGACAGTGGATTTTCACGTCATAAAAATATATATATATATATATATAAGCTTATGTTTGGATGACTTTCCAATTCTTTGGGCGCTTTGAGATATTGTAATAATATGTATATTATAATATTTTGATATTTGGTATATTGATTTTCTTTTTTCTATCTCAAAAGGTATATTGGTTATCATTTCAAAAATTATATTTCAATAAATATATACAATAGGAGTATTGTTTTATAATGAATAAAATTTTATATAATACAAATATATATAAAAAATATTCATACTTAATATAAATTAATTTTATAAAAATAGAAAATTTTAAATACATATATATATATATATTGAAGAGATATAGAAAGAGAAAATTTTAAGTAAATTTAGATGGTATAATATGCTGGGATGTTAATTAAGTTAAATAATACTCTCTCCGTCCCACATACCGTGTCTGCTATACTGTAGACACCGTATTTTAGGAGGGATGTAATTAGTAGATAATTAAGAATGTATTAGTGAAAATAATTATCCTATAATATAAATAATTATAAATTAAGATTAAGATAACTAATTAGTTTAATTAAAATTTAAAAAATAACTAATTACTTTAATTAAAATTTAAAAAAATAAAATTAAAAATTTTAAAATGAGATTAAAGTGTATAATCATTTTCGCCAACGTGGACATAGTATGCGGGACGGAGGGAGTATATTTTTTAATTATGTTTTGGAAGTGTGTTCTTTTGGCAAGAAAATATATATATATATTCCTTAAAAAATTACTTCTCCGTCTTATTTCAGAGTATTATTTTTAACATTTTTGTCTGTCTCATTTCAAAGTATTCATTTCCTATTTTAGAAAAAATAATCATATACTAATACTAAAATACTCTTAACTTTTACTTAAATTACAAATACACCATTACACATATAATTACTTTATACATAAAATCAAAGACAAAAATATCAAAATCTCTTACACATTTCCATTCACTAATAAAATATTATTATTTCTTGATCTACTATAAAATCCCATAAGGCCATTTGAAATAGACAAGAGGGAGTTATATATTACAAATATTCATTATTTTTATATTAAATATTTTTTATACCTCATATAAAAAGTATTTATTCCAACTATTTTACAAAACAAATAGAGTATTTTATTATAAATAGAAACCTTTTAACTAATATAAGATATATTAAAATAAAATGTGTCAAATATTATGAGACGAAGTTTATATATAAATTTAAAATGATATTATCTCTATCATCTAATTGTGTATTTATTTGATCGGACACAAATTTTAAAAAAAAATATATAAATTTTTTTTTTATTTTTTAGACTAAAGAAAAGTAGAAAATAAATTTTTTTACTAAAAAAATAAAACCAGAATAAATTTAGACGATACAAAAAAATAAAATAAATTCGGATGAAGAGAGGAATATAATTAAATTTATTAAAATGATTCGATTAAAAATATTTTAAAATATACAATACTATAATTTAGATGTGTAATTAAATATACATACAATATATACATTAATACTTGAATATCGGCATAGTATTAAAAACAAAATAAATAAATATTTTAAAATAAAAAAACGTGTGTTTTAAAATTAAATAATTTTGTTGTTGGACATAATTCTTAATATATATAATATTTATACTCTCTCACTCTCATTGGAAGAGTGATATTTGTTTTTGGTAGGTAGATATTTTAATATTAGTACTATATTGGATTGCAATAAAAAAGACAAAATACTCCTACTAGTATGTGTAATATAAAAGTAATGACATTTGTGTAACATAATGTAAGTTGAATTTATGTTAGATAGGTAATACAATTATTAAATTAGGAAATGATAACCTTATTTTTGGGACGGACGAAAATAAAAAATGATAACATTTCAATGGGATGGAGGGAGTATTATATTTTCATATAAAAACTACGATGCCTCAAAGTCCGCAAAATTGAGTTTTTTTAATTAAATTTTAATTTAAATAATATTTTAATATTATATATTATTATATTTTTTTATAAAAAATCTGTGCAATAAATACTCGAATTATTCGAGTGTAATAGAGAGGGAAGAGAATAGAGGGATTCTTGGGGTGTGTTTGTTTGTAGGATTGAATTTAAATTTAACTATTCATCCAATTTTTTTTTCCAATAAATCAAATTAAACACCTATTTTTCATTTTTTTATATTATAGTAAAAATTAATTTTATATTTAAAACATTACATCAACACATATTTATATCGCATCATATAATTATTCAAATTCAAAATTTTTACTATTCAAATCCCAATCCAAAATTCCAAACCCAAACAAACACACCCGTCCCAAATTTTTGTACATATGCTAATAATTTGAAGAAATCACTCAAATCCCAACTAGGATGAAGCTTTGCCAATAAAGACCCAAATCCCGAAATAGACGACGGTAAGCTTCGCGGGTAAAGACTCAAATCCTGAAATGGTGACTCAAAGCCAATGGAGCCCGTGTTAATGTTACGTGGTCTGTGTAAATTAATGGATCTATGTGAAAAGTCTCTATTATTTCACTATTAAATACTCCATCCGTCCGCGGATTTGTGCGAATTTTAAGAAATAATAATATTTTAATTATAGTGGGTAGGTAAAAGCAGTGTAATGATATTTTTGCCCTTATTTTTTGGTATAAAAGTAATGATGTGATGTAAAGTAAGAGTATTTGTGGAAAAAAATAAGGTATTTAATAAAATGGTTACTTTATAATTGGACGTTCCAAAATAGAAATATGTATACTTTGTAGTTGGACGGAGGGAGTATTAATGTGGTCTATATGAAAAGTCTCTGTTACTTGACTACTCTGTCCACTCTCCACTCTTAAATACGTGATTACATCCTTGATAGAAGAAAGTAACTGAGATATGAATTTTAGAGTTTCTGGTCTTCTATACAGAATAATCAACTAAAAATATAGTGCAAATGCTTAGAAGAACCAAATAAAATATTGCATTCGGATTTGACACCAATAGTCAGAGGTATGTTCTTGGAGTTTATTTTAGTTTCGATTCTTTAAGTTTTATTCCGCATTGAATCAATCATTATGTCTTTCATTCGATATCAAAGCATGTTTTTACTTCTACCTTGATATTTTTATTTTATTTTATTTAAATGGATTTTTTTTTTTGTTTGAGATATTTTTGAGAAATTGATGTTGAAAATCATTATAAGATCGATTTTCTTGCCATGTTATGTGATTAGTGTAGTTTTAATTAATTTTGAAATCACCACAGCTTTTGTGATTAATTAAAATTATATTTTATATTTACAGTTGCATATAGTAAATAACATAAATTGTAATCATACCTGATATAATAAAATTTACCATATGAATTTTGTTATATTTGTATGGCTAATTAGGATATTATATCAACTACATTTCTAATTTACCCACATCAATTAAAAAATGAATATAGTTGATAGTTTTATTATATGATTAAATGAGTCTAATAGAATTAAAATTTTAGACCACATGTATGTTTTATGTAAATATATTTTCATGTTGTATGATCTTTTTGTGCTTCGATTTAATTATAATTTGAGCATTATTATTATTATTATTATTATTATTATTATTATTATTATTTACTCTAACAATTCAATCTATTAATGTCTATAAAATGAAATATGATATTTCGAAATTTTACATTGATAAAACATCCTATATGACCTTTTATTTACATACTTAAGGCTAAAAAAACATCATTTTATTAATATTATAACACACTCATTTTTGTTTTTTGTTTTTTTTTTTTAATTTTTACAACGTTTTAATATAATACTTAATATTCAAATATCACTACTAAAAAATAAATATAAACTTTTAAAGTAAAAGAAAAGAGTATTATTATTTTTAATTATTATTATTTTTTTTGTCATTTAAGTATATTTTCATATTTTTAATAAAAAAATTATCCTATTTTTTTTATTCTAAAATATAATAAATTTTATTTTTATCTATTATATTCATTTTTATCAATTTTTTTTTCAAAATTCATACAGAGTCAAATGAGCTATCAAAACGACGAAAGAGGAAGCAGAACATTGTTTTATTTATTACTTCCTCCGTCCCAAGAAATATGGGTTAGATAAAATATAATTAATAAGTAATTAAAAAATATGTAATAATTATAGTATAATAAAAATAATTATAAATTAAAATTAAAATAAGTAAATAGTTTAATTAATATTAAAAATATTACAAAATAAAAAATTTAAAATATAATTAAAATATATAATTATATTTTTTAAAAAAAGAACAAATTATGTGGACAAAATAGGAACAAATTATGGGTGTGTTCGGTTTTAAAATTTTACTATTCATCCAATTTTTTTCCCCCAAAAACATCAAATCAAACATCTATTTTTCATTTTTTATATTATACTAAAAATTAATTTTACATTCAAAACATCACATCAACACCTATTTATATCACATCATACAACTATTCAAATTCAAAATTTTTACTATTCAAATCCCAACTCAAAATCCAAACCCCCAAACAAACACACCCATGAACCCAAGAAATATGAGTCAAGTAAAATATAATTAATAAATAATTAAAAAATATATAATAATTATAAAATAATTATTATATAATAAAAATAATTATAAATTAAAATTAAAATTAATAAATATTTTAATTAATATTAAAAATATTATAAAATATAAAATATAAAATATAATTAAAATTTATAATTATATTTAAAAAAAAAAAAAGGGCAAATTACGTTGATGAAATAGGGACCAATTATATTGACGTACGGAATAATTATTTTAAAGAAATAAACCCTAGTCGCGTTTAATTTCCTCCGCATCCGTCGTCTTCCATCTCCGTCGTCCTTCTGCCGCCGGTTTTGCCTCCATCGTCGTTCTCCTCGTTTTCTGCCAACATCATCTCTATTTTCGTGGCGGGGCAGGGAACTTTTAGTGGAAAAGGAAGGGTGGCGCCGACCGGTTCTCTGCTCGTGTGCAACAGCGTTGACGGCCAAAAATGTTCTCATAAGGAAGGAAAATCAACAAGCGCACTCTTCCCCTGATGGCGTGAAATGTTTTCCAAATAGAAGTAACGGGCGACTACGAAGCCCGATTCATTCCCGCCCTAATTTCAGCTCCTTCGCGTCTGCAATCGTTGCCTTCAAATCGGTTTGAGCTTGCCTTTCGTTTTCTCGCTCAATTATATAATCGTTGTGTTGAGTTCCCCTAGTTTTTGTTTGACATAAATTGGCAATTTTGGATTCTGAAATAATGTTCCGATTAGCCTCCTGCCGATCCGGCGAAGCATCGATTGTGGAACCTTAACTTTTTCACTCGAATCTTGATTCAGTAACTTGAAGAATGAAACAGAGATTTATACTTCATTTGTTTTAGAGAAACACATACCTTCTTGCTCTTGGGCCGAGATGTTTGATTGGTGGTGCATTTTTGGAGTCATTTTATTTGGGATTTGTGATGATAATGCTTAGAATGAGTCATTTTATTCAGCTTGATGAAGAAATTAGTTTAATACTCCTTGTTAGGGTTAACAATGGCGGGAGCAGTTTCATCATCAACCTCACTTAAGGAGTATCTAAAAAAGTACACAAGTAATGATGATGAAAAGAAGAAAAGTAAGAAGAGGAAGAAGAAGAAAGATACTAAAGCTAATGCTGCTGGAGTTCTTGTACTGGACGAAGATCCCGTTTGGCAAAAGCCTGTCAATCTTGATGAAGAAGAAGAAGATTCAGCAGGCAACTAAGCTTATGTTTGTTTATTTTTTTGTTCTGGTTTATAAATCTTTGTTCTCTTGTATATTGATGCACATCGTTGCAGATGAAGAGAAGCCACAAGTTGACGAGGATATTGAAGTGAAGCGTATGAGGAGACTAGAGCTACTTAAGTTGAAGCGCCCGTATGGTGCCATTTCTGAGGACGGAAGCGGTTGGGTTTCTGTGTCTGAGACACGTAGCAGTTTAAAGTCTGAGGACCAAAATTCTGACATTTCCCCTCCTCGCAAAAGCAGGCAACGAAATGATACTCCATCGCCAAGACCTGACCGGAAATCCGAAATTCTTGCTGATACTGATTTATCTCCACCACGGAAGTCACACAAGCATCACCAGAGTCCTCCAGGTACAGAAACAGGACCATCTCGCTCTACAGGTGCTCGGTCTGCCCGCTTCGATACACCATCACCTGAGCCACATCTGCGCGCTTCAGTAAATGATAGAGAGACAGATTTGTCGCCACCCCGACGGAAACAAAGAGAATTGACTGACCCTGAAAAAGTACTCTCACATCCTAAGCTTATGGATTCTGACATTTCTCCCCCTCGACGTTCTCGTCGTGATCCTAGAAGTGAAAATGATTCTCGAGCTTCAGCAGATTTTGATCTTTCGCCTCCTAGGAAGACCAAGAGTGATAGATCTGGTTCCGTTCGATCTGCAAGGAAGCCAGTTCACTATTTAGAAGGCCAACATACATCTGATCGTACAACTTCAGTTTCTGATCTATCTCCTCCAAGGAAGAGGAAGAACGAATCGCCAAGTGTTGTGCATAAACGAAAAACTGGATTAGTCACTGGTGGAGACATGAAAGATGAAAACGAGAAGAAGATGAAGGAAGACTTCTTGAGGTAAGCCCTTTGGTTGTCATCTAATGCAGCTTTAATTCTCCCTAGTATTCCTTTAATATGGTCTCCTCAATAAGACTACTTCATTCTTCTGTGTGTTCGGATTATACATTTAAGAGTATATTGTCACTAATTTTAACCTGAAAATTGGCAGAACCATTATATAGTATTTTATATTTTTGCACTTCTGGGTAGCAGTTAAACATTAGCCAGGTTACTAGACAAACCTTGCAGTCCTTTTTGTCATGATTTCAGTTTTTACATGTTTAGATTATGATTCTGCTCAAACTATTTCACCACACACATTTAAAAATTTGGTTACTTCGTTCTAACATGGATTAACTTTCTTAGGTCTGCAACTATTTGATCAAATGATCTTATGTATGTTATACACTACTTAACTGAATGTTATTGAGCTTACTTTGTAATACTTGCTATAATCTATTTGGTTTTGTGCTCTAATCTCATTTTCCCTGCAATAAGATGTGTGTACGAACTAATAAGTCTTTGCTATATGCCACTATAGGTTTCAAGAACTGGATCCTTCTATAAGTGGTCGAGATGCTGAACCTGTTTACCGCGACAAATTAACTGGTTTGCTGAAGGCTTTTCTCATCGTTTTTCTATCCTCTGTTATCAATGAAGTACATTTCAGGAATCCAATTTTCGTTTCCAGGTAAACGCATGTCAAAGCAAGAGTTTCTCAAATCTCAGAAGAAAGAAGAGAAGCCCAAGGTGCTTTGTTTATTTTAATTTTTCCAGTTTCTTTGTCTCTCCCTCTACCCCCTCTCATTGCACTCCTTGTTTTATAATTCAATGTTTACTTCTTCCTTTTATGTGGTGACTGGGAAATTGTTAATGGGGGTTAAGATTTGCGGAATTAGTAACCAAAATATGGTAAAAGCTGCATTAATTTCTGTAATTTTCAGTTTACTTCCTCTGATCCATCAGGTTTTGAGAGATGATATATTTAGGGTGTGTTCTATTATCAAATTTTACCAAATTTCTATTATTCATAACAAATTTTTCCCCAAAAAATATCAAATCAAACACCTATTATTTATTTTTTATATTATACTAAAAATAAATCTTACATTCAATACATCACATCAACACCTATTTATATCACATCATACAGCTATTCAAATTCAAAAATTTTTACTATTTAAATTCCAAACCAAAATCCAAACCTCCAAACAAACACACCCTTGATACAAATTTCTCTTGTAAATGTACCTGGCCTAGTCTACATTTGGTTCCTTATCATCTTGTTCTTTCCTCTTTAAAAGAGAGAAGAAAAAGTAGTGACAAAGAAGAGGAAATAGCTTTAAACATGTACACATGGAGGGGAAATCATTAATTAGTACACATGATTGTTGATACGAACTATCATCATTCAAGTTCTGATTATGGTTTTCCACAGGAAATAAAGTTGGAATGGGGCAAAGGATTGGCTCAGAAGCGAGAAGTTGAAGCTAGGTTGAAAGAGTTAGAAGCAGAGAAGGAAAAACCATTTGCTCGGAGCAGGTATTTTAAAGATAAAAGTGGCTCTTGTTTCACTAATTTAATGGTTGTAAGTGCAAAGCAAGCGGTAAGTTTCAGGGATTTATACACACTTTAGGTGTACATACATATTATGTGCTGTAATATGCTAATCTTGAAGACTTAATAACATAAACATCAATCACATTTTAAGAATCAAGATGAAAGGAGATAAGTAAACAGTGTGAAGCTACTTTCTACATGGTTTGTTTAGTATTAGTTTTCAAACATCTTAGCTCTTAGGTATCAGAAGGCTATCTCATATGGACATGGTAAGTAGATAGTAGCGTGTAGTCCTTTTAAATTAATTTTTCTAGGCTAATAAGACAAAGTTGATTGGGTAAAGTACCAAAAAAAAAAATTTGTTTGTTTCATAGCGGTGCTGAGAAAGGTTTATGTTATATTTATGACGTTTATTCATTCTCATCTGAATAACTTCAGTGATGGTACTTAGCTTGTGTTAATCTCTTTGTTGTAAGAATTGAGCCCATCATGTTTAATGGGATTGTAAGGTGATATGGTTGCAGCAGTTGTTTTGTTTGTGACGTATTTGTGCTTGACATGTCCCACTAAAATATGGGCATGATAGGAATGCAGTCTAAACACTAACAGATCATTGACATTGAAATCTAGGCAGAGGATCTGAAGGAAGTAAACAATCACTAATCGATAGAGTTGGAAACCACTCACTTACCTTTTAACGTTTAAACCTTATGAAGTTGTGTACTTCATAACTTTGAACATGTAGGTGAGAGAATTGAGCTAGCCTGCTTTAGCTTCCTCCACCAGAAAATCCATTGATATGATGAACCGTGCATGTATAAGTAGAGGACTTGATTTCAAGTATCACTCTAAGCCCTCAAGTGGCGTTAAAAAGCAACACCAATTGTATAAAATATTAAAGTTAGAGAGGTAAATTGAGAAAATTCATTTCAAACTTCGCAAAATTTTAACAAATTATTCAAGGGTTGTGGAAAACACAAGGAAAGCAACCTATTTAGAGGTGCTCGTAGAACCTCGAGAAAAGCGAGGTGGTTATAATGAATGGTCTTTGCCAGGTTAGGACTTCGTTTGGGTATATTTACAAGTTACTTAACTGGACTTGTGCACCCTTTGCAACCTTCCCATAAAATTTTCACCGAAGTTCTCGGATGGATTTGAAGTCCTATTGTTTAACTCGTCTGGTTGTTTTAACCTTACCATGTCAGTGTTGTACCAATTGACTAGATCTGGTGCCTTTCTCTTCACTATTGACATACATTAGATTTTATTTCTTAATAGGAATTTCCTTAGCTTTCCGACCTTTATACACAATAAAAATGCCTTTCGTGTGTTGCAATTCTGACTCTAGGGATGACCCTGATCTTGACTCAATGCTGAAGGAAAGAGTCCGATGGGGTGACCCCATGGCACATTTAGTCAAGGCAAGTAGCTAGTGCTATGTCTTTTTTATTTTTGGTTACACGGATTATTATTCTGCAGTATTTTGCTATCTTTTTGTGTGATAACTCACTCTCAAGATTATTTGCCAATGCTTCAGAAAAAGAATGTGGAGCCAGTTCTTCCAGACCTCGGTGATAGTGAGAGGATGAAAGAATCCGGCTTCATTATCCCACAGGAGGTCCCAAGCCATAGCTGGATAAGAAGAGGAGTTGATGCTCCCCCAAACCGTTATGGGATCAAACCAGGGAGACACTGGGATGGCGTAGACCGCAGTAATGGTGAGAATTTATGATAGGAATTCGATGGGGTTGCTTTCTTTTCCCACCATCATCTTTGTTTTTGCCTCTTGCCATAGCCTGTTTTGTTGTATTGGCACTACCAAGTGCACAATTGCTAAAATGAAAAAAAAACAAAGAAAAAAAAGAAAAAAAGCGAGCTATCTATTAATTTCATTTATTCATTTAGCCAATAAGAAATAATGATTTTGGGCTACTCTTGTAGGATACGAGAAGGAGATGTATAAGAGGATGAACGAAAAAAGTGCTACTGAGAGAGAAGCATACTTGTGGTCCGTTTCGGAGATGTGATGCGCAGAGTTGAGCTGAACTGAGGCTGTCCTAAAAAAACATCACTTATTGACTCAAATTCATCGTGGGTGTCGTATTCTGAGACAGAAAGAGTTCGCCCGGAGCTGTCTTGTCCTGTAACCAGTGACTCTGGAGACGTAACTCGGACATACCTTATACATCTATCTTATTTATCATGTTTGTAACACAGCATGGTAATAGTAAAACAAATTGAACTGATCCCTCGTTCGGATGCTACTCTCGCTCGATAGGTTCCACAGGCGATGGTTGTCATTGAGGTAATGTTTGTGCTTAGACAGGTACCTACTGCTTCTAGTTGTTATATATATTTATATATATATATATATATATGCTTATAGCAATAGCTCAGATGATGCTCTACCCAATTCAATTCAATTAAGCTTCATCTCAGAATTTGTGATGTGTTCTTTGCTTTTTCTAGTTTGAGATGTACTATTGAAATGAATATGACCCTCTTTGAATCCACTTCTAAAAAGGGTTTTTGCTTTAAATATATATATATATATTATTTTGCTTAGATTGGTTTTTTTTTTTCGAAAGTGCTTCCTTTGTCACAGTGAAATATTTGGTTTTTGGCACAATAAAGTGGATAGTATTAAATAGATTAAATTGATAATTAAATAATGTGACAAGAAAAGTGCTTGTGGGATTAGGCATGTCAATTGGACCTGTCTCAGACCCGGATCTGACGATCCTGTATATTTTTCTCAGATCTGGAATCTCATATTGATACGGGATACGGGCTCCGAATCTAGATCCAAATCCGTTTTATATGGTTCTAGATCTGGTATTCTAGTTTCAATATTGAATTGATCCGGATCCGGATGTTTATATATATTATATTATTTGTTAATTTTTTTTTTTTATATATTTGTAAATAATGTTAGTTTAAATTTTCTTTGGCATTACGATGTTGTTAATTACATAGTTATTTATATTTAAGTTAAAAATTATGATACTTAAATGTAATTGCTGATTTTTTTCTTATAAATAATTTCTTGAATATTAGATTCGGATCCGGTCAACATTTTTTAGTTCCGGTTTCGGAAATGGTAATGAAAGGTCGGATTTAAATTTGGAACATCATAATTCAAATCGGATCAGATACGAGGTCTACATGGGTAGGACCAAAATAAAAAAATATCAGAAATATCGGATATGTATGTGGAAACGGGGGAGTAATATTTAGGGTTTAAAAATTTTGTGTGTTGTTGAAGTAGTTTTAAAAATTTAAATTATTAGTTTATTCCTAATAAATGATAATAATAAATTAGAGAAGTATAATATAAAAATATTGAATTTATATATTATATTATTTCACGGTTGTCTAATTTGACTTTCTTTGGTGTGCTTCGGTCTTGTTTGTCATATATATTTACCTAATATAACTTATTTTGTCGGATCTAGAAGAATAGCAGTTGTATGTATGTTGTAATTTTATAAAAATCGTATTAAGAAACGTTGGCCAAAGAAACTTAAAATTTATATTCAAATTTATTTTTACTTGACATATGAAGTATTAAAATTAAAATGTAAAATATATATAAGCTATTAAATTTAAAAAATTATTTTGAATTATACTTAAATATAATTTATAAAATTTTCAAAATAAATTATTATTTAAAAATATATTTACATTAACAATATATAAGTGTGTATATATTTTGTGCTTAAAGATTGAGTTGTTGTTTATGATTAATAATATAAAAAGTAATTTTTTTGTTTTTATTAAATTGTTAGGTATACTTATTTTAACTCATTTTTACGGAAGAAAATAGTATAAGAATTCAATATATTAAATTAATCAATAAATAAAAAGCAGTTAAAAATCAGTAACATTATGATACAATACTATCACCACATAATCATAATTTGTGTTTTGATTTGAATAATTATCTAATCTGATATGACTAAAACTTAATGTAATATTTTCAATAATGTAAAATTAATATTTAATGTAAATAAAAAAATAAATATTTAATCTCACATTTCTTAAAGAAAAAATTACAGATAAATAGAAATTAAATAAAATCACCCAAACAAATATATCCTTTAGTTCAAAGAATGAGAAGGTTGTAAAGAATTAGATTCCAAGTATCGGGCACTCCGGGCAGGCACCAATGGCTGCAGTCGGACCTCCCGCCGAGCCCGTAAATTGACGGGTGTCCGTCTTTCCTAAGCAACGACAAATTCGTTATGTCAAGAAGTTGCACAGGCTTCTTCACCTTACTCAAAACTCTCTTTAGCACGCCCAACGCCGCCGGCAACCCTCCCGGATACGTCGACCCCGCCACCGGCTCTTTTTGTCCCGCGCACGACTTTGCCCTTGGTTCGTTCCACTCGCTCCCGCTGCATGCGCATTAAAACACGACCGAAAAAACACACTTTTAATATATGATCGAGACGATCTATTGTCACGACATTGCTTAAAATGATATGGTCGATGCAGGAAGACTATGTAATACTCATTCAGTCTATTAAATTTTGTGCTCGTAATTTTTTTGTATGGATTTTAATGTATGAGTTTTGAATTGATACTTTTTATTATTATTATTATTTTTTATAATAAAAAATATAAATGTAGTATAAATTTTTTTACTGAATAAGAAAAACCGAAAACTTTTTTTAAGAGAAAAAAAAATTGAGCACAATTTTAGGGGACATGACGAGTATATAACTAATACTTCCTCTGTCCCATATATATATATATATATCCATTTACTTTTTACACGAATTTTTAAAAATATTGATATTATATTGGAATGTAGTAAAAATAAAGATAAAAAAAACTGAAGTACCCTTATTAATATTGTACGATATAAAGGTAATAGCATCTGTGTAATATATTGTAAATTGAAAGGGTATTTGTAATATTAAGTAGATAGTACAGTTACTAAACAAACTAAAATAGAAAAATAGATAGATTGTTAAGGTACGAAAACAATAATATAATTGGTGGTAATTTTGTATAACTCTTTATATTTTCATTTATTAGAATAATATTAATGTAAATAAGTATAAGTTTTAAAATATTTCTAATATGTAATGCGGTAAAATTTACTAAAAAGGAAAATATAAACTTTATGTTCGTACAGATCAAATGAAAAATATATATTTTGTTAGCAGACTGAAAAACTATTTAATTAATGATATTTTTTTTTTTACAAGTTTAAATTTTTAAGTTAAATGATAATTTAAGATTCAAACTTACTTGTAATGAGAAGGAGAAATTCCCTGAAAGAAAACAGAGGTTTTGGTCGGGTCAATGTTGGCATCGACCCATTTGCCCCACGTCCTCAAGGCTTTCTCGAAGGCCACGACACGGTCCATGTCCTTGTAAAGTTGTCCCCCGTCTTCGATGTAATCCCATCTGTATGCATATTGTTTTACGTTATTGTAAATTTTTATATTGTTCGTTAAGGCACAAAAATTATTATCGAATGCATACGGTTGTGTTGGCCCTCGACGGTTCCACCAATGCCATGTGTTGAAGATCAGCACGTCGACGCCCAACCAGTGTTTGCCACGTGTGATCGAATCCAATTTTAGGATCCGACCTTTGGGTTCTCCTACAACGTCGACTAAGAACACCGCATGATCCAACATAATATTGACATCGAAATCCTGAATAGAATACAAGGCTTTATTTAAGGTCTATGATTAACTTTGTGTGACTTGCCTTTTAATTCGCAAGTTATAAAAGTTAAATAAATAAAATATAAAAACATATAAAAACTGTGTCTGTGCATCTAAAATACTGACACTTTTATTTATAATATTATTTTTTAACAAATTATTATATTAAATATATATTTTTTTATAAAATACTATATTAAATGTTCAGTTATTTTATTATTTATATATATATTTTAAAATTTTGCCACTAATTATTATTACTCCTTCATTCCACTATTCCACTATTCCCATTTCTTTTTATTTTACAAATGGAATGTGAATATTTTTGGTGACCCTAGGGAGTAATACTTTTTTTCCAAAAAAAATCTTATCAAATAACCAATATTTTATTTGCAAAATTTTCCAAATTTCTGGGTTTTTTTTTTTTATTTGAATTTGAATTTAAAAAATATTTTGTAAACAAATAGTATATTTTAAAAAATCGTACTAAATTAATAAAATTGATTTGTATTTAAAATACAAACCAAACACACCCTCAAAACTTCAAAAAATTCTCTCAAAATGGAATATAACCCAATTAAAATATATATGTGATACTCAATTTATTTCAACTTAAAAAAATATTAAAATAATTTTCAAATTAAAAATGTTCAATTTGATAAAATCTTAACATGACACTATATTTATATATATACTTTTTAAAATAGTGAGGATATATTAAAATTAATAAAAGTCGAAAAAATGAAAATGAAAATAATTATAATTGGGCTCATCAATCATAATAATTGGTTGAAACAAGCAAATGGAGTACAGCCAAAAATGTCATGCCCACTTAGATTAGGACCACATTATTATTATGACATGTTAATGATGCATCATTACAAATTGACATATTACATTACATGATGCCTTCTTTTCTTTGTCCATATAATATACATACGTACATACAAATATATATATATATATAGTGTTGATTGAAATTAATAGACGAATACTACCTTCGTTTTAATACAATAGTCATAGTCTTATTTACTATTTTTATCTGTCCCAAAATAATAATTTTATTTTCATAAATAACTATATCACCATAAAATTATCTCTACTTTTTCATTATTATTACACAATTGTCACTATTTTTTATACTAATATACTCACAAGGGCAAAAAAATCATTTATTCTTACTTTTTACAAACTACCAATATAATGTCAATATTTTTTTAAATTCCGCGCCCAACACAATAAAACTATAGTTTTGGGACGGAGCAAGCATATTTTATAAATGTCTACTATGAAAATATCTTTTGTATTAAAATTAAATGCAATAATTACTATGTATTGTTTTCACTATTGCTATTATCAACACAATACTAAATAATAACATTCAGCATTGTAATTGTCAGTCATATATAATAAATTTATATTAATTATTTGGTTCATAAAAAATACATTTATTGGTATCAAATTTTTTACTACTACTTTTAATTTAGAATCCTGTTAGAAAATTTTGTAATTTTTATTTATTTTTTACACACATATGTATACTTTTATATTTCTAAATGTAATTTATAAAATTATTTCAAAATATAATAAGGGTAAAATAATATATATATATATTGAAATTATCACCTAAAATAATCAAAGTAAAATTAAATTAGATAAAAAGAATAAATTATCAAGACGAGCATAATTTTAATTTCGAGGGCTATACTAACCTTAAATGTAAAGCTCGAAATCTCGTCGGATATGGTTTGAATGTAGTTTATCCCCGGTACCGAGGAATAAAGCATGCATACGAGTGATTGCCACTGGTTACGGCTCAAGGAATCACCCACGAACATTACGCTCTTACCTTTTAATTTCTTTAGAAACCCGACCCCATCAAATCTGCTAAATAAATGGTTGAATTTAGCCTTGAATCGAGTTCTTTTTTCTTTTATGCGATAAAATACACTCTAACAAACAATACATAAATTATATAAACTATTGAAAATGTAAATTTTTGTTACTATGAACAAGAAAAACTGTTCGAGTTCAAAACATTTGAACTGGAATAAATTGAACTAAATGAATCGGGCTAAATATTGCAAAATTCATTCTACTTACTCTCAACGAGTGCTGACAAATATATACAAGTGAAAAACTCAAAATGTTCAGGACTTATCGAATCAAAATTCAAACTTAAGGCTTGAAGTATACATTTATTTTTTTGCATGAGTTTAAAAAAACTAATATTTTAATGACAGTGGATAGTTAAAAGTAGTGTAAAGACAATTTCGTCTTTGTTTTTTTTTTGTATAAAAGTAATTATGTAATGATAAAATAGAGGTAATTATGAAAAAAAAATAAAAAAATAGAGTATTTAATGAAATGATTATTTTATAATTGAACAATCCAAAATATAAATATGAATGCTTTATGACTGGACGGATGCAATAACCTTTACACAACAAAAATAAATTGTCTAAATATATTGATACTTATTAAGAAATTTTTTTTCCATGAATATATATTTGTAACAAATATATATATATATATTTTAAGTCAAGATACTATGAACATTTTTATTAGCATATTTGGTTGGGTGTTTGTATTTTGATAAATAATAAAATTTAAAATAGTTATTTGACGTAATATAAATAGATAGAAGATATAATATTTTGAATGTTAAATTAATTTTTAATATAATATAAAAAAAACAATTAATTAATTTGACATTATGTTAAAGTAAAATAAATTTGATCAATAGTAAAAACCCACCAAATAACAAGTTAAGTGGCTTGTTAAGTTTTACTCTCAAAACACTTTGCACAATATATATCTTCTAATTTTTTCCTTAAATATTGGGGCTCATTTGTAATCTTTCAATTCTATCTATTTTTTAAATACACAAATAGATTTCTACACATTTAAAACTCTTTCTATATACTACATTAATTTTAATTATATTAATAATTTATAAATATATAGTATTAACATATTTATATTATATAAAATTTTACATTGTCACTAAGGGTGTATTTGTTTGGGGAGATTGGATTAGATTTCTACTATTCATCCTATTTTTTCTTAAAAATATCAAATCAAACAACTATTATTTATTTTATATATTATACTAAAAATCAATTTTACATTCAAAATATTACATCAACACTTATTTATATCACATCATACAACTATTCAAATTCAAAATTTTTACTATTTAAATCCCAACTCAAAATCCAAATCCCCAAACAAGCACACCCTAAGGGTGTGTTTGTTTGAGAAATTTTATTTGGATTTTCACTATTCATCCTATTTTTTTTTCCCCAAAAATATCAAATCAAACACATATTTTTCATTTTTTATATTATACAAAAAATCAATTTTACATTCAAAACATCACATCAACATCTATTTAGGGTGTGTTTGTTTGAAGGATTTTGGTGGATTTCCACTATTCATCCAATTTTTTCCCCCAAAAAACATCAAATCAAACACCTATTTTTCATTTTTTATATTATACTAAAAATCAATTTTACATTCAAAACATCACATCAAACCCTATTTATATCACATCATACAACTATTCAAATTCAAAATTTTTACTATTCAAATCCCAACTCAAAATCCAAACCTCCAAACAAACACACCCTTATATCACATCATACAACTATTCAAATTCTAAATTTTTACTATTCAAATCTCAATCCAAAATCCAAACTGCCAAACAAACACACCCTAAGTAGACTTGGCAGTATCGATTTGGTGCTAACATGACTACTTTGTAAGCACTACATTAGTACCAAGTGGATTTTATCAATGTAAAAATCCACTTGGTTCTAACATGTGCGTGCGGACAGATTAACTATATCAGCGTCAAATCTACTTAGCAACATGATAATAGAGAGAAGTATAGAATTAAAAAAAAATAAAAAAATAATACTTTCTTTGTCCATAACAAAATATCTATTTTTTCATTTTAGTCTGTCCCGTTACAAAGTATCAATTTTCTTTTTTAATAACTGTACTATCTACTTAACATTACAAATACCCTTACAAATTACAATATATTACACAAATGTTATTACCTTTATATCACACAATACTAATAAAGCTATTTTAGTTATTTCTATTTTATTCCTACTACATCCCAATATAATACTAATATTTCTAAAATTTCGTACAAAAAGCAAACGGATACATAATTATGGGACGGAGGGAGTAAAAAATAATTTACCTTTTAAATGATTTAATATCAAATCAAATCTTCAACCACAAATCCATGATCAAACACATTCTAAACTAGAGGATGGATTGAGTGCTATTGAATCATATACTGAAATTATGTTGAATACCTTTCAATGTAATATATTAATTTTTATAATTAATTTATATAATTAATATAATTAAAAGTAATTAATTTCTAAGGCATTCAGCATCATGTGCTTAAATGCAGCACCTTCTAACTAATCTCTTTGTAAAATTAAGAGTGTGTTTTTCAATTAAGTTTGACTAATGATTACTTAAATGATAATTGTTTGTTTGGTTGTATTTTTTTTTTTTTTCTATTTATACTACTTATTTATATATTTTTTTCTTTTTAAAATATCATATATATATATTATTTAAAAGATTATATACAAATAATTTTTTTATTCAAAAATAACATCAAATATATATTTATATCAGATTAAATAATTATTAAAATTTTAAATTTTTATTATTCCAATACAACAAATCACAAACATTATTATATATACTTTCCTATGGTTGAGACACATGAAAATCTAGTTCTGAATTGATTTAAAATTTTTTAAATAATATTTTGATATTATATTAAAAAAATATAATAATGTACACTTATTGAAAATCTTACTTAGAGAATATCATTAATTTTAATTTAAAATCACAATTAAATAGTTAAATGTATATATAAGAATATATTAGTGCTCTTTTGAAAATAATTTCTCATTTTTTTAAAACTATTTTATTTATGTTTTCAATAAAATATAATATATTTTTATATCTATAACATCATATTCAATCACTGTTTAAACAATATAATATAGCAATTCATAAACCAAAGTACCTAACACACCCCTAGATGCTTGGAATATGATTTTTTTTAAATATAATAATAATATATAAAACAATATATTGCTTCATTAGTCTACTCCAAAAAATATACTCCCTCTTAATTTAATAATTGTAATACCTACCTAACATAATAAATATTTTTTCAATTTACAATATATTACACAATACCAATAAAGATATTTTCGTCTTTTTTATTACAATTCAATATAATACTAATATTAAAAAATTTACGTGCAAAAAGCAAAAGTTACTCTTTATATGAGACGAAAGGAGTATATATTTTAACAAATATTCTACTTTACTATGCATTATCATTTTTACATTAAAAACTAAAAAATAAAGAGTGCCAAAAATAAAACATCACTAATTGAAGAATTCAGAAAACATCAAAATGCCTAATGAATATTAATAATAATAATGTACTTCCTCTATTCCACATAATTTGTTTCTATTTTTTATTTTCATCCGTCCCGCATAACTTGTCCTTTTTATTTTTGGAAATATAATTATGCACTTTAATCGCATTTTAAATTTTAAATTTTATAATTTTTATAATTTTAATTAAACTATTTACTTATCTTAATCTTAATTTATAATTATTTTTACTAAATAATTATTATTTTTTAATTACTTACTAATTATATTTTACCTAAATTCTCGTATCTACATCAATACACTCATATTACATGGGAGTAATAACTACGAAAAGACAGCGAATATATGCGTGCGGTGGGATCTGTGAAGCTCACAGTCACGAGGCACCCCGTGACTCACCGACGGTAACGTTAAATACTTCCCGCCCTCCAATCAGAACACTCTAGAGTCTATGCACAATATATGTTCATATGCCAACCATCTTTCCCCACTAATATTTTTTTTATAAAACTTAATTAAATAATATCTAAACATATGCATATAAATAAAAATGCTAAATTAAATGAAAATATATTTTAATGATTTGATATCACCAAAAAAAAAAAAAAAAACATTTTCTAACAATTTTTGCGCTGGCAACAAAATTAAAATTATCGAGCAAATTAATTGTAGTGGAATTATACAAATTTTAATAAAAAATAATTAATATATACATACAAAAAAGGCACTCAAAGCACTGAGTATAAGCAAACAAAACGACAACAGCAGAAAGAGCAAACGACAGTACATGATTATACACGCATACCTTGACAGGCTGCAGGAGCGCGGTTGCCACTTGTACCTAAGGTACAAGTCATCGATGCGTCCATTCTTCTGGCAGTTAAACTCCTTCTGAATGAAAGGACACGACGCGGCGGTGTAAAACGGAGCATCGCCGTCGCCGTTGCCGTCGCCGGCGAGCTTCCAGCTTCCCTGGAAAACATCACAGGCTCGTGAACGGCGGAAAGGAAGCTGCAGGCTGAGGCTCGCGATAATCGCCAGAAAACGAAGGTAGGGATTCATCTCTCTACTACCTGTTAGGTCGTGTGGATCGATCTCATTGAGGGAGAGAGAATCGTGAAATTGGTGTGATTGAAAAGCGAAATGCACAGCTGCCGCCTGACCTTCTGCCTGCCGATATATATATAATGCGGCCGGTGTAGGTACACCGAGCATGGCCCCCACTTAGATTTCGGCAGTTCCGCGGTAAAATTTAAATGCGAATTTATCAGCATTCATTAAACGCGTCGTACTACTACTGGGGTTTGTGCAGAGCTGAACAAAATATTCGAAAGCTATTAAATATTTGATAAATTTTGAATTTTCAAATTGTTTCTCATGATATATTAAAATTCTGAATTAAATTAAAATATAATATTTTAATATATTTTATTAGTATATATATTTAATATTTTAGGGAATTAATGTGTAGTTTAATGGGGAAATTTTTAATCTGGATTAAAATGACTAAATAATTTAATTAAAATAAAAAAATTTATAAATTTTAAAATTTAATGAAAGTATATAATAATATTTCAGAAAAAAAAGAGATAATTTATGTGAAATATACGAATATATAAGAAAGAATAAAGAAATTAAGTGGAAATGTAGTAATATATTAAAGATATTTTAGTTTTGTAAAAACCTCATATTTAATAACATTTTTTTATTAAAAATATCAAATCAATAACTATTTTATTTAAAATATATCAAAACTCAACACAAATACAATATATATATATATATATACTATTTCTAAGTATTGACATACTTTTTAAAATATATATGATCTAAAAATGTCTACAATTTCTAAGTATTGACATACTTGCTAAAATAGATATATATGATCTAAATAAATTATATAAAAAAAATAAAAATGAATGAATAAAAAAAAAAAGAGAAAAAAAAAAAGAAGAGAAGAATTTGTTTGTTTTCTTTAATCAAATTTTTCTAATTTTTTTACAAAATATATAATCAAATATTAGGTTAATATCAAACTTAACTAAAAGAAACACGCCTAAATTTTTAAATAAATTTAAATATAGTAAAAAAAAAAATTCTTTTAATTCTTTTATTTTTATTTTTTAAATGATATAGACTAATAGTATCACAGGCTTATTATACAACACATAATATAACAACAGCAGAGCTGGCAAAAATTGATATATTACAATAATCCGACACAAATTCAATACAAAATAATTTGATTTGAGACAAAAATTTCAGCCCAATTATATAGACGAGTTGAAACGAACTCGACACGATAATAAATGAGTTGGGTTAGGGTTGAAGCTTGGAACTCAAATTCGATACGACAATCCGATTATAATATACTAATATATTAATTAACATATTTATTATATATGTAGATTAATTTTAATTTGATAATTAGTTTACCTATTAATTTAAATTCAATTTTAACTAATCTAATCTAATTCATTATACACGTTACACTAGTACCGATAAAAATTAATATAACACGACAATCCGACAAAAAATAATTAAATTTGAATCAATGATTTCAACTCAATTATGTACACGGATCAACGCGATAATAAACGGATCAACATGAACTCAGATAATAAAAACGGATCAACATGAACTCAGAACTCAGATAATAAAAACGGATCAACATGAACTCAGATAATAAAAACGGATCTCGCTTAAAATATTCATTGCCAGGTTTAAAAAACAGACCTTATATGAATTAATTATGGTAGCATAATACAAATTGAGCAAATGAATTGTCAAAACCCATGATAATATTTTTACCCCAACCCATAATATAATGATAAATAACACATTATAAAGAGACATACAATATATAATTATACTAATGTAATACAAATATAATACATAAACTAACGGCACGTGACATATTTTCGCATAACATATGTTATAATTAATTTCAACACAAAAAATATATATATATATTAATATAACACTTTTTTTTTTTATTTAACAAAATATATTAGGTAAAAATATATATTTCCTCTGTCCCAATTATGGTGTCCCTTTTACTGTAGACACGATAATTTAGGTGAAGCATAATTCGTAAATAATTAAAAATATATTAGTGAAAATAATTATTATTTACTAAAAATAATTTTAAATTAAAATTAAAATAACTAATTTGTATAATTAAAATTAAAAAAAATTATTTAAATTTAAATTTTTAAAATGAGATTAAAAATTATATAATACTTTTCTAAAAATGGAAAGTGATAGAAGTGAAACAGACGAAAATGAAAAGGTGGACACGATAAACAGAACAGAGAAAATATTATTTATCTATTTTATATATAGATAAATCAAAATGACGTCGATTTGTAATAGTACCGTGACGGTAATCATCCTATATAATCATCTAAGACGCTATTTATATATTTTAAAATTATTTTAACAATATCAATATATAATATCTTTAAAAAATAAGAATAATATTGCATCAAATGTATTTTTTTTTTTTTAAAAAAAAGTATCATATTAGATACAAAACTTTTTAGTAATTTTTAAAAAAATTTTACTAACTTCCAAAATTTATACACTCAAATTACCTTTTTTTATTTATTTATTTTTTTGGAATTTTGTAATAGATTTAAAAATAATACTAGTAATATTAATTATTAATCAAGAAAAATATATAAGAGGTTTTGATTTTTTACTTATGTATAAACTAACGGTATGTATAATGATATGCTTATAGTTTAGATAAAATTAATGATATTTTAATATTAGTATATGGTTAATTTTACTAAGATAAAAAAAATAAAAAATAAAAAATAAAAATAATACTACTTGATTAGAGATTGATGTAATATTAAGGATTGTGTGTATACTTACTATTTCCAATTATATCATTTTTCAAAAATAATTATTGTATAATAAAAATAAATTAAGATTAGGATAACTAATTAGTCTAATTAAAAATTTAAAAATTAAAATTCTAAAATGAGATTAAAATGTATATTTTTTTTAAAAAAAAATTGACAGGATAAGTGAAATAAACAGAAATAGAAATGTGGACACGATAAGTGGGACGAGGGAAGTAAAATATTATTTTGTATAATACTTTTACAATTCCAAATACTGCGCAACAAAAACATTTAAAATTATTAAATACTTAAAAAAAACATACTCTAGAATATTAAAAAATTATGGATATATTATATACACATATTTATCATATTATATATATATATATATGTTTTCTTATCAAGAAGTAGCATTGTATAGACGTACAAACAAATGAACTCAAATTTCTTATACAATAGGATTGTTTAGACGTACACGTATATGTCCTTTTTTTAAACAAGTCTTTAAAAAAATTTAAATAAATTCAATTTTATTATTTTTTTTTTAAAAAAATATTATAGCAAATGATAATTTTACAATAAAACCAATACACTAATATCATAGCTTCTAAATAGGGGTGACAATTCTGGCTGGTTGATTTTTTGTAGTAGCTGGCCCGACCAAACCAGATTGCAAATAGGGCTTGGAAAGGCCAGCCTAACCACAACTTGATTTGAAACCGGTCATGTCGGCTTGGTTGTTGTTTTTTTTTTTTTTTTTTTTTTTTTTTTTTTTTTAATTTTAAAATTATTATTATTATTTTTTATTTTATTAGATTTGAATTAATATATATATATTTATTAAAATTTTAATTTTAATTTTCAAAACCTGGTTGAGCCAGACACGACTCGACCTTCATGAGTCCGGCCAGGCACGATCCAAAAATTATCTGGCTTATCTTTTAAAGTTCAATTTTTTATGCCGTGTTTATTTTTGTCACTCTTAGTTGTAGGTACAATCAAATAAAATATATTTGTCTGATTTCAATTCTAAGTTTATATTTTATATGCAATATACTAGATTTCTAATAATAATAATAAATAATAATCATATATTATATAAATCATATTCAAATATAAAATTCAAAAACAAACAATATATGATCATATATTATTTGGTTATAATTTGAAATAAAATCCTATTTGATTTGAATTTTTGTTTGATATGATATTTTTAAGAAAAAATACTATATTTTCATATTATAGGTGAATGTAAATTATGGAATAGCACAGTTGCTGAAATTTTCCTGTTGCATTCTATAATTTTTAAGATTTGGATTTATTCCAAATTTGTTTCAATACGGTTTGAAATTGATTTGAAATAGAATGTTAATTGATTTGTTTTATATATAATATTTTGATGTGATATTTTGTAAAAATAAAAAAAATATATATATATATATGTATTTTTATGTTATAGGTGAATAGAAATTATGAAATAATACATACTGAAAATTTCCAAATTTGGATTTATTCTAAATTTATTTGGTTGTAATTTAAAATTAATTGTTAAATTTGAATTTTAGTTAAATAATATTTATTCATGATCTTGTGATATTAATAATAATAATATTTTTTTTAAAATTAAAACTTTTATACCAATTTAAATAATATTGAAATAAATTTGAAATCATAACCAAAACACAGTGATATCCGGACAAAATTGAAGTACAAAACTATGATCTGATCTCCCTTTTCTTGCATTACATACAAATTTACTGCAACACAAAACTGTACAAAATTGAAGTAAAATTAATTAATCTAATTTCTGTACAAAGCTCAGCTCTCTCTCTCTACGTATGTATTTACTCTATTAACTCATTCTCTATTCTCAAAGTAATTTGAGCTCAAAGGCGCTGTACAAGAATCCGCACTCGAACTAGGGAACGACTTCATAGCGAAGCCCCGAACATCGTCGAACCCGTACCCGTACCCGAGCCCGACCCTGTCTCGTTGCTCGACTCCCGTTTCCGCGACGAAATCCGATAGCTGAACCTCACCCTCCAGCATGCCCACCACAGCCGCCATGCTCGGCCTCCCCACTGCCGTCGGGTTCGTGCACATCAGCGCCACGTTCACGACCCTCCGAACCTCGTCCCTGTCGAAGTTCGACCCCAGCCGGGGGTCGACTATATCCAGCAAACGCCCTTTCTCCCGCAATAAATCGACCTAATTAAACACCCAACGCATAAAGATCGACGCAATCTTATAATATTCTTTTTTCCATTCAAAAATATAAAATCATAATTACTTTTTTTTTTATATTATATTGCAAATTAATTTTACATTCAAAACATCACATCAACCTCTATTTATATCACATCAAACAACTATTCAAATTCAACTTTTTACTGTAAAAAAATCTAAACCCACAAACAAACACACCCTTAGAGATTTCGGTATACCAAAGTTTATCATTACCGATATTTTTTCGTATGATATCGACATATGATTTTCAAATGTTCGGTATATCATACCGTATCGATATAGAATTTAGCATATCAAAAACTTTAGTAGTGTATATGATAAGACGTGAAATTTTCGATATATAGAGGATTATTAAGGGTTCTGTTTAGACAGAAGTTTTTGAAGAGTTCGGAATTTTGAAAAGTTTTGAAAATAATAAAAAATTGAATAGTATCAAAAGTTTCAAAAGTATCGAAGTTACCCAGTCGAGAAGGCACAAGCAATCCTCGTCGGGGGTGAAAACGATGATGCTTCTTCCGCTTACGATCTCCAAGAGAACGACCCCGAAGCTGTACACGTCGGCCTTGTCCGTCAAATATCCTCGCACAGCGTATTCGGGTGCCATGTAGCCACTTCGAAGCCGAGCACCGTGTTAAAAACGACAAGACAAGAAAGAACCTAGTACAAGTACGAGGTAACAAGTACTTACAGCGTCCCGGCGATGCGAGTGCTCATATGCGTATTGCCCTCTTCATGAAGCTTTGCGAGGCCGAAATCAGATATTTTCGGGTTTAGATATTTGTCAAGAAGCACGTTCGTCGCCTTGATGTCGCGGTGGACGATCTTGATTCTCGATTCTCCGTGAAGATAGGCCAAGCCGTGCGCCACACCGATGCAGATTCTGAACCTCGTCGGCCAATCCAAATGCAGCTGTTGCGACTCCGGACCTGCAAGAACGCAGAACGATACATAAATGCATAAATCGAAACCCTCGGCAGAAGAACGCACGTCGGAGCAACGAACAGACCAAACAATGCGCGAGCGAGGCTGTTGTTTTCCATGTACTCGTACACGAGTAGCAACTGATCGCCGTCAACTGAGCATCCGTATAGCTTTACAAGATGAGGGTGCTGTACTGCAGAAATCATTCCGATTTCATTCACAAACTCGCGGTTCCCTTGCCTCGATTTCGAAGAGAGCTGCTTCACAGCAACGATGGTGCCGTCCGGCAGATAACCCTTTGTACAAAACATAACCGGAGTCAGACGAATCACCGGCTCTATCGAGCTAAACATCGAAAGAAAAACGATATCTCATCGGTTTAGATTGTACCTTGTACACGATACCGAAGCCTCCTTCTCCGATTTTATTAGCAGGATCGAAATTGCTTGTCGCTGCCGCAATTTGCCTCAACGTGAACGTCCCGGTGTTAAGGTCGATACCTTCATGATGCGCAGGACCGAGATGTTAGAATTTTCGCTTCAATCGGACAAAACAAGTACGGCTGTTTCATGTTGTTATTACCGTCTAGTATCGAGTCTTTGCGCCCGAGCCAGCCCTTCCACCATAGAATATGCACGAACACAAGGATCAAGAAAAAGACTGCGACAACTATACCCGTTGACAAGCTTTCCGCAGATACCTTATCGGGTGGTGTAGTAAAATCTGCGCACAACGGAGAGACGTTAGCGCGAGCTTCTCGTAACCCATTTAATGAAATGAAGTTTCGTTAAAAAGAGCTCGGATCTTACTACCATCCACTGATATTGCTGAAATTAGAGGACCGTATTCGCCGCTGTATGGAATGCTCGTTGTCCCTTTCCCAGCCCAATAGAGGCGAATATCCAACGTATGATCGAACACGTATACGGTGAAGTTATGCACTATTCTGGTGTATGCTCCCCCGGCTTGGCTTCTAATGTCGAAATCCTTGAGCACCAACTTCTTCTGATGATTTTTCGCAAGAAGTTAGTAACGATCTTTCAGATTAAGTTTGGATATTTCGAAGATACCTGAACGTAAACATCAAACAGACGCCTTGCATGGCTCCGGTACGTGGTGTCATCATCCGTAAGTTCGATCTCTGCAAAATGAAGCCTTAGAGTGTACTGTCCGTTTACTAAACAAGAGGCGAAGTATGTCAACGAGAGAGGGGAACGTCTTGCGTCTGCGTAGAGCCCGAGTTTCTTCTCAAAACTTAGTGTACGGTTCGTAGAGATCAACATCGAGTCTGTTAGGCGCTCGTCGTCTAAGAAGTGGCCTGTGCTGCTAAATCCCCAGCTTCTACTACTGAGGTAGAAATTCGAGGGTCCACCAGGACTCATGTCAGCCTCGTATATTTTCCCTCCTTCCTTTACTTCAGGACCGCCGCAGTTTATGTGCAGATACGAGTACTCTGTGAAAGAACATCAGACGCATCCTCAACTTCTATTAAAAGATCTTAGTATAGCGCGATAACAGACATGCCGAGCAATCGAATCATGGCTTACTCTTTTCACATTTGATGTTTCTTAAGCAGGAAACGTCGCTGCTGCACCCCGATATCATACACAAAACAGCTCAGATTCATGTTTCTTAGGAAAATCGAAGGTGTTGCTAAATGAGGAACGAAGAACTTACGATTTATCTCCCTTTGAGCTTGCAAACAAGTTTCTGAACATCAGATCACACATTAGTTTGAACACGAAAATTCTAAAATCAAATAAGACTCGAGTTCGTTAGATATCTCACACATTTCTCCAATGACAACTCAGGTCTGAACTTTCCGATGTGAAGTTGTTGTAGGATAGATCACTGCATACAAAATCGAATTCTTAAGCGTTACAACTGTACTATTTTCTACATTCTTTCACCATGGATGAATGTCCAGAAATTAAATCAAGTACTTTGGTAATCGATAAGTAATGAGGAAGAGGTAAAGAGCCATACATTATCTTCCTCTCCATCCAACTTTGACGAGGCACAGCTCCAGTTAACGAGTTCCCGGTTAAATATCTGAAAACAAGAAAGTCGCAAACCATCATATAGTTGAAGAATTAAGAGTCTGATTCAAAGCAAGCCTCAACATAAACTCAGGACTTACATGTAGTTTATGTTTTGCAGCTTTGAGAAGCTGTCGGGAATTGGTCCTGTTAAATTGTTGAAGCTAAAATCTCTGCAGTAAACAGTGGTTGTGTCATTAAAGAACATAGACAGTTCGGTTTTTAGCTTCGAACAAAGACGAAGATCAAACTCACAAGACAGTTAAGCTTGTCATTTCACCAATGTAACTCGGCAACTGCCCGATTATGTTGCAACTCCTCAATATTCTACATGAAAGGATGCATGAATTCGAATGGAAGAACTGATGCATTCTGTCGATAAAGTAATGCAACAACATTATTATACTCACAGAATTTTGAGCATTCTCAAGTTACTGATCAGGGGAATGGTCGATGCAGTCTCATTCCCCCTCAAGTCGCTGATTCTCCTGAATATCGAGAATTACAAAATTATGATAGATGATATGATCAGTTTTGTTTCTTTTAAGTAAACAGAGAGTTCCTCAGTCATTCAGTTTATACTCACAGATCAACTAATTTGGTCAAGGAAGCAATGCCGGGAGGGATCGGTCCAGTCAAGCCACTGCCCTGAATCACTCTGGCATTGTATAGTTTGAAATTCGAACATTTACAAAAAGAATCAGACAACAATCATAGTAACAAACTATCAAGTCTTACAATTTTTCAATATTTGTCCAGTTCGTAATGAAACTCGGTATTTGCCCTCGAAAGTTGTTGTCGCTGATACGGCTGCATTAAACCAATTAGATGGACAATCACAAACTGTCAACAGAACAAGAAGTAGACAAGAACTTAAAAAATCATAAAAATCTTACAAGTCTTGTATTGTGGACAAATTTGCTAGACTTGCAGGTATCGGGTCGGTAAAACTGTTCGAACTAAATATTCTTCACACCACCGAAAAAGGAAAAGATCAAATCAGATTAGCTCAAAAAAACAAAGTTTGTTTATAACATAAGATGAAGACATTAAATCTCATGAACATGTTGAATCTTACAATGTTTTTATTTGAGGAAGAGAGCCAAACTCCCGAGGAATAGTACCCGATAAGTGATTGGCCTCGACATTTCTGCAGTTTCAAAAGGGCAAACAAAAGCCATCATACATGTAAATATTCTCGTCTAAACAAAAATTCAATTATATAAATTTTTACTTCTCACTATCTTCTTTCTCCAAGTGAAGAATCACAATAACACAAAATCGAAACCTCAAAAGTAACACATAACACTTATGATGAACAAAAGAACACTTACAGATTTGTAAGTGTAGTGATATTGGCAAGCTCTTTCGGTATTGACCCTGTTATCCCATTTCCAAAAAGCGAACTGCATCTCGACTCCATTAATCGACAAATACAAAATATGTCTGCATCATTACATACACACAGACACCTAAAACACACACGCATATATACACACATGCAAGAACAGCATACATGTTTACAAGCTTCATGGAGCCCCATTCGGAAGGGATGGTACCACTTAGTAAATTCCGACTCAAATCACTGCATAAGATGGAAAAATTCATACTCAGAAACTGAAATTAAACATAATACATGTATATATTCACATATTTGAAGGAGACAAGTATACATTTCTTGAAGAAAGGGGAGATTACTAAGCTGTCTGGGCAATTCTCCTTCCAAATTTTCACCTCTAAGAACACTGCATAACAAATTGGATGATTTGAATTTGAATTATAACAGTGATTGAACGAACACCATGAAACCCTAAGCAAAATTAACATTAAGAACTTCTCACATGCTGACGATATGGCAAACAGTATTGTTTTCGAAAGCGCAGTTACAGGCGACTGCATTGCCTGCCCCCCGTCGATCCGGGTCCGGGTTTGAGTTCGCCCAACCCGAAAGCCCGCTACATGGATCCACGTTAAAATCCCAGTCTCTCTTCTTCAAAATGTCTGCAATTACCCTCAAATCCTCCACTGCTCCAAATAAATCAAACAATCAGAAAACACATGAACAAAAAATTATTCAACAAATTGAGCAGACATTAGCTATAAACCCTAACCACGCCATCCATGTACAAGTATATCAAACAATCAGAAACACACAAACACAAAATTATGCAAAAATTATGCACGCATTCAGTCGATAAACCCTACCCACACCATCCATATATCTACGTATACCTTCACGAGGAGGGAGACGTGGTTGTGCTGCAGCAAGAGCAAGCACGGCGATGAGTATGAATGCGACGACTCCTCGGAGCAGCCACATGATCAGAGGTGGGCGATTGTTTCACTGCATCAATTGAGGGGGAATAATGATTAATAATGATGATTATTGGCGCAGGAAGGAAGGAAGGAAGGAAGGAGGATGGTGAAGAAAGTGGAGCGATTGTGAGGGGAGTGAACAGTGGTCGGAGGTGCAATTGTGTGTTGCCTGTTGACGAAGACGACCCAGACGTCGCCACGTGGCGGTTTTTGATTGGAAGCAGAGTTTGAATTCTGAGGACGGCGTTAAGAAGAATTGACAGTGGGCCACTCTGTTACGACGTCGTTGCATCCTCATTTCTCCACAGCCAATCATAATATTTGTATATACTTCCTTGCCTCTCTCATTCAATTTTCTTTTTCTTTTTTTTTTTTTTTTTTTTTTTTTTTATCATTTAAATTTATTTTTGTTTTTGTTTTCGTAAAAAAAAAATATATTTTTTTAAAAAAAAAATAAAAAAAATTTTATTTTTATTTATTTTTTTAAAATCTGTGTTCGATTAAACGAGCACATAATTAAATGACAGGGAAGTATTAAAATGTGAGGATTTTTTTTTTTTTTTAAAATGTAATTTTGATTCAGGGTTGTTGATCGGTATAAATATATTTATTGACTTATGGATTCAATTTAATATATGTTAGTTAGCGTGTGTATGTCTATTTACTATTTAAAATATAAGGGAACAGGTTCAAGATTCTTAGAATTAATTTGTTTTAGTAAGGGTATTTAAACAAAATTCGTTTTGATTAAAAAAACAAGTAAAAATGTTTGTTATAAAATCTTTATGGCTCGTTAATATGAATATTAGGCGCTATTCATTAAACTATATTCTAAATAAAAAATAAAAATTCAAATTATTTTACAAAACAAACATAAGCTTAGTAAAAGGGGAAAAATAAAAGGGAAGGTAAAATAAAATTAAAATTGGGTAAAATTATAGAAAATTCACCCGTAATTTTATAAAATTGTTTCATAAACTCTGTGTCTAACATCCTTTGTTGTTCTTGTATGCGGGGGCAAGGGGGCTCCAGCCCCCCTCTCCCCCCACTCCACCCCTTATAATTTTTAATTTTTTGTTTTTATTTTATAATATATAATATAAAAATAATAAATAAATTAAAAAATTACAAAAAATTAATAGAATATTTATGTAAAAATTTAAATTTTAAATAATAAAAAAATTTATATTATAATAATTTGATAATATAAAAATAGATATGAACAAAAAAATAATAAATAATAATAATAAAAAATCTTCAAAATTTTTTCAACCAAATACACAGAAAATTATACTTTTAACAGCTTCAAAACTTCTAGTTCTAAATTTTTAAAATTACAAATATATATATATTTATATTTAACTTAAAGAAATAGTAAAAATATATTCACAAATAGTTATTTTTACCTTGTTCCAATAATTTTTTGCATTCTTTTACACTAAATATAAAATAAATTAATATATTTATAATTTCATGAATTTATAAATAAGAATTATGAAATTCATTCGCAATTTGGGCGGATGTAAGTCAAACATCGTTAAATAAAAACGATTAAGGAGTAAGAATTAGGGCTCATGAAATCATAAATGAGTTAATGCAATTTTAAAAGTAAATTTTGCGCAATTTCATAAAATTACAATTTTTGTGCAATTTTGCTTTAAACTTATAATGATATGTTTAGTTTATATGGAAATGAAATAGAAAGAAAGATATGAAAATTAGTATTTTTGTGTTTAGATAAAAAAATGTGAGTGGAAAGAAATAAAATAGTTTTACCTTCATATATTTTTAATAAAATACTATTTAAATAAAAATTTAAATAAATATCTTATTTTAATATATTATTGTGTTTACTACTATAGAAAATAATAGTATAGTAATAATAACAAAATTTGAGTGGACATTTTCAACGCTGCCTTAGATTTCTTGCTAATTGAGTCAACAATTTGTGACACATACCATCAATTAGAACCATCCAAATAAATTCTTAATAGTAATAATAAAGAAATATATTTATGGTGTCGATATAAATTTTAAATTTTGAGTTTGAGATTAATTTTGAAATAATAAAATTTTAAATTTATTGATATGATATAAATAAATATCGATATAATATTTTAAATAAAAATTACTTAATTTGTTTTGGTGTAAAATATACAACTAATTTTTATTCAGAGTAAAGAAAAAATATATATATTTGTAGTTAGGTAACTAAAAATAGAGTACAGACTATTTTCTATTTACTTTTTAATATAAATATAATTATTTGATGATAAAATATGAATATTTTAAAACATGCAGAGTTCATAATTACTAATATATATATATATATAAATATTAACGCGGAACGAAAAAATATATATAAATATGCACACGTTAAAGCAAGGCGGGGAAAATAATACTAGTATTTAGTATAGTATAAAAAATAAAAATTATTACTTGAATTGAGGATGGTAAAAACTTCACAGATTAAAATATCAAAAGTGTATTTTTTTTTTTATTTGAGATTATTTTTATGTTAGGTATAAAAAATGTGTCTATAACATAAAAATAATATTTTATATTGAATTATTTATTTTTTAATTGATAATATATTTGTATATATTTTATGTGATACATAGTATTTTCTTTTTATAATATTAATTGGGAATAATGCATTCCAAATTAAACTCCTTTTTTCCGTATCATATAGTATTATATTTAAAATATTATGTTATATCTATTTATATCATAGTAAATAATTATTTAAATTTAAATTTTTATTATTCAAAATTTAAACTTAAATTCAAAACATAAACATCCAAACAAGCGCCCTTTTTTTTTTTTTTTTTCTGCTGAGAATTGTAATACTTTTATTAAAATATTTATTTTTATTTTCTATATGTTTTATAAACTATAATACTATTATATTTTTGTTGAGTACATTATATATTAAGAATAATAAAATTGATTCTTAATAAAATATATGTTTATTTATAAAATATGAAGTATATTAATTAAAATACTTTTTAAATTAAACTTTAAATTAAAAAAAAAAAAATCAAACTCTGTAACACAAACCAAACAAATCATTGTTTGCTTAGTGAAATTATTTGAGAAAAATATTTTTTACGTGAGTTACAGAGAATTACGTAATTAATAGTATAAAATAATAAATGTGTATAATATATTAACGTTTTTAAAAAAAATATATATTTTTAGGAATTGTAAATCTTAATAAAGAACACACCCTATATTTTTATATAAAAAACATATTATTATATAATAAAAATATTGAAATCAACTTTCAATACAACATACCAATACAAATGTTGATTCTCTGAAAATATATACTTTATGTTGTACATGAGTTTGTTTTGATTTATGTTATTTATTTTTTTATTATTTTTTTTATAAAATAATTATTTGATAAGATATTTTTTTTAAAAAAATAATAATATTTTTTTTTGAAAATATTAAACATTAGAAAAACGATAAAATCTTTAAATAAACACATTACAATTATAAAATTTAGAATATATTTTCTTATATTTTAATTATAATTTTGTATTAGGATATTAATATTTTATGTTTATAATATAGTATTTCATCCGTCTCATATTAGTTGACATTGTTTCTATTTTTATCTATATTATAATAATTGATATATTTTTATTTTAGATAAAATTTATTAAATTAAAATATATTTAACAAATATAAATCAATTTAATTACATACATAGCATATAATATTATACATATTATAAAAATTCACTTAAAACTCTTTTATTTTTATCTATCTCTTAAAAAATATAAATAATTTTATCTACATTTATAACTCCACTTCTTTTATAAAATTAATTTATATTAATTATAAATAAATAATATATTTTCTATTTAGTTGTATTATAAATAAAATTATCTTTTACAAAATGATATTCATATTGTTATATTTTTTATTGTCAAATAATTTTTAAAATATTTAAATATATATTTTAATTTTTTAATTATATAAAAAATAATAAAATAATATTATAACTTATTATTATTAACTAATAAAATATCATTATATTAGAGAGGGAAGAAGTATTTATTTAATTATAAAAAAAAAAAAAGATTTCAAAGGGTCCATAACACAAACAAAGACACGCTAAATTCGATGGAAGTTTTGCAAAATTATGGGTCCGTTTGTTTTTTCTATAATTTTTTTCACACGGTTATTTTTAAAAAATTAATACATTATACACGTTAATTATTTTTTATGTTTCTTATACATTTTTCTATACTTTATATCAAAAAATTACTTTCCAATAATATCATAAAACAAACAAACCATATAATTTTAAAAATAATAAAATAAATACTTAATAAAATTTTATTCCTTCCCCAACAATTGACATATTTTTTTTATTTTTTTTTGTCTCATAATAATTGACTTTTTTTTTTAACTTTTAATAAAACTCACTAAATTAAAATATATGTAACAAATATAAATATAATTTAATTAAATACATAACATATGATATTGTATGTTATGTAAGATCTGTTGGTTATTTTGTTGTTATTGAATTTATTCGAAGATAAAGAATGTTGTATTGAGCTATCTTCGGGAAGGGTCGCGTGGGGTGCGCGCTCGAGAAAGCCTATATGATATTGAACGAAGTATGAAATAATATGATGAAGGTAAAAATTATGGTACATATTGTTGAAAAATTATTATTTTCAAATGAGGAATTAAATTATTTAATTCCTGCATAAAACCTTGTAAATTCAAATTTACTTAAATTTGAATTGATAATTTAATGAATAAATTGAATCTTTTCAATTTTAAATTAAAGTTGCATATTTTCATGATTGTGTCTTTTGGATTTAAAATTCAAATTCAAATTTTTTCATAAAAAATACTTTCAAGTATATTATTTATGTCTTATCTTCACGTAATTTTTAGAGAGAGAGGAGATAGGATAGAGAGAAAATAGAATGAGACAGCGAGCTATAGAAAGTCACAGAATTTGGGTGAAATAATAGTCTCTTCTTTCTTAGGATTATGTAATTTAATCTGCACATGCAAATAATCTCTCAACCTTTTTATTTGCTCGATTTTTGCCTAAAATTCGAGTGTTATTTTGTTTTATCCTCGTACGAATTTTGTGTAACTCCGGGCGTTAATAA